GGTGAAATGTAGGTCCATATAGGCTAATCATTACTTTAAACTCTTTAATATGCCAGATATATGATCTTAAATTTTCCCCAGATATACAGCTGATATGAGCTACCAAAAAAAATTATAATAGGCACACGTATACAACTACCTAATTCAGAATCAAAAGTATTTTTGGTTCATGCAATTTCTATTAGAATCTAATGTAATATAAAGAATTATAATTAATTAAGTTACTAGTACACTTAAGATTTAAAATCATGCATATTTTTTGGACACATCCGAATCCGGTAATTTGATTCTGGAAAACTCGATTTTTTCAATTGAATTTATTAAAGTAAAATTATATTAAATGATACTTATTTAAATGGCTTGATATGTTTAAAATATTTCCTCATTTAATTAAAGAGCCTAATATATGGAGAATTCGAAGTTTTGAAAATTTTAAAATATTGAATTTAGAATTTTTAAAGTTTAAATAAAATTATAAAGGTTGATAAATTTTCAAATTTAAAAAATTCAAAATTTGAAACAGACGAATTAGGGCTCAAAAACTATTGTCGAAGATAAAGAATACTTCAATTACTACATTAAATGAATTTATAATATATATTGTCTATTTAAATTTGACACAATTTTAAAATATTTGTGAATTTGATTTATAAAATGATAAGGGACACACGAGTATAACGATCTTTATCTTAATATTAAAGAATATTTAAAAGTAATATTCCATAGTATAGTCAAGGGCAATCTAAGCAAAAGATGAGATAAGGAAGATCAATGTAATTCTTCCAGAAAATGCTTTTTACAAATTATCCAGCTATGGGATCACATATAAGCTAGGGTATATGAGCTTCGCAATACTATATTATCAGCATATCTACTTATAATTACAAGTGTTTAAATTTTTCTATATGAATGTTTCTATACTTATATATTTGGTATAAATGCTTGTTTATATTTACAAGATGATTCTTAAATAAGTTTCATGGTAACTGAATATAATAAAATTTGAATATGTTTATGACTTAATCATTTTGTTTCTAATACTTTTTCTGCTTCTTTCAATATTTTGGATTCTGAATTTTGTTTGATTTCAATGTTGGTATTATTCAACCTAATATTTTCAGATTTGGGACTTGAAGAAGATGACTGAGGTTCTTGTTGATGAGCTTGTTCAATTTTTTTTATTCTTTCTTTTAATTTATCCATAACTACATCTAATTCAACTTCATTCCCATTTTGATCCAATTTAAGAACTAAAGGTTTAACATCATCTGGTGGAATATAATCATCCAATTTGACATTGTATTCTTTTAATTTTCTTTTCAAATATTGAATTTCATATTGAAGAGTTTTAATATCATCTGCAACTGTTTCTCGTCTCGAAAGTTCTTTTTGACGTTGTCTATATGATTCAAACAATATAAGACCACCAGCAACAGCACTTTATAAAACATAATGTTAGCATTCTCCAATTCTAATAATACAGATGTGGGTTCCACAATACATACAATACGAATGTTTCAGATAAGAAATTAGCACCATTTTCAATAGCTCTTTTATCATTCAATGGACGAACCTTTGCCCCCTTCTCACCCATCAACTTCATCCGTAAGTTCACATCTGTTCTATGTACACGTTGGGCCACGGATATACAGAATTTTCTGAATGCTTCATGTTCTGTTGCTTGTGCTTTTATAACATTCTGAATCAAAAAAGTTTATGTTAGCATTTTGAACCGTTATAGATCTAAAGCAATATTGGGCACTTGGCGATCAAAAAACACCAAACCACTAGCAAGACAACCAGTAAACATACCGAGATGGGTTTCGAAATCTGACGTAGGAATAGACCTCCTAACTTTATACCAATACCACTCATTCGTCAACTTTGTAACTTTTCTATCTTTGCACTGTTCCTGGTTAATTCGAATTTGGCCGATGGGAAGTTTCACTCTTTATATTTCTGCTCTAAATTGTCGTGGCCGGTGGGAAATCAATGATAAACGAACAGCGAACAGCTTCAATTTAATCAAATGCTTTGAACTTGTAGACCGGTAACATCAACAAACTCTTTTGCTACAAATCATCAGAAGGGAATTCCATCCGGTCTCATAATACGGGACCCAAGCATCACTACAGAATGGATCAAGTCTCACAAAGGACACAGTTCATAATATACTCAGTGGTATGTCTCTTTATATCCTTTCCCCTAGCCGCTTGTATATGAGTTTCAATTACTAACATTAGATGTCCAGTTTAGTAATATTTTGGCTGCTGGGGTCATATGGCCAGTGGTACAGAGTAGCCCTACGTTCTATTCTGCTTCAGTCAAGCTTTCAGAAGGTGTCAGTATTATCGTATTGGCAAATTGGCTTGTGGTGATGGCTGCTATAATTGGTAAAGCACTACAGAGAGTTCTGTTTGGAGAATTAAGACTTATAGAGATTGATCACATATATGAGAGATCCAGATTCACAGTGTTGAATAGTTTAATTGCATTGACAATGTTTAGTAATGATTTTTTGTTAGTTTCAGGTATCCTGACATTGTTTTCATTGTTCATGAAGGTATTCCATTGGGTATTACAAGATAGATTTGATTATGTGTTCCAACATGCCACAATTCCTTCAGAAATTCTACGGACTAGAAATACATTCACTCTATTTTTATTATTATTTGTTGATTATCATTTAGTATACTCTTGTGTTGAATATTCATTTGGTAATAACCCTGATGTTTATTTTGCCTTTGGATTTGAATTTACAGTGTTATTCTTAAATTTGTTATTGTTAGGATCTAAAGTCTTATTAAATGCATATGAATTGGTATATTTGAAAAATCATCCAGATGAAGATGTTATGGAAGCTAAAAGTTTATATGTGAAGGTTTTAGAAATCATTCATAGTTCTTTAATTCTGATTATTCATATGTTTCTGTTATTCACTTTATTAGGTCCATATAGATATCCAATTTATTTATTCAAAGATGTTTTTTTCAATTTTCTCAATCTATACAGACAAATTGATTCATTGATTAAATATCAAAGAGCTGCTAAAGAATTAGATCTGAAATTACAAGATGCAACAGCAGAAGATTTATCTGATGATAATAACCTTTGTATTATTTGCAGAGATGACATGACTGTTGAAGGGGTTCGTAAAGGTGAACGAACTTATCCAAAGAAATTGAATTGTGGTCATATTATTCATTTGGGTTGCTTGAAAGGTTGGTTTGAAAGATCACAAGCTTGCCCAATGTGTAGAGCACCTGTATTTAACTCCACCAATAATAACAGAAATGGGAACAATAGCAATACCAATAATAACAATAATGTCAATAATAACCAACAAAATCAAACCCCAGTACAACCTCAACCTCAAGGACAATTGCCAACTCAAACACAATTACCTGGTGCTCAACAACAACCTGTAAATCACCAAACTCATAATGTTAGCAACAATACAACAGCCCCACTACCACCACCACCATTTTTAAATCAACATTTAGCTCATGGATCAGGATTTTTCCATCGTCCAACTCAAACAACAAATTTATTACATAGAAATGATGCAAATGATCATACATTGAGATTAAAATCAAATGCTTTAACTCCACCAGATTGGGTATTATTCAAATTATCAAATGCATCACCAAATAATGATGAATATCAAATTAAATTAAATGGTAATACTACAGCACAATTAAGAAGAATAACAAATGTTAATTCACCTTCAAGAATCACATCTGAACTTAATAAAAAACAAAGTAAACAATTAGAAGATCCTTCTATGGAAGCTATGAAAAATATACCAGGAGGAATTTCTGAAGATAATGAAAACACAAGAACTAGATCATCCTTAAATCAATCCACTGAGTTAATGGATGAAATTAGAAGATTACAAGCTGAAGTTAAAGAATTAGGGAAAGAAATTGATTCAATAAAGCAAAAACCAAATTCATCATCTAGTTGATCTGAGATGATCAAAATTTGCATAATTATGATGTTTATATTTTAACGATTTTAAAGAAGATTTTATGTTACATACGAAGAAAAAAAATAAATATAATATTTAAATATATTTCAAAATTGTTTCGTAAATTCATTATAAAATTATTCAAGTATCTATTATGTACAAGAATTCTAAATATTTAAGGAGATGATGTGCTTAAGCTTTTCGATGGTGAATTAAATTTATGTAATGATTCATCATCATCATCATCATCATCATTTTCAAAATTATTTCCTGAAATATCCATATCTATATCAAAATCATTATTTGGTTCAGTTTTAATACCATTCAAAGCATTTGATGTTGAACCATTTGATGGAGAGCTCATCATTGATTTATCAATTGGATCTGAACTTGTTTTATTGCTAGATTTTGAACCTTTTGTTTCTTCTTCCTCTTCATCCTCCTCTTCATCTTTATCATCATCTTCTTCTTCATCTTCATCATCACCTAAATTCATATCAACATCACTTATTTTACGTAAAATAAAATTTAATTCATTATTAACTAAATCTTCTGGGAAAGTTGCATTTTTTTCTTTAGCTTCTTTATAAAATTTTTTACAATTTTGAATAAGAATTTCAATTTTAGATTTATCAATTTTTGTTTCATGACATAATTGAGAAGCTTCTAATTGATAAGAAAATCCTTGTAAGAAAAAAAAAGTTCCATCATTAATATATGGTGGTTGTAAAAGCATTTCAGATAATTTATCATTAACTTTTTGGAAATCTTGTTTCATAATTAAAGTCCAAATTAAATTTAAAACAAATACTGGTGCAGTAATTTTTGATGAAATTCTAAAAGGTTGTGGAGTTTTCATAAAAGTTGGATGTTGAGATCTAGTTGGTGGATAAAAATTTTGTAACCAAGTTAAAAATTGTTCATCTTTAAATTGACCTAATCTTGTTGAAAGATTTCCAGTTTTCATTGTTTTCAATTGATAAAAATCAATAGAATTTTCAGGTTGAGTTTGTTTAAATTTTTCTTCTGATAATCTTGTTAATACTTCAATTCCTAAAGGCCATATAGACCTTATACCAATGAATGGTACTCTTATTAATATACTGAAACATCTATATGCAACATCCCAATTTCTTTTCAAAATATTTAAATGTAATAATTTTGTTAGAATAAATGTATGTTTTCTTGAATATGGTAATCTAATTCCCAAGATGTATGATGCACGATCACGAGCTAAATCATCTTCAATTGTATCAATATATGGTAATATTTCAAGACCTTGTTTTTTAATTTTATAACGGCCTTTTGATAAGGCAATTTTCGAACTTTTAGAACCACTTTCATCATCATCATCATAATTATTTCCATCGTCATCATCATCATTGTCATTTTGATCTTCATTTTGATCTTCTTGATCTGAGTTATTCTGAGATTGTTGATTATTTGATTGGAACAGTTCTTCATTAGCTGATTTCTTAGATTTCTTCTTCTTTACAGGTTTTTCTAGAAATTTGTCAAAATTTTTATTTATATGTTTCTCTTGTAACCAAATTTCATAAGTATCTTCTGGACCAAAGTCTCTTAGTCCTCTCAAATATTCACTATCTTCATATACTTTACCACCCTTATGCCTTTTGTTATCATGATCTTCATCACTAGCCTCGTCACTATCACCATCTTGATCACTATCTTCCTGTTGAACACTTTGAGCTTCTTCTTGTACCTGTTTAGCTCGTTCTTCTCTTAATCTTTTGGCACGTTTCTGTAAAAGTTTAGTTATATCTCTCGAGGTGTCTATATCCCGCAGCAGACCATTCTCAAACATCTCCTAATACCTTTCCCTCACAATACCCTTCACAAGATCATTCAACATCAATCATTAATAAAACTTGAGATGAGTATTAAATAATTTAAATTAAATTTCCAATTCCGACCTTCATTTGATGCATTACATAAGCATTCGCGAATCCCGAATTTCTTTGTTTTGGTTTCCAAAATGTAAACAAAAAAAACTGCAAAACAAAATAAAACACTTTGAAAGAATCAGAGATCCAAAGAACCAAAGCCAAAGAGAGCCACTCAGAGTCTACGAAAGGGATACAGGGAAGAGTCCACAACCACTCCCCATTGCACACAGACAGACCACCACAAGACAGAACTCACTAGTCACATCACACTCTACACAGAAGATTGGAAACCTGTGATATCCTTTGTTTGAGTTTTTTTTTTTTCGCCTGAAATTATTCTCTCTTAGTTAAAGTCAATTAATCAACGGGCAATTCAACCTTTCAACAACCTGTTCAGTTCATTTCCATCCCATTAGCATCGTCACCACCCATCCACTCTACAATGTCGGATATCAATAATAAGAAGAGATCCGCTGATGACTTGGTTGATAATGTATGTCATAATATTTATTTTTCATTTGTTTTTTGTTTATGTTTTTTGTTTACGTTTGGGTTTGCTCATATATAATGGGAAAACATCCGAACAATAAAAATGAAAATAAACATCAACAAAACAAATAAAAATGAAAAAATTTCAATTGGTATATTATTGAATTAATTTACTAACACTATATTTAGCTTGCTTTATATACTGATCCAAATGAACTTATAAATGCAGTGATATCCGTTTTAGCAGTCCCGGAAAATAAAACTGTTGTTGCTGAAAATTTTGCAAATGATAAGAATCAAGCTACTGAAGTTCAAGCTTATGCTAAAATAGCTGGGAATAATTGGACTTTTTATGTTAAGGCATTATCAGTTTCAATAGGAAGAAATACTGAACCAACAAATACTTTAACTTCAAGTCAAAATGATCCGAATTTAGTTGATATTGATTTGGGTCCTGCAAAAGTTGTAAGTCGTCATCATGCTACAATGAATTATAATTTTGAAACAAGAATTTGGGAATTAAAAGTCCCTGGTAGAAATGGTGCTAAAATTGATGGTGTTAGAATCCCTTGTGGTCCAACTGCTCCAGCATCTCCTTTACATTCAGGTGCAGTTGTAGATATTGGTGGAACTCAAATGATGTTTATATTACCTGATGCTCAACCTAAAATAAATCCAAGTGTATTACAAGCAATTTCATCAAAATTACCCAAACCTAAAAATAAAAGATTAAGTGTTATGTCTGGTGGATTAAATACTTCAACTTTTAATCATAATAATAATAATAATACTAATACGAGTAACGGTGGGTTAGATAATAATTTTGGTTCAACATCATTACCAACAACTTCTGCAACCACTGGATTTGGTACTTCAAACTTAAAAGGTTTTCAAATGTATAATAATGTTGATTCTGATAATGAAAGTTTAAATGGCGGAGGTTTTAATAAAGATAATGATTTATCAAAGGATGAATCAAGAGATATTAAACCACCTTATTCATATGCTACAATGATTACTCAAGCTATTTTATCAAATTCAGATGGTGTATTGTCATTATCTGAAATTTATGATTGGATTTCTTCACGTTATGCTTATTATAGATTTTCTAAATCAGGATGGCAAAATTCAATTAGACATAATTTATCATTAAATAAAGCTTTTGAAAAAGTTCCAAGAAGAGCAAATGAACCAGGTAAAGGTATGAAATGGCAAATTTCTGATTCTTATAAATCTGAATTTATGAAGAAATTTCAAAATGGTTCTTTATCAAAAGTTAGAAGAGGTTCATCAGTTTCAAGACAATTACAATTACATTTAGCTATGCATAATGATTTACCTGCAAGTCAAGCTACACGCCGTAAAATTCCATCTCAATTACCAAATAATGCAATTCAATTTACAAATACACCTCCAACAACTGCATCTTCATCATCAATTAATGGAATACCTTCATCAACTGGATCAACATTACCAACTTCTGTACCATCAACATCAGCATCAAATTCAAGAGGTGATGCATTATCATTTATGGTTGCAGCTGCAACATCTCAACAACCAACTTATGGATATCAACAAGGTCAATCAAATCAATCACAACCTCAACAAAGTTCAATATCATTACAAAATCAATATCAAAATCAACATCAAAGAGGTACATCTGATCCACAACAACAACAATTTTACCTACCCCCACAATTACCACCTTTACAACAACAACAAATTCCACAACCATCAACAACTTCAACATCAACAACATCATCTCAACAAATACCTACACAACAACATCAACCACCATCAACATCATTTCCCACTGGATCAACAAATGGATCAAATAATCCAATTATACGACAATCCGTTATAGATACACCAGGTACTAATAATACATCATTAGATGAAGGTAAAGATTCTCAACCAAATACTCAATTATCATCACCTTTAAAAAATGAAAAAACACCAATTAAAAATTATTATAATGAAGAAGGTTTTTATAATGAACAAGATGAATCTAATATAAGTCCATCAAGAAGATATGTTAAAGCAGTTGAAGCGTATACACCAGATCGTGGGGCAAAACCTTCAACAAATATTGGAATTGAATCACAATCGAATTCAAATATTAATAGTCGTAATAATAGTACAACAACTTTAAATAATGGTAATGGACCATCAAATAATAACAATAATAATACTAATAACAGTGGGAATCATAATCATAATAATAATGGTAATGGACAAATTTCAAATAATGGTAATCCAAATTTACAAAGTTCACCAGCATTATGGAATTTTGTTCAATTTAGTACACCATTACAACCAAAAGAACAAACTACACCAACTAAGAATGGTAATAATTTAAATAATAATAATGAATCACCATTAATTATGAGACAAAAAGTTAAAGATTTAGGTGATTTAAATAATGTTGATTTAGCTAAAGGATTTAAAAAGGAATAAAGATAAAAAATGAATGAAAAGTCAGGTACTTTTGTTTTCATACCTTTTCCTTTTGAAATATCTATAATTCTTTATTATTATTACTAAGTTTTAATTTGTATTTATATTATATTATGATTTACTTATATAGTTTTATTATTTGATATTTTTTATTTTTAATGAATGAAATTAATATATTTTATACAGATGTAATGATATAATTACTATAAATAAATGATAATCAATGCTTATAATTGATCTCCCAATTGCATAATACTAGTCTGTGGTCATTCTTATATAAATAACAAGATATAAACAAACATCTGAACATTTGGTTTATGATATTTTGACCATCTATTCTTAGCCCAAGTTGCTCCAAAATAACTTGTAGTTCATCATATAGCAATGAATGATTTTCCATAGCATAAACCCTTTACTAATAGATTTTGAGCCCAAAATCAAACATCATTCTTGCCTCATAAGGTTCTGAACTTGATCTTAACTGTTTTAAACATAAATGTTATGCTTCTTTTGATGTTTTGGTATGATTTTGATTAAACAATTATACAACAACCATTTTTATCATTAGAATTTGATTCTAAATTTTCCATTCTATTATTATTACTTGATTGATTATTTGATTGATTTGATCTTTCTAATCTATTTGAATTTTTTGTTATATTTGAAGTTGTTTTCTTTAATATTGAAGTACCAGTATTATTATTACCATTATTTAAATTTGGTTTTAAAGTAACATGAATAATATCACTAGTTTGTAAATTTAATTGATTTATTGATTCATTTTCTAATTGTTTACCTAAATGAATTAATCTAATTTGATTTATATTTAAAGGTTTTTCATTTGGATTTTCTAAATTATTAAAATCATTTGACCAATTTTCTAATAAATATTTCTTTAATAATGGTATATTTGAAGGGATTTTAGAAGTTTGTAAAGTTTCACGATGAGTATTTAAGAATAATAGAGTAATTGTTGACATTTTTATTCACTTATTTATTGGTTTTATCATATAATGTTGGTGTGTGTGGTTATAAATAGAACTATATTGTTTCATGATTAATTATGGCTTGATCCAATATATCCAAAAGGTCTAGAAATCGCAATTTTCGCGTAATGTCGCGGTTTTCCAAAAATATAAATAAACAATAAATACGAAATTATAAGCTAATCCATTGACTACATCAGATTATTGATTGTGATGGTTGTTTTTGGTGTAGTTGGTGGTGGTGATTTTGTGCTGAGAGTGAGTACAATGCTGTGTGTCTTTTCCAGAAGGAAATCTAACAAATACTGCAGGAGTTATTTACTAAAGTTGTTCCCATTATTGATCAAGGAAAATCAATTGTATGGATCGAAGACACTGGGACTGTACCATTTGGACAATTGAAAGACAAGTTGAATCATAATAAGTTGTCCAGAGTAGAGTATATACGAATCTTTGACTTGGAGGGGTGTATTGATACATTGGAAGAATTACAAAATCGTGATGATTGTGTATTGATTCTAAGTAATTTAGGTGGGATGTCAAAGAATCAAAGTGAGAATGATGAATTGGAAGGGAATTATCTTGTTAATGAAGTGATGATGAAGTTGAGAAGGAGAACAAGTGATTGTTATATTGTATTCCAATCATCTGGTATGTTGGAATACTTTGTAGATGAAATAGTGAATGTATGATTTGTTGTAATATTGATTGTAGATTGATTGATATTTTGATATTTTGATTATATGGTGTATATTGACACAAAATAGAGGGCATGAACTAATTATTAAGTCACATGATATAATAATAGGGCTCAGTAACACACACTCAAAGTGAACACCAGTCACAGATAATCCTGGTACACGCACACCACTCAACACACACTCACAGAAATTCAACAAATTGGTGTCCAGATGTCCCAGCTTATCTTGTTCTCGTTGGAACTTTGAAGGCTCTAAGCACCCGCTAGGCAGAGATTCGCCCTCTAGACAGAAGCTCTCCCACTGGACTCCCACTGGACTCCTCCCAGCTCTGCCTAAACCCAACTCCCAATGTGTCCCCTTCACAATAAATATTTCATCATGAGAAAATCTCAACATTTACACATTTTTGAAATACTTGAAAATATTTACAATTCATCAATTTAACGTATATTCATATATTCAAAATATCAACCACAAAATATGAGTACTTTTGAACCTGTCGTTGTCGTTGATGGTAAAGGTCACCTTTTAGGTCGTCTTGCTTCAACTGTTGCCAAACAAATCTTGAATGGTCAAAAAGTTGTTGTTGTTAGATGTGAATCTTTAAACATTTCTGGTGAATTTTTCAGAACAAAATTAAAATATCATGATTATTTAAGAAAAGGTACTAGATTTAACAAAACTCATGGTCCTTTCCATTTCAGAGCTCCATCAAGAATTTTCTACAAAGCTGTTCGTGGTATGATTGCTCATAAAACTGCTCGTGGTGCAGCTGCTTTAGAAAGATTAAAAGTTTTTGAAGGTGTTCCACCTCCATATGACAAAAAAAAGAGAGTTGTTGTTCCACAAGCTTTAAGAGTTTTAAGATTAAAACCAGGTAGAAAATATACTACTGTTGGTCAATTATCTGCTGCTGTTGGTTGGAAATACGAAAACATTGTTTCTAAATTAGAAGACAAACGTAGAGTTAGAGCTGCTGAATATTATGCTAAAAAGAAGGCTTTAACTAAAAAAGTTGAATCTGCTAAACAATCTCAAGCTAACTCTGAAGTTTCACAAAAATTATCAGCTTTAGGTTATTAAATTTAAACATCTTCAACAATGACAAATAAAATTTATTTTAAAAAATATTAATGTATATCTAGTTTTAAAATAAAGGAAACTTGGTTTTAAGGAATAATTATGTATAGAATCTACCATTCTTATTATCTATGCAATTAATTTATTATCTATGCTAATCTATATACAAATCATATCACTAGTATCAATAGTAAATACCACTACATCATTACCAATATCATACAATCTTTCTCATTTCTTCATAAACACCAAAAGTTATACAAGTTGCAGGTAAAACTCTTATAATATTTGGTACAATACCTTTATAAAATCCATTAATACCTTCTTTTAAATAAATTTTCCTAATCATTTGATTAATTGTTTTTTTCTGATAAATACTTTCATAATCTTGTAATCTACTTTTTAAAACTTGACAAGGATACATTATTAACAATGCAATGATCTTGGAGAAACAACTCATTGAAATATATTCTAGGAAATGTAATTTCCCCATATTATCATCTTTTCTAATTTGATATTTCAATGTATCATATATAGTAAATTGTAAAGCACCTTGTCCAACACCCATTAAACTTGGTATCAAACCTTTCCAAAACCCACGGATACCTTCTTCATTCAAGACTCTTAAAACACCATCTTTTATATTTGAATAAGCACCTGGTGATGATTTACTTGTACTTAAAATTCTTGTTTTAAGTACCCAAATTGGATTTGTTAATAAAGCTGTAAAACTACCTGCACCAAATGCACTTATTAAATATTGCCATGATTGTAAATTTGAATCTTTTAAAATTAAGGAATCTGATGAAGTTGATTGTTTATTTATTAGATCTTTAAAAATTCTATAACTTGTAAAATAAATTGACCATGCAGTTGAATTACCAATTATATTTAATGATAACCCTCTATAAATTTCTAAAAAAGGTTTTGGAGATGATTTAAATTCCTTAAGGATTTTTTGAATAGCTTGGAGATGAGTATTACTATTAATATCTAATTGAATTCTAATTTTAAATAAATCTAATGGATGTGTTATTGTTGTTGTTAAAAAACCAGCACTTAAACCTGAAAGTATTTCTCTTTGAGTAGATGTTAAACCCATGTATAAATAAAATGATATGATAGTAATAAATAGTGATTTGAATAAATATAATATCAGGACATGAGGTTTATATGTTGTTTGATCTAGATGGTTGTTGATGCTTTAGTTTTGGGTATTAATTAATAATATATTGATGACTTTCAAAGTGGTGAAAAAAAATTATTCGGATTTCGACTAATTAAGAATTATGAATAAATAAGCGAAATGAGTAGGAGTTATATATAGGGGAACATTGTAAGATTTTGTATAGTAATGTGTATTTTATTATTAGATTATTGAATTCTTTGATACTGGTTTCATAAACTAGCGTTTTCTCCCTGTGAATTTATCGTTATTCTATCAATATGACCAATATCAATATCAATATCAGCATAATTACAATCTACAACTTTCCAACTTTTATAATTCATAATAATTAATCATAAGCAGCTATGTACACCTAATAATTCATCAATATATAACCTTTCTTTCATCATTTTCTAGTTTCATCTTCCTTTTCATTTCCTTAAATTTAAACAGATGGTAAAGGAGATAATAAAGCTAATAAAGGTGGACGATTTGAAGTTTGTGACCAACCTAAGTATAAGACAAATGGAATCCAACCATAATGAGCAATGACTCTAGCGGAATCTAAAATTTTGTTGATACGTTCCTGAGAATTGTTGTTAGTATGTTATTTCTGAATTGTCTATGTTATCATTGGTTCATATTGCCATATTGCAATATTATGGGATATGATTGATCTAAAACCACCAAACACCAAAGAAATCAGGATCACATACTTTTGATTCGTCTGATAAAGCAAAAGCCATTTTCAATTCAATTTATACTAATTTAAAGTGACTTTAAGTTATTGTCAACTAGTAATAATATTGGTTTTACCATACTTTTAATAAGATCAAAACTTTTTTCGTCGAGATTTCTGGTTCGCGGGAAAATGGTTTGCACAGAAACACAATAAACTTTCAATATTTCAATATTTTAAATACTTTTAATTTATATGAACTTCAGATATTCATATCAACTACTTTCTAAATAATTAATAAATATCTATTTTATTTATTTTGAAATACACATAAATGTTAAGAATTTTGTTTTAAAGAAAGATCTTATAATAATAATTCTAATGGATTTTCAATAACTTCTTTTAAAGCTTTAATAAATTCACCACCTTTAGCACCATCAACAACTCTATGATCAAAAGTACCAGTAATGTTAATCTTATCATCGAAAATGAAACCATTTGGATTAGCATTATCTGGAACAGCAACTTTTGTTACAGTACTAATAGCTAAAATGGTTGATTGTGGTGGATTAATAATTGAAGTGAATAAATTAACTGCATGATTCATACCTAAATTAGAAATACAAATAGTACCACCTTGGAATTCTTCAGGTTTTAATTTATTATCTTTAGCACGTTTACCTAAATCTTTAACTTCTGAAGAAATTGTAACTAAACCTTTTGAATGAGCATTTTTAACAATTGGAGTAATTAAACCAGATGGTGTAGCAACAGCAACTGAAACATCAACGTTATTATATTGTCTAATAACACCTTCTGATTCTATCCAATGAGAATTAGCTTCTGGAACTCTTTGAGCAGCTGATGAAATAGCTTTAATTAAAATATCATTAATTGATAATTTATAACGATCATTAGCTTGAGAATTTAATGAAGCTCTTAATTTTAATAATTTAGAAACAGAAATTTGTGATGAAACAATATATGATGGATTTGTTTGAGTTGATTCTAATAAACGTTTACCAATGATTTTTCTCATGTTTGTAATTGGAATATCAGTATATGAAACTTCAGAAGTGGCAGCAGTAGCAGCGGCTGGAGAAGCTGAAGCTTGACCAGCACCTGAAGCAATGTATTTTTCAACATCTTCTTTAACAATTCTACCATTTGGACCAGTACCAGTAACTTGTTTTAATGAAATACCTTTATCTAAGGCAATAGTTTTAGCTAATGGAGATGCAATGATTCTATCAGTTGGAGCTGAAGAACCTGATGATTTTTTAGCTGGAGCTGAGCCTGATGATTCAGTTGGTTTTGATTCTGATTTTGATTCTTCTTTTGGAGCTTCTTTTGGAGCAGAATCGGATTTTGATTCAGCAGTGAAATCTTTAAAAGCTTCAACATTAGCTTTATCTTCAACATAAACAGCAATTGGAGTATTAACTGGAATATCTTTAGCACCAGCTTCAACAAGGATCTTAGCTAAAAACCCTTCTTCTTGGAATTCGAAATCCATTTGAGCTTTATCAGTTTCAATTTCAGCAATAGCTTCACCTGGTTGTAATTCATCACCAACAGCTTTATTCCAAACAGCCAAGTTACCTTGGGTCATTGTTGGTGATAAGGCAGGCATACCAATGATGGTATGTGGAGGGTATGAAGATTGGAAACGAACAGACAAGTTGTTGAATCTAGTGCATCTGAAGAGATTGTTAGTATTTGATTCCTAGTAATATCAATATCAGTATCCCATCTAGCAATGAATACTCACCTTGGAAGAGCACGGACAGCAGGACGAACTACCCTAGTGAAAGAGGCGATGGCAGACATGATGGAATATTTAAGGCCGTAGCTAATTGAACAGTATCGTTACGATTTGAAGTTGATTCAACAGCTTAAAATTAAAGGAAATGTATTAAAAGATCAAAACTTCACCGGTAAACAGTCAACCAAAAATCAATTTTAAATTTCTCCCACGCAAAATAAAATTATTCTTTGTAAATTTCGTGGGCAGATTCAAAACACACCCACTAATTTTAAAGGGGCAAAAATTAGCGCGAAAATTAAAATCTGGTGGTGCCATGCTTACGTCAGTGCTGACAAAGAGGTATAACCATTATTACCATTTTATTATTACTAGACTATATTACTATAAGTTATACTTTAGTTTATTGGATCTCACTAGTTGAGGGAATTCATCAACACCAAGTGAACTGGTATGACCCCATGGTTTCAATTGATTCTCCCGTTCAACAACTTGGGCAAAACATCCTAACCATCCATCTCTTGAATATTCTTTATTAACAAGATCTAAAGTCTCAGAGTGAATCAATTTACTAACAACTTCTAATCCTGCATTATCCAATACAGTGGAGATTTGAAGAATTAACCCTAACTGGGTTATATACCCTTTATCATTCAAATCTTGATGTCTTATAATAGCTTCACATACTGCATCTGCATAATCAGTATCATTATCAGTAGTCAACTTTGAAACCAAGTCTCTTGCTTTAAAAGCACCATAATATTCAAATGACATCTTTGTTTCATTCATATTTTCATCCGTTGTGCCCAAATCATGTAATAAACATGTAGTTAACAATACATCTTCATCTAATTCCCATTGAGGAAATTGATCTTTGATAATAGCTCTTGAATAAAAGAAAACTCTTAGAGAATGATTTAATGTTGGTTTGTTTAATCTTGTTGAAACATACTCTAGAACCTTAGAACTAATACCATCTTGTTTTTTGGGTAATGATAAATCTTTAATTGGTGTTGGATCTTGAGGATTTGGTATTGATTTGATGAAATCTCTTTCAATCTTAATGAATCCGTATTGTGACATGTTGTAAAACTACTTTGAATAGCAACTAATTCAAACAAAGATTAGAGATCATTCAATATTGTTTTTAAAAGTGATTATAAACATTATTTATATAAATTTTTAATCTTGACTAATTGCTTTCGTACTCCGCAACTCCAAACTTTATATTCGGAGTTGGTATTCCTAACGCAAATAATATTGAAGGTATATAAATCAAACATTCAAAAACCCAACTTTATATTTTAAAAACAATTAACATTACGACCATACCATAAAGTACTAATAGGTAATCCATCTAATCCATCACCTTGTGAAGCTTTATCTCTAAATAATTTCCCAACATCACCATAATCATCTTTTTCATTATCTTCTTCCCATTCAATTTCAATTCCATCATTTTTAATTATTGCATCTTTTGCAGTTTGCCATGAAAATCTAACAACTTGATCCCAACCAAATATTGGATCAACTGCATTATTAAGCCATTTTTTAGTATTTGGATCACTTGGATAACCTGATCCCCATGTTATTTCCGATCCATATAATTGATCTTTAGAATTATTTAATGAAAAATCTCTTGTAACTTTTGCACAAATACTTGCAGCACTTACAATTGGGTAAATAGAATCTGCCTTTTTAGCAACAATAATTTTTAAATTTGGGAATCTTTTCTGTAATTTTGCTTGATATGTTACTGGTGGTCCCACAGTATCAACAAAGATTTCTGTTAAATTAACTCCTTGGTCTAATACACCTTGAATAAGATCCATTGTTGCATCATGAGCTTGTTCATTTAAATTATAATTCCCAACGGAAGGTGGTCTTAACATACCTGATGAAATATCCATTGCTGTCATTGTTCTTGTAGACCAACCAATTTGTTCAAATAATTCACCTTCTTGGTCACAAATTTGTTTTAATAAATTTGTTCTTTTCAATTCATTAAGAGTTTTAGAATCTGCAAATCCATATTTTGATTTTAATATAGATTCATAATTTTTTAAACAATATGAAATACCATAAACCATTGGTCCCAATACAGGACCACGACCTGCTTCATCAACACCTAGGACACATGGTTCTTTTGGATTTTCCAAGATTACTTTGGGTATTGGAGTTAAAAAAGTTGTAGATTTATATGTATGTTCACGAGGAACTGATGGAGGTAAGAAATCTTGTTGAATTTCTGGTTGTGGTTGTGATGTTTCCACTATAGTTTCTGGTTCATAATCTTCTATTTCGATTGGTTCTTCAACAGCAGCAGCAGCACTCATCTTTTAGTATATATGATCTTGAAATTGTTTAGATCTTTGTTTATGGGTATAAAAGTTTAAAGCATATACGCGTTAATTTAAAATATTTTTCGCGTTTTCCGGGGATTACGTCAGAGCTTAGATTGCAAAAATATTTGTTCGAAATCCGAAATTGAAAGATTATTCACTTATTAATTACTATTGAAGAATATCTAGATCAATAAAGAACTTATACAATGTTCAGATCATCTTTAAGAACTATTTCTAGAGTTTCTACTCGTCAATTAACTAAATCATCATTCAAATCAATTCCATTACAACAAAGAATCATAGGATCAAATCCAATAATAACCAAACAATATAATAATAGATCATACGCAACAAATGCATCAGATTTAGCAGCTCATCCAAAAGTTCAAGAATTATTTGAACAAATGCAAAAACATCCATCCATTTTAAGTTCATTACAAGATATAAGAGATGCTATAAAATTTAAAACTGAACAATCAATTATAAATAATGGTGAATTAAATGAATCAAAATTAATTGAAATTTTTAAAGATCCTGAAGTTTTAGAATTATTTAATAAATTTTTCAATGAAATGACTAAAGCTGGTTTACAAATTACTGATCCAAAACAATTAGATTTCTTACATGCTTATATTGGTTCACAAACAACCTTATGATTTATAAGTACAAACGGAATTGAATAATCTTGTATATATCTATATTTAATGTATTTATTGCGGAAAATGAAGAGTTCGTATGATATACATCAAACACTAACAAGTAACGTATTCAACTATAGAATATTGACTTTATTTCAAGCTTTAAAGATGTTATATACTAAATTAATAAGTATGAGGTTTTAAATTGAGTTGATTGTTGCCCCATGACTAATTATTTAATTTCTCGTGCAAAACATAAAAATCAAAATTACAAATTTGAAACTTACACTTGAATTAAAACATTTTAAATTCGTTAACTTTTGATAAATAAGACCAGCATATGACAGTGAATGTTTCCTCGTTTTTGGAATTCGAAACATGTTACATATCCGTTAACTTGCCCAAAGAATTAGTTTATACATCATCACTATATTATTAATGCCTACTTGTGGAATGAAATCATCAAAAGTTGAGCTAATTAGTAATTTGATGTTAAGTATTGATAACCTATATATAACAATAGATTCAATACATAATCAACCTAGAGAACACATTACTATTGTGAGTTTGACCTTTGAATGTTTCTTATAGCTCCATATCTTGTGTTTCTTTGTGCTAATATTTTTCATATATTCTTGAGTTTTTGTAGGCTAATTCGATCATCGCTATCAAGGAATATCTACCAGTTACTTGATTTATTGAGCACTAAGATCACTTCAATCATTAGATCCAAGGGATACTAAGTTTAGTTAAGAACATATGTACTTGCAGCAGCAGCAGCAGCTGGATCTTAAAACATTACCCTCTTTTAAACCAATTCTTTTTAGATGTCGCTTATAAAAGCTTTCAAAGATCAATACTACAGCTAGCACTCTGGGAATCCCTCAATCGAGCCTTGGATGGTAGAACCAGTTGTATGATATGGAGTGAATCACATGTGTAGGTGGTATTATTACCGAATCATTGATTTAACATTATTAAGTCTTCCATTTTTCTGTTTGGCAGGAACCCATATTTTTGAATTAGATGACCAATGATTTGTGATTGGAAACACTATTTTTTTTCAAAGTGTTCAATTATATATTGAAATCTAATAACTTCAAGAAACTGGACAGTTTTTGAATATTAAACCACAATATATTATTACAATCAATATACAATACTACATCAATGAAAGATCATTTGCATAGTGTGAGTTTGACCTGTTAACTGTTAACGGTCTTATGGCTTCCTATACTTGATTCTTTATGATTATATGTTTTTTCCATAAGCTTAGTGTAACTATATCTGTAGTCAATTCCTGTTAGATATATGATACCTTAAAATACGTATCTAATACGATTATTCAATTGAGGTATATCGAGTTCTACATTGATCAATTGATAGTACTTATTTGGTTTCGCGCTATTGATTGATCAAACAAAAACATAAAAAATTTATGAATCACGAAGTTGAAACCCATAAATATTCCACGTTCAAATATTTTGCCATTGCGCCTAGCCGGACTTTTTGATGTGAACTTTTCCATGGTATATCCGTATTTGACACTATGATGCAAAACTATTCTGTTCTGTTGGAGGGCACTTTCAAAAGGCAGTTTACAAGCGTCAAAAAAGCCTAATTCTTCAGCGATATCATTGATCAGATCAACTTGATCATACGCACTGAAGCTTTTGATTTGAATAATATATATTATCGTTTATTTATAAAGACCATAATATACAACAATTCACCAAAGGATCATTATCTAGTCTGTGTTTGACTAATCAAGGTCTTATAGCTCCCTAATTTTGATTCCTTTATGGTTTATTATATTTATGAGCTACAATTTTTCCATTTTCGTAGCATTCATAAAATTTCATATATATATACAAGCGTTCATATCTATAATCTATTGTTTTAAAACATCATTTAAAGTACCAAAAGTTAAAACTTCTTCAATTCTATCTTTTCCACTGAAAAACATACTTAATCTATCAATACCAATACCCCATCCACCAGTTGGTGGCATTGACCATTCCATTGATTTAACATATTTAGAATCTGGTACTATACTTTCATCATCATTAAATTCATCTTTCATAGATTGTTGTAATTTAAATTTTAATTCTTGTTCAAATGGTGAATTTTCTTCTTCATATGCATTAACAAATTCCTTTCCCTTAATAAATAATTCAAATCTACGAGAAATTTCATAATTTTGATCTGATGAATAGCTAATGATGGTAGATTTGGCTAATGGTGACATTATTGCTGGATGATGATAAATAAATGTTGGTTTGGTACAAAGTGGTTCAATGTAAATTGATGCTAATTTATCTAACAATTGTGGTGAACTTTTAATTTGTGGTGGTTCAATATTAATCTTTTGAAAATATTCTAATAATGAATCTGGATTTATTTCTTGAGGGAATTTAATACCAGTTTGTGATTCAATAGTTGGTATGAATTCTAATTTTTGGAAATGAGAACCATCTTGATTAATTAATTTAATAGCATCTTGTGATTGTTCAAATTTTGAGACTGCTTTGGAAATATCATGGAAAATTAATTCAGTCATATTCATTAATTCTTCTAAATTTGTAAAACTTTGATAAAATTCACATGTTGTAAATTCTGGATTATGTGTACTATCAATACCTTCATTTCTGAAAACTTGACCAATTTCATAAACTTTATCAAATCCACCAATGATTAGTTTTTTCAACCATAATTCAGGTGCAACTCTTAATTGTAAATCTAATGGATTCCCCTTGGAATCTTTTATATGTTGAGATGATGTTATAAAAGGCGTAGCATTTGCACCTTTTGATGAATTTGATATTATTGGTGTATTAACTTCTAAAAATCCTTTATTATTTAAAAAATTTCTTAAAGTATTTATAATTATTGATCTTATAATTATTGAATTTTGTGAATCTTTATTAACTAAATAATCAACAATTTTATTTGAATGTCTTTTTTCAGGATTTGATAATTTTGGTGGTAATGGATGTAAAGTTGGTGATGCTAATATAATTGAATTTGAACATTTTAATGATAATTCACCAACATTTGTTATACCTGGGAACCCTTTTGCTATAATAAAATCACCTTTTTGGAAATGATCATGATGTTCAGAGAATTCTTCCTTGGTTAATCCAATCATTTTATTCATTAAAACTAATTGAATTTTTTGGAAATCTTGAATAATATCAATAAATACCATACCTTTACCAGATCTTCTTATACTTTGAATTTTACCTTCTATAGTGTATTCTTCATCAATTCTTTTATTTTCGGGCCATTGGAAATCCACAAACTTTTGACGAAATTCAGGTATTCTTAATCTGTTAGCATCTTTGAATCTTATTTCATTTAATGTCTTATAATATGAATTTGGTGATTCAGATATGATTTGCTTTCTATTGGCAAATTCAGCTTCTTCATTCTTTGCCAGCAAAGATGATGAATATCTCTTAATCACAAACGAATTCTTTGTAAATCTTGGTAAAGATCTCAACATGATCTACAACTTTTTCAATATTTCAACAAAAGGTTTTACAAATTTATATTTTCCATCTATACAAAAACAGGTATTAGTATGAACTCTTCCAATAGAAAACACAGGAAAAGAAGCACACCAACAATCACTTTCGAGCTGTCCCAAGGCAACCAAACAACAAATCAACTATAATTATTATTTATTGTGAGTTCAGAGTGTACTAGATCTTTTCAGGGACGGTAATTAAACAATCCTCAAGACGATAACGCAGTATAATTTATTCCTCATCATTTCAAGCCCACGAAACGCATCGAAAGCGACAATAAGTTGTGCTCTCTTTTAGCATTCAAAATAACTTACCCAGTGGAATATAACCCAGTAATTCAACAACAATCTCTACTTATTTTCACAAATTGAAGTGTAACAAAACAAGTTTGAATTCAAATTTTCATATAAATTTTTTTTTCAGCACTTTTAAAATCCGCGAATTTCCTGAATCTGATTTTTGTTTTGATTTCAATGGACAATAATAAACACGAAATTGAAAATGTACTAAAATTAGGGCTTCAAAAGAACAAAAGTCATAAAAAGGAGGAACAAGGACAAGAAATCAGTTGAAATGGTGAGTTTAATTGGAAAATTTAGACTAGATCACATATACTAACTTTTTCCCCAGGATTTCTACGCTGCTGAAGAAGTTGACGGTGTGCGATTCACTTGGAATAGCATACCAACAACAAAAATCACATCAAATAGACTCTCAGTACCAATTGCTTCGTTATATACCCCTTTGAAAGATAGAGAGGACTTACCTATCATCCCATCAGAACCTACAGTGTGTCGTCAACCTTGTGGTGCTATTTTAAACCCATTTGCTGTTGTTGATTATAATACTAAAACATGGAATTGTCCAATTTGTTCTGCAAAGAATACATTACCAGCTCATTTTTTCACACAATTCCCTCCTCAATGTGATCCAAGCGCCTCGACTGTGGAATATATTCTTACAAGACCACCTGCAATCCCACCTATTTTCTTATTTGTTGTTGATACATGTCTTGGTGAAGAAGATTTTGATGCATTAAAAGAATCTTTAATGATTAGCTTAAGTTTAATTCCACCAGAATCATTAATTGGTTTCATTTCATTTGGTAAAAATATTAATCTGTATGAATTTACCAATGGAGACGTTTTAAAATCTTATGCTTTTAATGGTGCAAAAGAATATACCACGGAGACAATTTCATCAATTCTGGGATTTATTTCATCAGATTTAAGAAATCCAACACAGGGAGTAAATCAATCTGCATTTAGATTTTTACAAAATACAAGTTATGCAGAATATCAATTAACTTTAATTTTGGAAAATTTGAAAAAAGATTCATGGTTATATAAATCAAATGAACGTCCATTAAGAGCAACTGGTTCTGCATTAAATATTGCAACAAGAATTTTAGAAAGTGCATACCCAAAGAGTAGTGGTGCACGTATTATGTTATTCACAGGTGGTCCAGCAACTTATGGACCAGGTATTATAGTTGATAATCAATTAAAACAACCAATTAGATCACATCATGATATTGAAAGTAATACAAATAATGCAATTCATTATAAAAAAGCTAAAAAATTTTATTCAACATTAGCAGAAAATTGTTCAGAAAATGGTTATACTGTTGATATTTTCATTGGTGCTTATGATCAAGTTGGTCTTTATGAAATGGAAGCATTAAGTGATAAGACTGGTGGTTTAGTAGTTTTAAGTGATTCATTTACAACTTCAATTTTTAAACAATCATTCCAAAGAGTTTTCAACAAGGATAATGAAGGTTTTTTAAACTTGGGTTTTAATGGTACATTAGAAGTTAAAACTTCAAAACAATTAAAAATTTCAGGATTAATTGGTCATGCAACTTCACTGAATCGTAAAACTTCAAATGTTTCAGATAAAATTATTGGAGTTGGTGAAACAAATTCATGGAAATTATCAAGTATAACACCAAATTCATCATATGGTATATATTTTGAAGTTGAAAATTCAGAACCACAAACTGCATTTGTTACAAATATAGGTCCAAGTGCTCTTGTGCAATATTCAACTCATTATACACATTCAACAGGTACAACAAGATTAAGAGTCACTACCGTGGCAAAACCAATTGATATAAATGGAGATTTATCAACATATTTTGATCAAGAAGTTTCAGCTGTCTTAATTGCAAGGGAAGCTGTCTCCAAGTTAGAAAAATTAGATGTTTCAGATGTTTTACTTTGGATTGATAAAAAATTAGTTTCATTATTAAAAGCAATTGGAGAATATAGAGTTAATCAACCTGAAACAGTTAGATTATCAAATAATATTTCATTATTCCCACAATTTATTTATCATTTACGTCGATCACAATTTTTACAAGTTTTTAATAATTCACCAGATGAAACTTCATTTTATAAACATGTTTTCTTAGATGGTGATACAACAAATTCATTAATTATGATTCAACCAACTTTAACTTCATTTTCACAAGATTCAGAAGAAGGTGAACCTGTTCTTTTGGATTCATTATCATTAAACCCAGAAAAAATTTTATTATTAGATACTTTTTTCCATATATTAATTTATCATGGTTCTACAGTAGCAGCATGGAGAAGAGCAGGATACCAGGATATGGAAGAATATGCCTCGTTCAAGGAATTTTTAGAAGAACCACGTCATGAAGCTGCAGATTTATTAATTGATAGATTTCCATTACCAAGATTTATTGATACTGAGGAAGGTGGATCACAAGCAAGATTTTTATATTCAAAATTAAATCCATCCACGACACATCAAACTATTGGTGGTAATATTGGTTCTGGAATGGGAGTTATATTAACTGATGATGTTAGTTTACAATCATTTATGGAACATGTTCAAAAATTAGTTGTTCAAAGTAAATAGAGATATTTAGACAATAAATAAAAATGCTACAATGCTTTCTTATAAAAGTAAATCATTATATTGTAAAAACTAAAAAGATATATATTTGGGAAGTATATGTGGCCTACTTGATAACTATCTAAGCATCATAAGTAGTAGCAGAAACATCACCACCTCTACCAGTCCAGTTAATATGGATGTATTGATCTTTTGGTAAAGTTTCAGAAGCAAATTCTGGTAAAACTTTAAAAGTATGAGCACCAAAATAATCTCTTTGAGCTTGTAATAAATTAGCTGGTAATTTAGCTGATCTATAACCATCATAGAAAGATAAAGCAGTTGAGAAAGCTGGAGTTGGGATACCATATTTAGTAGTTAAAGCAATAGTTGATCTCCAACCTGATTGAGCTTTAGTAATAGCATCACTGAAGAATTTGTTAAATAACAAGTTTTCTAAATCTGGGTTTTCTCTATAAGCAGCAGTAATTTCAGCTAAGAAAACTGATCTAATAATACAACCACCTCTCCACATTAAAGCAATAGCTGGGTTATTTAATTTCCAACCATATTCTTTAGCAGCTTCTCTAATCAACATGAAACCTTGAGCATAAGAAATGATTTTAGAAGCATATAAAGCTTGTTCTAAATCATCAACAAATTGTTTTCTATCAGTAACAGCATCTTTAGTAATTTCAGGACCTGGTAAAATTTTTGAAGCAGCAACACGTTCATCTTTAATTGAAGATAAACATCTAGCGAAAACAGCTTCACCAATTAAAGTAACTGGAGTACCTAAATCTAAAGCATTAATAGCAGTCCATTTACCAGTACCTTTTTGACCAGCAGAATCTAAAATTTTTTCCAATAATGGAGTACCATCAGCAGGATCATTATAATACAAGATATCTCTTGTAATTTCAATTAAGAATGAATCCAAAACACCTTTATTCCATTGAGCGAAAACATCACCAATTTCTTTATTTGTGAATCCACCAATTCTTTTCAAGATATCATAAGCTTCAGAAATCAATTGCATATCACCATATTCAATACCATTATGAACCATTTTAACATAATGACCTGCACCAGCTGGACCAACCCAATCACAACATGGTTCACCATCAGATTTAGCAGCAATAGATTGGAAGATATCTTTAATATGAGGCCAAGCTTCTTCAGCACCACCTGGCATTAATGAAGGACCATATCTAGCACCTTCTTCACCACCAGAAACACCTGAACCAACGAAATGAATACCTTTTGATTTTAATTCTTCATAACGTCTATTTGAATCTGGATAATGAGAATTACCACCATCGATAATAATATCATCTTTTTCTAAATATGGTAATAATTGTTCAATAAAAGCATCAACAGCTGCACCAGCTTTAACCAAAAGGATAATTCTTCTTGGTCTTTTTAAATTATCAACCAATTCTTGAATAGATTTAGCACCAATGATTGATTTACCTTTAGCTTCATTTTCAATAAAATGATCAACTTTTGAAACAGTTCTGTTGTAAGCAACAACAGTGAAGCCGTGATCAGCAGCATTCAAAATTAAATTTTGACCCATAACGGCCAAACCAATAAGACCAATATCACCACTGGGTTGAGTGTTAGTAATTGGATTCAAATGTGATGCAATTTGTTTTATTCTATTCATAATTATCCTAGTATAAAGCTATTGAGAATATAATCAATTGATTATTCTTGATAATCTTTATATAGCAAACTCCACCCATTTTGTAACCGTGGGCAAGAGAATGAATGAATGATCATGAGAAGAATAAAGTGGTGTATGTGACCATTGTAATTGTCATTGATTGATTGTAATACATACGTTGGAGCAGACATGATTGTAGATAGTTTAGATAATATACCTTGATTCAATTGTATTACGCTAAAGTAAAAGGTATTTATTCAGGATATGTCCATTATATATAACGATCCCAACGGGCCACCAATTTCCAATGAGAGAACAAATTTTCGGAAAGGGCAGAGGTTACCCGGTTGGTTGCGGATTACACTGAAGCGAACACGAACTACGAACTACGAACGAACGAAGTGAGTAGTGAGTAGTGAGGGAGTACTAGTAGTGTTAAAGGGTGTGGTTGGTGATGGTTATAGTGTTGTAGAGGGGGTTGTGTTGTGTATTATATTGTTTGTTGTTGTGTTGTTGTTTGTGTATTGTGTGTTGTGTTCAAGTTCTTATGTTTATTATTGGTAATGGTAATAAAGGGTGTAATCAGATGAGTATTAAATAGGAGATATAAAAGACATTCTATTGTACTAAGTACTATTATACTAGACTATATCATACTATATACTATCAATAATGACAGTATAACATTCATTAACTATACAATCTATTAACACAATCATCATTCATCTCATGACGCGATCAATAATTCTCAATTTAGTAGTATTACGCGTATGTCATATATGTCAAATATTGATATGTTGTTGATTGTATTATTACACTAGAACAAACACTAAGATCTAGTTGAAATCATACCTCGATTAATATCAATTGTCCATAAGCAACAATAGATACTATTATATACTGATCAGCTTACAGTAATCAGTCATAGTATATGAATACCATATCAAAGTTTTAGTTCCATGTGATTTAATTCCATCGCGAATATAATCAATTACTAATTAAAGGCTATCAAATGCCGGCTATTAAGCTTATGATATATAACCGGAAACTCATAATAATGATATAGTACAATTGGCTAATACATTATATTATACTATAACTAGATCAATGCTATTGACTATTCTACAATGATCATCAATACAACATATACATTGATTGCCAATTGATTGTAGTAGATTTGATTATGTGTATTACTGATCACACACACCTTGATTACTTAATCTTTCTTTTTCTTTGTTTCGCGAATAGTCCATTAATTTAATCTTTTATACCGTCAAAACTTTTTGATAGCGCTTAAACCATAGTTAAACATTTGAAATCCACTAAACTTAAGGCTATGGATCTTCTTCAAACTTCGATTAGTCAATATTTGGCTAATGTGAATCATGATAATACCAAAGCCCTAGAAATAGCTACCAAATTAGCTTCTCAGATTGAAAATAAACATTTAAAATTATTAGATTTAGTTAAATCACTTGGTGATTATTTAACTGCTGATGATGATTTATTAAGACCAAAGGCAACAATGTGTTTATCTCAAACTTTAGATCAAATATCACCTAGTGGTTTAACAAAACATGATATTCAAGTTTTAATTTCATTTTATTTATCCAAAATTGATGATTTAAAATCAACAAAGGAAACTTTATTTGGTATAGATTCCTTAATAGTTATGAATCAATTTCCTCCAATTCATATTAAACCTATCCTTACCATCCTTCAAGATCAATATCAATCAACTCAACATTTAGCATCAACAAGATTCTTTACTTTTGATATCCTAAATAATTTATTTGATAAATTCCCCCATGTTGTTCAAAAATATTCAAATCAATTCATTGAAACATTTATTCATATTGCATCTGGTGAAAAAGACCCTAAGAATTTATTAATTTCATTCACATTAAATGGTAAAATTTCATCCACTTTACAAATAGATAATTATAAAGATGATTTATTTGATGTATTATTTTGTTATTTCCCAATTTCTTTTAAACCTCCAAAAGATGATCCTTATAAAATCACTTCAGATGATTTAAAAAATGCATTACGTCAAGCTATTGCATCAAATTCACTATTTGCAGAGGATTCTTATCCAAATTTATTAGAAAAATTAACTTCAACTGCTCCAATAGTTAAACATGACACAATCAAGACAATCACTCAATGTATAAAAAATTATTCAATTGATTCATTAATTGCAAATTATATTGAATTATGGAATGCCTTAAAATTTGAAATATTACATGGTGATCCTGATGATGATGAAGATGAACTATTCCCACCAATTTTAGAAATTTTCACTACAATCACTCAAAAATTAGAATCAAATCAAGAATATTTTGAAAAATTTATAAATTTAGTTCTTGATGAATTAAAATCAAATATTCAAACTTTAACAAATAAGCAAAAACAATCATGTATCTTATTATCTTCCATATCTTCTGCATCTCCTCAAGCTTTCAATAAAATTATTTATCCTACAATTACATTATTATTAAATAATTCAACATTATCAACCCAGGATCAACGTTCATTAATTACCAATTTAGGCTACTTTACAAGTTCATATATCCTAGTGTTTGGTACAATAACTGAAGAGAAAAACGTTTCACAAATTTCTGAAAATTCTTTATTACAATTCAAAGATGAAATTTTAATTCTATTAGGTAAAGCATTAATGTCAACTTCTAAGATTGAAGTTGCACTAAGAACATTATCCATTGCAGAATTAACTAAATTAACAACATTATTAGATTTTTTATCACCAGAGGAAATTTCATTAATTGTTCAATATTTCACTGAAACTGTATTAATTGATGATAATGAATATGTTTATGGCGCTGGAATTTCTGGATTAATTCAAATTGGTTCAATTGATTCTTCCATATTGTTAGAAATTACTTTTCCAAAATTATTAGATTTTTTACCAATTGATGGTTCTATGATTGAAATTTTAATTGATGATGAATTTAAACCAAGAATTAAGATTTTTGAAGTTTTAAAATCTATAACAAGGGATAAACAATTAGGTGATTGGGTTTTGGAAAAATTGATAAAGAAATTATCAGAATTAAATGAATTGGATAATGTTTATGGATTTGAAATTAGTGAAACTTGTCTTGTTATCTTGAAAGAAATTCAAAGATTATCACCATTTGATACTGATTTATATTTAAAAACCTTGTACCCACAGTTACTAGACATATTGGATAAAAATCATTCAAATGATGAATTCTTAGAAAGTATTGGTGATTTAATTAAATTGATCATAGTTTATTCTAAAAAAAATTTACATCAAGAAATCTTGGATGATTCAATAAATAAATTTATTTATGAAAAGGGATTAATCACTGGGAGCCCAAATAAATTAATTAATATATTTGTTAAAATTATTGCAGGTCTTGATAAAATTGTTATTTTCCCAAAAGTTGATGAATTCTTGGATGATTTAATTAAATTTACAGAGTTAAATTCAAATGAATTGAATAAAGAACCATATACAAAATTAGGTTATTTACAATTAATTTCATTAATTATGAATAAATTCATTTCAAATGATTCAAAATATATTAATTATTTGGATAATAGTGATGGAATTTCATCAATTAATTTAGAAATTTTTACATGGATTACCAAGAGTATTGTTTTGAAAATGTCTTCAGAATCTGAAAATTATATCACCATTTTATTTAATTATTTATCAAATGAAGAATTTGGTTTAATTATAACAAAATCATTTGAAATCTTGGTTATTGATTTAAATAATTTTGAAAAATTTAAGAAAAAGCAAAATAATAATGTTAGATTATTATATAAACAATCATTTTTCCAAATTATTACACCTTTATTAATATCAGGGTTCCAACAAACTCAAGATTTAAAAACAAAATCAAATTACCTAACTTCATTATCATATATCTTAAAACATATTAAAAGAGAAATTATTATACCTCATTTATCTTCATTTTTCCCATTATTATTACAAGCAATTTCATTACCAAAATCTGAAGTTAGATATGCATCAATAAATACAATCTTATCAACAATTGATGAAATTCCAGATTTAGTTTCATCACATTTATCAACATTAATTCCAAAATTTTTAGAAATGTCACAACATAAGAATACAAGATTAAATAATGAAAAAGTTCGTTTAATTTGTCTTCAAGTATTAGAAGCTTTAGTTCATACTGTTGATATAACAAAATTAATTCCATTTCAAGAAAGAATTATAAAAGAATTAAGTGATGTTTTAGATGATCCAAAAAGATCTGTTAGAAAAGCTGCTATTGATACAAGACAAGCTTATTATGAATTAGGTAGAACTGTTGATTAAGATAAACTCGTGTATATAAAAGCATTAAAATTATCAATATTTAATGATCGTACTTAGCTTGTACTATATTATACAATCAATAATTCTACAATCTTTAATAGATTAAAACATAATTGACTTTAGCTCTTTTACTATATAGCAAATATCACAAATAGACGTTATGATCCTTATACATTGACTAGTTAGCTAATAGACTTCTCCATGATCAAATTCACTCTTCATTTTATCAACATCTTTCAAATCTCTTGATTTTAATCGTGCTTTTTTTAATAAATGATTATCATCCATTTCATCTAAAACATTTCCAATATTGAAATCCAATAAAACAATTTCATTTGCGGGAGTTTTATAAACATTATCTATTTTCAAATCTCCATGTGTAACATTAAGTTTAGAATGTAATTCACCAATGATGTTTTTCAAATAATTAAAATCTTCTGATTTATTCAATGTTTGTAAATTTGGATAATACTTGAAAGCAATGAAATGTTTTCTTTTATAAACATTAGTATTATTCCTTTGATTTTCAACTTTTAAAATTCCAGAAGTCACATATTCAGGAACTCTGAACTTGGAATCTTTATGAAGTTTATTATAATCACGTAAAAGCTTGTTAATCTTAATTTCATTTGGAATACCATTTTTAAAAATATAATCAACTTCTTGTTGTGCTTCATAAATTGGGTCATAACTATTCTCTTCTTGAAAAATAACTTCATAATTATCAAATGTCTTTCCATATTCATAAACTTTGATCAAAATCTCAGCATTTTCTTTCTCTAATGTATCTAGAACTTCTTGATCTTCATATTCAATCAAATCTGATGAATTCTCCTTAAATTCTTTTGCTGTGCAAACGTAAATCTCTGACGTAGAATTATTTAACGATGTCAGACGTTTGGCAATTCGTATCAAAGTTTGATAATCGAAGTAGAAGGTTGAATTTTCCAAGGTTGTTGATTTTGGAGTTGAAACATCTTTAGAAGTTAGTGATTCTGAAACATCATGGGATTGTGATTGAACAAGACGAGATATGAGACTTGGTGAATTTGTAGATTGATTTCTTGTTAAGTAATACTTTGCCATTTCATAAGCAGTCCAACAAATTGCAGTTGAAGGAACATTTGAAATAATTCTTGGTTTAATACCTTTCCAAAACCCTTTAACACCATCTAATTGATATATTATTTTTGCACCACCATAAAGAGAATTTGTATTCTTGTTGATCTTGTTTTTGACGTTTCTTTCCAGATTCAGACTTATCATTAATATCAACATCAGACCTTGGTCTTTTTGACTTTGAATTGCCATCTGGTGTAACATTTTGATTCTGGTCTGATGATTCACATTTTTGAGTTAGACTTAAAGTACTAGAAAGTTGTTTCAATTCTTTTACTAATTGATCATGATCAGTAGTTTCTTGTAATTCTTTTGCTTCAAATAAACATAGTAAGATCATAAGTCTTGTTTCAATGCTATTTATTTTAGAAAATGTAAGTTCTTTTAAGTTTTGGTCACGATAAAAGCGATCCTTGATTAAAATCCCTTGAACTGGAAATTTAGGAAATTTTGTATCAATGATGTTCTGAATTTCTGAGTCAGTATCCCATTCCTTAACCCCTGATGTACGTGGATCTAAGGCAATCATATTATTTTCTTTTAGCACTCTGGACGTCACATTGATATTTTTGATCTCGCCGTTCATTTCATTGACTGTTGATGTGTAATCCATTAAGTCTGATATTTTGTAAATGAAGGTATTTAAAAATTAGTAATGATCCCAAACTTAGAGAAGTTGAGAATATTATGCACAATATTATTTCTAAAAGTCTTTTTAAAAATAGTGTTAGTTTCCAAAGAACATTTCAAAGATTCATCAGGTCCCGAGTGTATTATTGATGGCAGCATATCTTCTTGATAAAACATTGGTCTCCTTTTATATGTAGTAACAGAATCAGGCTCTTTTTGTAATTTGGAGTAAACTGTTCCTTTATTATTTTGCATTTCAATTTGACAGTTTTTGGTGAAATTTTCAAACAATGGACTCGTATAACCATATTTATAGCCATTTTGCATATCAAATACCTTATTCAATCCATCAGTAGAAGAAGAAAAGATCATCAAGCTTGTAATTGGTTTTATTAAATCATTTCTAAATCCGTAACTCAAATCTGATTTTGATGGTAGTGTAAGGTGGTGTGGTCTGTCTGTGTTTCTTGAAATAATGAGTTGATTAAATTCGATTTTAAAATAATCTAATATATCCTCATATGACTTGAGTTTCATTGATTTCACCAACTCTTTATCAACTTTTTTAATCATTTTCAATAGTTCATCAGATCCAAAAGCTGATATTGAAGGGTTCTCTAATTGCTTCAAATGTACATCATCATATTCTTCAGATTCCACCTCAGGGTTTAATCCATTTATATTGTATCTAGTGTAACTTTCTGATTTGAGAGTTCCATTTTCATCTTGAAAAATAGCATGACCAAAATAATTTTCAAGTGTATCATTCAAAGAAGTTATATCATCCAAGCCAGAAGCCTCATTTGATTTTGATTTTCCTTCATCAACAGATGGTTTTGTATTGACCCCTTCCACTAAACTGTTATCACCATCAGTAGTAACATTTTCTTCAAAATTGATGATTTTTGGTGTAACAATTGCTGATGGGATTACCAAAATAATGTTTTGCAGATGATGTACCCAGTGTTCTGAGCCGTTATTTGATGAATCAATCTCGCTAGGTTCAATTGATGTCAATTCTTTACACATCATATAAAGTAAACCCTGATTGATGTGAATTTTTGATACACCAGCATCTTCATCTCTTGCATCAAATAGGCGCCAAAACCTAACCTGGTGTAACTCTTTGATAATTTCACACTTGAGAGAATTCATCAATCTTGTTTTATTATCTTTGAAGAACAACTTAGCTTCCCGATATTTCATTGGTGTTGCATCTATATGATCCTTAATCTCATCATATTCTCTGTGGAAATTCTTGAAATGTTTCGAACCACTTGATTCCTCAACCGAAGCTTCATCCTGAGACTGTGTACCACTCATTTGAATTGAATACCAACTAGTATAACAATTGATTGATGGATAATTATATGATCATTTAAGAAATGAATTGTTGTTTATTGTTGAAATTGATGGCGCCTAAAATTGGTATAATGTTCTCCAGATGTTGCGCCTACCGAACATATAAACAATATCTTTTTGTATGTAAATCTATTAAAATTCTAACTTTCTATATACATGTGAACTTTCTATAATATATATACCTAAGATCTATTTCAAATATGACACAACAGCACCAATGGATTTAGAAATTATCAATTTCTCCTTTTGAGAATCTTCCACAATTGAAACATTTTCTTTTAATCCATGTTCAGGTAATTTTTTAATTTGTTCTTTAACCCATTCATCTCTTTTCTCTTTATCATTATCACTGATAAAAACACTTAGAACAATAATTGTAATATTTTTAGTAGTTTTACCTAATTCTGCAGAATATTTAGAACCAGGTCTTAAAGATCTCATAACCCAATGTTCATAATTTAATTTAAACCAATCCCAAAGTGATGTTTTATTTGATTCACGATTATAAAGTAATCCAACAAGTGCTAATTCAACCATATTTGAATCAATATTTGTTTGAACAAAATTCAAAACTCTTTTAACTAAGGATACATCTTTGGTGAAACCTAATGATCTAATTGCTGCATTTTGAATATCAATATCTGATCCTTGAATAACATGATTTGTAGTTGCACCTGGAGATTTAACTAATGAGAGAATTTTTTTCCATGTTGTTTGATTTGCAGTTAATGAAATTGATTGGAAAATTGGAACTAAAAATTCTTCAGGAACTGATTGACGAGGTCCATGTTGAATTTTTTTAAAGAAAAATTCATGAATCTTGTTAATTTTTGGAATTGAAAGACCTATTGATAATATATGTTTTCTTGTTTCTAATTCAGGTTTTGATAATTTTGAATAATTAACTTCTTTCCATTCTAATTTTCCAAAAAGTTTTAAATTTAATTCTTGTAACCAATTTGAAAATGATTTATATTGATCAATTGATGAATGAATCTTGTAAGAATTTTCTAAAACTTCTAAATTATTCAAAACATGTTGTAAAATTGGGAATTGTAACACATCATTATTTATAACTTTTTCACTTATTTTTAAAAACCCAATAATATCATCATCAGTTTGATGATGTTCATTACCAATAATGATATTAAAATCATGGAAAATACCAAATAAATCTTGTAAAGATAGTAATTCATAATTTTTAATTAAATTATCAATGAATTTCTGAGATTTATAATGAGCTCTATAAATCCCAATTCTATTTGTATTTAATTTAACAAATTCATCAATATTAATTTCTTTTAAAATCATTGATCTATCATTCATAATTTTATTAATTATAGAACCATCTTTTAATTTAATAGCTAATGGAATATGATATGGTACATCTTCATTATCAATTGGAGTTTCTAAGAATCTATGTTGTTCTAATTGAATTAAACCTTCTTCATTAATTGAAACTGAAACAATTGGGAATCCAGGAGTTCTTAACCAAGAATGTGTAAAACCTAATAAATCTAAATTTGAATCATCATGAAACCATTTCCAAATATTCATTGGTTTTATAGTTTTAAATTCCCATTCATGAATAAATTTATCCAAAGATTCAACAAATCTTGGCAAATTATCATTGAACTCTTTATTCTCCACAACATTAGCAAACATTCTTAGGAATTGAATACCTTTATTATAAGAATGAACTTGGAAAGCATCTTGAGTAGATTTAACATTTGGATTATCTAAATTTGTAACAATACTTTTGGAACCAATATGAGAATCTGATTCAAAAATGGATTCTAAATCTATATTTGTTAATTGTTCCCAAATTCTTTGATCATCATCATCTATTTTTAATTGAGCTAAAACATAATAAGCAAACCAAGTAGCAAATGATTCATTTAACCAAAGATGAGACCATTCATCAAATGAAACATTATTTCCAACCCAATGATGAATAATTTCATGAGCAATTAATTGTCTTATATTTTTTAATTGTTCTTTATCTTTAAGGGAATCCACTAGGATATGAGATGATTGAATTGTAATTAAACCAAAATTTTCCATTGCACCATCACTTAAGAATGGTAATGAAATAAAATCTAATTTTTCTAAAGGGTATGATGTTTTTGGGAAAAGTTTAGAAATGAATGGTAAGATTTTAGATGCAATATCATGAGGATAAACAGCTTTTGAAATTTCACCAATTGGAGTGAAAAATCTAAGTGGGATTGATTTTGAACCTTGTGATAATTGAACTTGAGATTCAATTAATTCTAAATCACCAATGATAAACCCAAAAATTGAAGAATTCATCAATGGAGTTTTAGAAAATTCCACAATTTGTTTTTGATCCTTGATTTCTCTTGATGTTGGTAAAGAATTTGATAATACTGTAAAAGTTTCTGAAGTTTTAATTGTTAATTGAAATTGAGCTTTTGAATTTGGTTCATCAATACATGGATAAATAAATCTTGCAAATGAAGCTTGAGAATGAGTTGCAATTATATAATTTGTTGAATTATTATTTCTATCATCTAAATAATTTGTTTTGAAAATACCTTTTGTGAAATCTCTATAAGTTTTAATTGTATTAATTTTACCTAGGAATTTTAAATTTAATGATAATGCTGCATTTGAATTTAAATCTTGTTCAGTTGATAAATTAACTAATTCATTTGATCTATCATATGAGATTTTAGCCTTATGTTCAATTTGTGAATCATCAATGAAAATAGCACTTAGAACAACCAATTCAGATGAATTTAAACTAAATTTAAAACTTGATACATCACCATCACCATTATTCTTATTTCTTTGTAATGATATAGTTAATTGACCATTAAAATTTGATTTTTGATGATCTATATCCAAGTTTAGTGAGTATAAAGTTGGATCAAAAGTGTTTGACAGTGATAGCAGAGACATTGTTGTTACTCCAAGCTTTGAACTTGTCTATAATATGATCAAATCTAAAGTCCGTGGATCTGAGTATTAAACATCTACTATAAATTTCCAACCATTATACCAGAAATTCGAGAAACCGTTGACTAACTTTGAGAAAGCCCGTGAAGAAAATGACAGACTGAAAATTGTTTATGTAATTATTATATAATCATAATGCTCCCCATACCAATATGTTAAATAGCAATTCGCGCATTCCGCGAACTTCCAATTTCCATCTGAGTCCTGACGTTTCAATTTGTGAAGCACCACATTTCAAATCTCATGATTTCATTTGTTCTTTATTGTTCTTGTGAATTGATTGTTATTGTGCAATGTGTCATATTTATAGATTTATGAAGGTGGGTAACTAGTGACTACTAGGGTGTAATATCACTATGGTATTTGATTGTATAGAGTGATGGTATAATGTCTAGCTGTATTGTAGTCTTATAGTAGTCTCACTATTGGTATATTCATATCTATTATTGTTCACTAGTGACTACAGCCATAATTAAATCCCGATATTTTATTATAAATGCACTCCACAGGGTTCGAATGGGTGTCACCAATATTACCAAAATGTTTTTATCAGCCTCCATCATGACCATACTGATATTAGATTCGTTGGAAAGCCATGGAATCAATCGTCACTATCCAATGCAATGCAATACTCGTATTCTCATGCTTTTTTAATTACTTTTGAATTACTTTTACTAATATAATTAAGATTAATTATGGATTACATAAGCCATTTCCCGCGAAGTTCTACGCGAATTCTTTCATTTCCCACTGTTTCCCGCGAATTCGTATTGGTTGTTCTTTCAGTTTCTACATGGCTTTTAAAATTGCAAACATTAAATAAAGAAAAAGCATCCCATAAATAAAGTCATACTATTCACATACATTACATATACAATACATTACATTAAAAAGAAATTACATTTCTGCAATATTCTTATACCCCAAGATCTTAGTTTCATATATATATATATACAATAGTTCTTTCCCTGTTTGAATATCAAAAATATTAAAATTGGATCTCAGAAAAAATAAACTTTTGCCTTCTGATATCTTTTAATTTATATTAAAATTCAAACAAAAAAACTTCAATTTCAAAGCAAAGATCTATTGATATTGATTTGAAAGAGAGTATTAGGATAAAGTACTTCAACGAAAGTTTATATTTTTGGAAAATACTTTTTTGGAAAAAAGTCAATTAATCAAACAATTATTAAGTTCTGCTTTTTGTTAATAATAAATCAATATGGTCAAAGATACAAAATTATATGACATTTTGGGTATATTACCACAATCAACTCAAGTGGAAATTAAAAAAGCTTATAGATTAAATGCTTTAAAATTTCATCCTGATAAAAATAATCATTCACAAGAATCAACTGAAAAATTTCAAGAAATAACAAAAGCTTATGAAATTTTATCTGATGATTCTAAAAGATCAACTTATGATCAATTTGGTGATTTAGATGAATTAGATGATGAATTAAATAATCCAAATAATCCAAATCATTTTAATAATCAAAATCAAAATCATAATTCAAATCAACAAAATCCATTTTCAATGAGAGCTGATGATTTATTTAATCAATTTTTTGGTGATTCATTCTTTAGTTCTTCATCATTTGGTTCAAGTTTTACAAATCAACAACATCCTCAACATCAACAAGCTACATCATCATCAACATTTAATACCAATGGATTCCAACCAACACAACAACAATCATCACAACAGCAATCATCACAACAACAACAACAGCAGCAACAAACTAGACCCAATAGACGTGGTATTGATATAAAACATAAATTATCTGTATCATTAGAAGATTTATATTATGGGAAATCAACAAAATTAGCCCTTTCAAGAACAATTTTATGTAAAGCATGTGATTCAAAAGGTGGTACCAAAATAAATATTTGTAATCAATGTAAAGGTTCAGGTATTATAGTAATGTCAAAACAAATGGGTCCATTAATTCAAAGATTTGAATCAACTTGTCAATCTTGTGGTGGTTCAGGAAATTTCATATTAGAATTATGTTCTATATGTCAAGGTGATAAAACAATTGAAGAACGTAAAATTTTAAAATTAAATATTCCACCAGGGACAATGAATGGTGAATCTATTGTTTTCAAAAATGAAGCTGATCAAGGGATTGATATAATACCTGGTGATGTTGTTGTTTCAATTGAAGAAAAAAATCATCAATTTTTTAGAAGACATAATGAAGATTTATTCACAAGAGTTAAAATTGATTTATTAACCGCCCTTGGAGGTGGTTCTTTTGGTATTCATCATATAAATAATGATTGGTTAAAAGTTGAAATTGTACCTGGAGAAATTATAAAACCAAATTGTTTAAAACAAATTCCTGGTTATGGTATGCCTAAAAAAACCAATCCAACGGAATTTGGTGCCTTGGTTATTCAATTTGATGTTGAATTCCCTACCCAGAATCAAATTGATCAAACAACTTTACCATTTTTAGAAAAATCATTACCACCAAGACCTGCATTAACAATTCCACCAAATGTTGAAGTTATTGAAAAAATTTTAATGGATTATGATCCATCAACAAAAAATTATTATAATTATAATCAAAATACCAATAACAAGTTTAATAATAGTAAAAAAAGAAGAGTTGGTGAAGATTCTTCATCAAGTGATGATGAAAAAGATCTTGAAAATGGTGGATTTTTCATGAATGGTGGTGGTAATAATAATGGAATTGGTTCAAATAATGAAAATAATGAACCTAAAAATGATGGTAATAATAATGGTGGTAATAACAATGGTGGCATAAATTTAAAAAATGAAAAATTAAATGGATTTAGTGGTGATGGAAATGGTAATATGAATGGGTTTGCAAAAGATGATGTTCAATGTTCTCAACAATGATTAAGATTTATAGATAAGTGTATTATTATTATGATTCAACCATAAAAAAGTGTTGATATGAATATAAAAATTTGAAAATAAGTTTTGCAATATGATTTTTGATATTATTTGATATTGGAATTGATGTTGATGTAATGAAAAGTAGATTGTGTTTAAATGGATATGGAATGATTTGATTTGATGAGGTGAATATGATTTGGAAATTTGAAATATCATCAAGTATTACCAAGTATCATCAGGTGTCATCAATATTCAACTAGAATGTTCTGTGGGTTCTATGGTTTATTGCCATTGTTGATGTCAATGTTGGTCCAAAGTATTTCAAGTCTCAAACCCCATGCATTAGATGTAAGAACAAAGAACCAAAAGGGATGTATACAGGATCAATTATAGATCTATTGGCTTATGAAATGTTTATGTGTTATCTTGACATCATTTGTTATTCAATCGTTATGTTATATGAACAATATATATGTTATGAAGTGATTTGTGATTTGTGTGGTTTGTTTACTATATGGGTTTATTAGGGATATGTTTTAGTTTATATACAAGTATACAGATATTAAATTTTACCTCGTACGTTTCAACGTTTCATAACTTTCAACACGTCAATTCAATTTTAATGTGATTCAATTTAAAAATGAAAGAATTGACGGTTAATGCAAGTTTGATTTTAGCCTACATGAAACCCGAGATTTGGTTGATACCATACAAACGCTGTAAACAGGTACTAAAAAGGTACAGAATAATACTAAAACTATACATAATATTCCTAGAAGTATATAGAGAACTATAGTATCTACATAAACAGATCAATATAGTATTTAACCCCAGTTATATCGTTATACCAGTGTTAAATTGTATATTCCTTGTCTGCCCCTGACTTTTCAAAATCCTGTAAAGCGTGTGAAAAATTGCAAGAATTGCCGGATTTTTATATGAGGAAGCCAGTGAATAAATGACAGAAATTGATTATGTAATTGTCAGGTGACGCGTCAGGTGATTGTTTTTACTGACACTTTTCATTGACAGACAGGTTTTAAATTTTTTTATTGGTATTTGAATAATAAAGAAGAGATGAGATGAGTATGGAATGTATACTGATCTCTGAGTATTAATAGGACAACAATCACAATGAGTATAACGTTCAACAACCCTTCCAAGTCTACCAAAACAGTCAATAAACTACTGGCCAAGGTATTACCAGGTCAATCATCTTCAAATATAATAAAATCTTCTTCATCTTCAACTTCACAACAATTAACTTCACATCAACAAAATCATAAAATAGATCCCTACAAAGTACAAAAACAAGATAAGAAACAAAAAAGACAAGCTATCAAGATAATAAATGAAAAAAGAGCAAAATTATTAAATGAAGCAAAAGCTAAAATTTTGGAAGATCATTTAAATCAAGGTACTCTCTCTAAAGAAGAAAAATTAGAATTAAAATTAAAAATTAAAAAAAATGTAACAAATTTACAAAGTTGGTCATTAGAACAAGAAGATGATTTAAAAGAAATTCAAGATCAAATCCTAAGTATGAAGAATAAAAGTAAGAAGAAAATTATTAATAAAAAATCAAAATCAAATCAAAATGATATTTATGATAAAAAAACTATTCAAAGATATCCTGGTTTAACTCCTGGTTTAGCTCCTGTTGATATGGATGATAGTGAAGAAGAAAGTGATTAGTTGGTGTGTAAATTATGTATATTATAATGATAATTAAAGTTATAAGTTGATGAAATTATTTATCGTAGTTGTTGTGTAAAATTATAGTGGTGGTCCATTCATAGTGGTGGTCGTGGGTCAGTTTATATCAATTTATTTTTTTAAGATAAACATCAAAAACTATGGCGGCAAGATATATCTAACATCACAATCCATTATCACGCAGATTTCAGTTCTATTCTCAGTCTCATTGGTGACTCACAAGGTAAGCAGCAAAGGAACGCTATGTGATTCTGATATTTAAGAAAAAATAATTGGTTTTGTATGCTCAAAACTAGGTGATGTTGGTGACTATGGCTTCAAAAAAAGTGGCATAAAGATCAAACAATGAATACGACATTTCATAAAAGATATCTTAACTATAGAGACCAAGTTATACCTCATTTGATTATTATTTACATCGGCTCGGGTCTCATGATTCTTATTGATACTTATGGTTTATGGTCACTGAATACCTTTGTTCCACAATACGTTGTAATTGATAATGGATACATAAGCGTTTTCACTGTACAAAACGTGAGATTTACAATGTTGATAAGATATAATTTATGTGGAATAAATTGTGGTGGTGTTGAATGGACAATATAAAAGAAGATGATGTACTGTTTCTTAAATTCTTGAAATAATTTGATATGATGAATACATATCAAGAATAGCCATCATGACTGATTATAGTGCTTGGTATTGGAAGTTTATTCCTCATTATAGAGACGTGAAAGATCCAGATTTATATGATGAAAATGGTTCAGAGATAATTTATGATATTCACAATTCAAAAGACACACAACTTATTGAATACAGAGATGAATCAAATAGAAAATGGTATAAAGTTTTCGATGAATATGAATATCGTTTAAATAAATATAAACGTCAAGAAAAAACTTGGTGGGGTTGGTTTGATAAAAATGCAACTGCACAAGAGAAAAAATTCCTTACAAAATTAGATTTTATGATTGTTTTATATTCAATTGCAGGTTTTTGGTCAATGAATTTAAATCAAGCAAATATAAGTAATGCATATGTATCAGGGATGAAAGAAGGTTTGAACATGTATGGTAATGAATTATCAAATTCAAATGCATTATATAATGCAGGTTGTACCATATTCCAATTAGTATTTATGTATGTTTTCCCAAGAGTTCCATTAAATTATTTATTTTTAATTGGGAATTTAGGTTGGAGTATTATCACTCTAGCTTCTGCTCATGTTCAAACTGCTCAACAATTATACGTTTCAAGATTTTTTGTTGGAGCTTTTGAAAGTGGTTATTTTATTCTTGTTCATTATTTATTTGGTTCTTGGTATAAAGGTCTTGAGATTAATTATCGTGGTGGTATATTTTATTGTGGGTTATATTTAGGTGTGTTAACTTCAGGTTTATTACAAGGTCAAATTTATGAAAGTTTAAATAATGTTTTAGGTCTCCCAGGATGGAGATGGATGTTTATTATTGATGGTGCTATTACAATACCAATTGCTATATATGGATTTTATGTTGTTCCAGGGACACCAGAAAATTGTACTTCATTATTTTTAACAGATGAAGAAATTTTATTAGCAAGAAGAAGATTAAGAGAAGCAAATATAGTTTCACCATCAAGAGATCCACCACCATTTCTTAATTGGAAACTTTGGAAGAAAGTTATATCAAGTTGGCCAATTTATATTTTGATGGTTATGGATGGATTATTTTGGAATGCTTCAGGTGCTGTTAAAAATGCAGGTTTTGCTCTATGGTTAAAATCTTTGAATAGATATTCTACACCTGAATTAAATAGATTAACTTCAATTCCACCAGCATTAGCAATTGCTTTCGTATTAGCAGTTTGTTTCAGTGCAGATATTATAAAATCAAGATCAATTGCAATATTATGGGGTACAACAATTACATTAACTACAAATCTTATTCTTGCCATATGGGAAGTTCCAGAAAGTGCTAAATGGTATTCATTTTATCTTTCATATTTTGGTTATACAATAAGTTCAGTTGTTTATGGTTGGCTTAATGATATAATGAGACATGATCCACAAGAAAGAGCTATTGTTCTTTGTGCTGCAAATATTTTTAGTCAACAATCAACAGCTTGGTTAGTTCCATTAACTTTCCCTACGGTTGAAGGACCTAGATTTAAAAAAGGTTATATATTTGCAACTGTTGTTGATGTTGTTTTATTATTATGGGTTTTGTTAACATATTTTTTTTATAAAAGAGAAGAACGTAAAAATGCAAAGATAAATGGTATTGTTTTATATAATTCATCTAAAGGTGATGTACCATTAGAAGTTAGAGAACATTTAGCTTCAAAATCAGATGATAGTGAATCTGATGTTGTTGGTAGTCAAATTAATGAAAATAAAGGTGATTTTAATGAAGATATAAAGGAAATTAGAGAGGAGAAACTATGAAAGCAGATAGTGACCTATATAATTCAGTGGTTAATGTGTATTATTTTAATTCTATAAAACATTTTCAACATATTAAGAACAAACGCTCAATTGTGAAAGGGCTTCTATAGTAGACCTCATAACTAACAATCTATATCACATCAATAATTACATAGATAATGGTTATTAAGCACTACAACAAAAGTACAGAAGAAGCTATTTTGAAAAAATATTAATAACCTTCATTTAACAATTCAATCAACTAATAAACAATCCAACTCAAGTCAAATTGTAAGAGTATGAATGAAATCTAAATGTATGGCCTTTCATGCATATTATATTAAGTCATAAAGTATACTAGTCATTGTTATAATATTAAATATGATCAAATGAACACTAGTATAATCAAGAACCTTAGTATGATCAAAAGCACTTGAAGTTCAATAAAAAACACACCAAGTGGCTGAACTCAGAACATTTCCATATGATTGTTTACTTAACATTACTAACTATCAAAATAATAGAGCCAGTGAACTGCATAAGATTCGAGTATCTTACTTATCAATCATTAACGTATCGATATATAATTAACTTACTATCCTAGATTAGTTCAAATATTTGAGCAAATTACGCGCGAAAAAAAAATTATAACGAGGACGATGATTCGATAGTACCACCAAAGGGAATAAAGTATAAAGAGGAACTAAATTTGTACTAGTAGACGCATTGTACCAAGTATCATGGTTATTTCGGTGATAGAAATAGTAGCGTAGGCTGGTACTCTTATGGTTTTTGGCTATATTGGACTGTATAACACATCAATTAGATCATATTAATCAATCGCGTGCTTAATAACCAGATCTGGGGATCTTTAAAGAACCATGGATATAGTTATTAGTAATTCAAATGAACCAAATATCACCATCATTCAAAGCCCATTGTAATCCATCCCACTGTTTCCATTAATTCCCACTAGTTCAAGTACATTTCACATGCTTTCCTTTCAAAGCCCATGTTAACAATGTTCGTAAAGCCATACCGAATTGGGCCAATAGGAACGAAACGTTTGTCATTCCAAGAGCCATCACATACCACAAACAGCGACAAACAAACACAACAAAAGAAGACAACAACTACTAAACAACATCAACAATACTATACTCACTATCCAATCACATACTCATCAAAATCAACTTAATAAACTTGATTTCTTCGTTGTTTGTAGTACAAATTTTCATGATTTCTGTCATTTCAACGCGTGTTTGTAAATCCATGCATAAAAAAAAATTCGAGAGACGTTGAAAAAGAAAAAATTATAAATAAAATAAAATAACCACTTTTATGAAAACATAACTTTTTGATTTGTTTTTGATATCTTATATCTGATCTATTGCACAAAAATGGAATCCTTAGCACGTCAGTCCGCTAAGCTCTGCCCCTTTGTCAAGAACCATGCCAACAAATCTGCTTTACAAAGCATTAATGGTTCTTCATTGGCTAATCAAGCTTCAATGTGTCCAGTTATGGGTCCTGCTTTAACTGAACAAAAACGTTCTTATACAACTCCATCAAAACCAAGATTCGCCTCAGCTACTGCAACTCAAGAAGTTGATGATTATGAAATTTTAGATCATTCTCAAACTCAAGAACGTTCATTTGATTATAATGGATTATTTGAAGATGAATTATCAAAGAAAAGATCTGATAATTCTTATAGATTTTTCAATAATATTAATAGATTAGCTAAAAGTTTCCCACAAGCTCATAGAGCTACCGAGGAAGATAAAGTTACTGTTTGGTGTTCAAATGATTATTTAGCAATGTCTAAAAATCAACAAGTTATTGAAACTATGAAGAAAACTTTAGATAAATATGGTGCAGGTGCTGGTGGTACAAGAAATATTGCAGGTCATAATAAACATGCAATTAATTTAGAAAGTGAATTAGCTGCATTACATAAAAAGGAAGCTTCATTAGTTTTCTCATCATGTTATGTTGCAAATGATGCAGTTTTATCATTATTAGGTCAAAAAATGAAAGATTTAGTTATTTTTTCTGATGAATTAAATCATGCTTCAATGATTGTTGGTATTAAACATTCAAATGCTAAAAAAGAAATTTTTAAACATAATGATTTAATTGATTTAGAATCAAGATTATCAAAATATCCAAAATCTCAACCAAAATTAATTGCTTTTGAATCTGTTTATTCAATGTGTGGTTCAGTTGCACCAATTGATAAAATTTGTGATTTAGCTGAAAAATATGGTGCTTTAACTTTCTTAGATGAAGTTCATGCTGTTGGGTTATATGGACCACATGGTGCTGGTGTTGCAGAACATTTTGATTTTGAAGCTCATCGTAAAGCAGGTATTGCATCACCAAATTATAAAACTACCCTGGATAGAGTTGATATGATTACTGCAACTTTAGGTAAATCATTTGGTACTGTTGGTGGTTATGTTGCTGGGTCATCAAATTTAATTGATTGGTTAAGATCTTATTCTCCTGGTTTTATTTTCACAACAACTTTACCACCTGCAGTTATGGCTGGTGCAGCTGAAGCAATTCGTTATGTTAGACATTATATTAAAGATCGTCAATTACAACAATTAAATACTGGGTATGTTAAAGATAATTTATCCAAATTAGGTGTTCCAGTTATGCCAAATCCTTCACATGTTGTGCCAATTGTTATTGGTGATCCAGCAAAGGCTAAACAAGCATCTGATTTATTAATGAATAAACATAAAATTTATGTTCAAGCAATTAATTTCCCAACTGTTGCTCGTGGTGAAGAAAGATTAAGAGTTACTCCAACTCCAGGTCATAATCAAGAATTATCTGATGTTTTCTTAGAGGCTATTGATGATGTTTATAAAACTATTGAATTACCAAGTATTCAAGATTTAACTAATCAAGGTGGTCTTTGTGGAGTTGGTGATCCAAATTATATTCATCAAGATAATTTATGGACTCAAGAACAATTAAATTATACTGAAAAAGATCTTAATGAAAATGTTTTCAATCCTGTTATTGATCAATTAGAAGTTAGTTCTGGTATTAAATATTAAACAACTTCTTGATTGTCACTTGTCTATAGTTTAAAATCATTGATCCTATGCCTTTATGCCTTTTGCAAAAAATTGCTTATTTATACTCATACATTTAATAATTTAATATATAATCTTGATCAATGTTGAATACAAATGTAATATATTAGTCTTAAATTCAATTATTGAATATGTATATAAAAACATATTTAAACAAATTGCACACAAAAGTCAAATAAAATGATCAGTTAAAATTGAAATAAATCAAATAAAAAATGAATGTTATTAAATATAACATGATATGTATATTTATATAAAAAATCAAATAAAAAATCTCAATAAAATATTGTTAAAGTAACCAAATTATAATAATAAGAGTTGACTTCTTAAAAATTTGGAATTTTAGCTTTATTAGCAGCAATATCACTCTTTAAATCTTCAACATCAACTTCTGAAGCTTTTTGTTTTAATTGATCAACTAATGATGGTTCAGAACTTGGGGTTTCTGGGAAAATATTGGTTTGAATATCTTGAGTTTGATGATAACCAGTAGCAGAGTCTTCGACTGATGAAGCAACTTTTGATGGATCTAAAGTTGAAGTTGAAGAAGTGGCAACACCTGATGATTTAGCACCTGATGGAGCACCTGAAGTTTGATTAACAGCTTCTTCAACATTTTCAAATGGATTTGTAGCTTTTGATGATGAAGATGAAACTTTTTTAGCACCAGTGTTTGAAATTGGTTCAGAACCTGAAGAGAAAGCAGAAACATTTTGTTCACCAACAGAAGTTGAAGCAGTACGAACTTGATATTTTGATTTAATAAATTTTGAAACAGGACCTAATTTTTCATCAGCTTGTTTTAAATATGGAGTAGCTTTTTCTTGAGCTAATTGACCATATTCACCAGCTTTTTCTCTTGCAATAGCAGAAAATTTAACAACAGCTTCATTAATTTCATCTTGATAATTTTCATAAATTGCAGGTAAAGTGAAAGTTAAAACAGTAGCAGTGAAAATCAATTTATATAAAGATAACCATGAAGTAATCTTGTACAAGATATAAAATAAACCTGAAGCTTTTAAAGTATTTTCAATATCAAATGAATATAATAATTTTTGACCTTCTTCTTCTAAAGCTGGTAAATCTTTGGTGAATGATTCCAAGAAATTTGAAGTTTTTTTGGAGAAAGTCTTATTATAAGATGGTCTATAACGAGTAACAAATCCAGTACCAGTAACTAATTTACCAGCATATTCAGCGATAGCTGATGAAATCAAAGCAATTGAACCTAATCTAAAGAAAAGACTTAATAAATTGACAGATTTTAAAACAATTAAAGAGAAAACCAATGAACCGAAAACTTTACCAGTCTTGACAGGATCTTTCCAAGTTAACAATGGGTTACCAACGTGTCTTTTTGATGGTTGAGTTTGAGCTGGAGTACCGTTTGGTACTGGAACTTGAGGAACTTGAGCAGATGACATTTTAATAAAACAATGGATCAATCAGGAATTAATTAAATAGGGGATCAGACAATGAAATAACTAAACTTGACTATTATTTTTTGTTCAACTTGATGACAATTGAATACCGAATTAAATAAAGAACAAATTAATTTCCAACAGCGAATCAATTCTTTTAAATAAGATTCCTTTCAATTGTTTTAATTGATTGTTGATTTCAAAATTGGTTTCTGACGGCAAATTTTCATCTTTTTATAAAATTGTGAAATTTCAATTTATGATCCACAGATGCAGGCGCAAAAATCGCAAATTTACCCGGATTTAAAATAACCAATATAAGACATAATCAGACAACAACTACAATTGATATCAAATGAGACTAGGGGTTATTATACTAGTTTATATAAGGGTAATTGACACTCTTGAGCCAATCTTTGTGGTATTTTACCAGTTATTTGAGCATAATTCCATGGTGTATTACCATCTTCATCAACTGATTTTGTATTGTTAGTGAAAAATTTCGAGCAATCGATAACTAAAATTGTTCCTGAATAACAGCAACGAGCAATAATAAATAAATTAAAACGTAATATACTCACTTTTATAATAAATTATGATATCATTTGATTTAATTAAATCAATCCCTTCGGGGCTATTGTTTAATGTTGTATGTTTCTCTGTTAAAAGTAAAGGTCGTATGACCGGTATTAATTCAATATCTAATATGTCATTTCCATTTGACACATTTTTAATTATTGTGGCACATTGTAATTGGAATCCAATAAACAAGCATTTATGTAATTGATTTGGATCTAATGGTTCTTTAGATTTAATATTGTATCCTATTATCTTTTCCAATTGCTTATAAACATGTAATATTTGCTTCTTTTCATCTTTATTAAATTTATTCATTATTACATTATGCTTTGCCCCAGATGTTTTGATATGTTGCTCATTTCCAATAATTTCATTAAATATAAAGACTAATGAAATAAAATCAGATTCAGCTAATGATTCATCATGTGACATAATCTTACTTAATGATTTTTTAAATTCAAAATCTTTATGTATAAATTTTGTTAATTTCCCAATATTTTGAGTTATTAACATTGATATGATTTTCATTATAGAACAAGTTACTACCTGGGGGAAATTTTTAGTTATTGAAACAACCAATGATGTATATAATGAAATACTTGATATATTCAATTGTAATTGATATTTAATAATCATGACCCCCATTTCACTTAATTTTAAATCTTGTACATCATTTATTTTCAATATCCCCATATAAATACCATAACTTATTGATTTCTTAATATTGTTTAAAGGTGGTGATGATAAAAATTCAAAATCATTTAAATTTTGGTTAAATTTTAATAAATATATTATAAAAGGTAATAATTCAACTTGAGATAAATGATTAAATGAATCAATAACCCCAGACTCACTAAACATTCCAAAATAACTTGAATCTTCATTTCTTAATATTGATAAATGTTGTTCAATTTGATTTTTATTAATAGGTATACCTCCTTGTAATCCAGAATCAATAATATATCGTATTTTATGTGGAAAATCTTGGAAATAATGAGAATTAGTTGATAATATAATTCTTCTATGCGAACCTTGAACTTGATATTTAAATAAATCTGTTATAATGGAAAAATCATGATTTATTGATGAATCAAGGATTAAAGTTTTGAATTGGTGAATTTCATAATCATTTGATAATAGAATCAAGATATCAAAACTATTTGAAATTGTATCTGTTGATAAGATTGTATCCAATGTTTCTAATATTTCTTTATTGATATTTTGACAAGGTTCTGGTAAGAAATATGTTGATATTGAGGATTGTTCTTCTAAATTAATTAAATTTGATGTATATCCATATTTCTCAAGAAATTTTGTATATAAATCATATTGATAATTTGATCTTTGTAAAACAATGAATTTATTTTGTAACTTTAAATTAACAATTAAAGAAAATACAAAATCAGAATTTGCACTTCTTTGATCTATACCATCCATAATAATAAAATCAAATGAATTTAAAAAGGTAGTATCTTGACTCAATAAAAACAAGACTAATTCATAAGTTAACCAGGATGAACCTTCCACGGAAAACCTATCATCATAAACAGATGTCTGATATGGTATATCTTTATACCATTGACTTATACCTAAATCATCACTAATGAATAAGAACTTTGCCTGTGTAATTTTACTAAAGAATTGTAAAGCAGGTATAGCACCAATTGAACTAAAGAAAGTGAAATTATGGGTTTCTAAACTATGGAGCACAGCATCTTTATTCGACTCCAGCAAATCCAAACTGATCATGTCTCTTTTCCCAAACTAATTTTTAGCTTTTCTTTCTTCTTTATTGTTTGTTTTTTTTTCAATTTTTCACTTTTGACACCATCACGAAAATAAAGTACTAGAAAATTTTACTTTTTACTTCCCAAATAGGCAGTCAACAACAAATCAATATAAACTGATTCAAATTTGTTAGTAAAGAAGCCAAAAATGATTAAATGCTTCATCTAATCAATCTCAAATATAACACATCTATTACTCATTACCTATATAACCAACAATTACCATATCCATCCATCGTCATAACAAATCCACAGCTTCTGATTGGCCGTTACCGGGTGCTTCCTAAACCGATTCTGTGTCATACATAATCAAAAAATCAAAGACTGCATTGGAAATTTATTTCACTTGAGATTTTATTTGGGTATTTACTTCAGATCTTTCAAGTTGGTTTGGTTATTGGTGATTTGGTGATTTTGTTATTATCATATACACTTTATTTATTTATTATTCATATTCTTTTTTGAAAATTCTTACTTATTGAATAGATTTTTCATTTCCCCGGTGGTTTTTCACAGGTATAAAAGATTAGTCATATTGAAGAATTAAATCAATTTTAATCATATTTAATAAAAACATAGAGGTGATACCAATATAGATCAAAATGGCTATAACAAATATAAGTCGATTATCGACTCGTTCATTCTCTTCAAGTTCAAAGATATTTGCAGGTCAAAATTTAACTGAAAAAATTGTACAAAGATATGCAGTTGGTTTACCACAAGGTAAATTTGTTAAATCTGGTGATTATGTTTCAATTAAACCTGCTCATTGTATGTCTCATGATAATTCATGGCCCGTGGCATTAAAATTTAAAGGTCTTGGTGCTAAAAATGTTAAAGATAATAGACAAATTGTTATGACTTTAGATCATGATGTTCAAAATAAAACTGAAAAAAATTTAACAAAATATTCAAATATTCAAAATTTTGCAAAAGAACAAGGTGTTGATTTTTATCCTGCTGGTAGAGGTATTGGTCATCAAATTATGATTGAAGAAGGTTATGCTTTCCCTTTAAATTTATCAGTTGCTTCTGATTCTCATTCAAATACTTATGGTGGTATTGGTGCTTTGGGGACACCAATTGTTAGAACTGATGCTGCTTCAATTTGGGCTACGGGACAAACTTGGTGGCAAATTCCACCAGTTGCTAAAGTGGAATTAAAAGGTAGATTACCAAAAGGTGTTACAGGTAAAGATGTTATCGTGGCATTATGTGGTGTTTTCAATAATGATGAAGTTTTGAATCATGCTATTGAATTCCATGGTGAATTTATTAATGAATTATCTGTTGATTATAGATTAACAATTGCAAATATGACAACTGAATGGGGTGCATTATCTGGTTTATTCCCAGTTGATGAAACTTTAATTCAATGGTATCAAAATAGATTAAAAATTTTACCTCAACCTCATCCAAGAGTAAATCAAGAAACTGTTCAAAATTTAATTGATAATAAAGTTGATGCTGATTCTGATGCTGTTTATGCAAAACATTTAGTCTTAGATTTAAGTACATTATCTCCATATATTTCAGGTCCAAATTCTGTTAAAGTTTCAAATTCATTAGCTGATTTATCTGCCCAAAATTTAAAAGTTAATAAAGCTTATTTAGTGTCATGTACAAATTCTCGTTTAAGTGATATTAAAGCAGCTGCAGATGTTGTTAAAGGTCACAAGATTGCCCCAGGGGTAGAATTTTATATTGCTGCAGCTTCATCAAATGTTCAAAAAGATGCTGAAGCTGATGGTGCTTGGAAAATTTTATTAGATGCAGGTGCTATCCCATTACCTGCAGGTTGTGGTCCATGTATTGGATTAGGTACTGGTTTATTAAAAGATGGTGAAATTGGTATTTCTGCTACAAATCGTAATTTTAAAGGTAGAATGGGTTCAAAAGATGCTTTAGCTTATTTAGCTTCACCTGAAGTTGTTGCAGCTTCTGCTGTTTTAGGTAAAATTGGTGGTCCAGAAGAATTAGATGGTTCACCAGCTAATGGTGCACTTGGTATCCATAAGGAAATTAGAATCCCAGAAAAACCTAAATCAACTGAAGACGAGACTGTTACAGGTGGTGTTGAAGTTTTACCAGAATTTCCAAAATCAATTGAAGGTGAATTAATTCTTTGTGATGCTGATAATATTAATACTGATGGTATTTATCCAGGTAAATATACTTATCAAGATGATGTTTCAAGAGAAAAAATGGCTGAAGTTTGTATGGAAAATTATGATTCAGAATTTGGTTCCAAGACAGGAGCTGGTGATATTATAATTTCAGGTTTTAATTTTGGTACAGGTTCATCAAGAGAACAAGCTGCAACTGCAATTTTAGCAAGAGATATGAAATTAATTGTTGCAGGTTCATTTGGTAATATTTTTGGTAGAAATAGTATTAATAATGCTTTATTAACTTTAGAAATTCCAGATTTAATTAATATGTTGAGAGATAAATATAAAGATTCTCCAAAAGAATTAACAAGAAGAACTGGTTGGTTTTTAAATTGGAATGTTGAAACTGCTACTGTTACTGTTAAAGATGGTAAAGATGGTGAAGTTGTTTTACAACAAAAAGTTGGTGAATTAGGTGCTAATTTACAAGAAATTATTGTTAAAGGTGGTCTTGAAGGTTGGGTTAAATCTCAATTATAGATTATTGTTTGATCATATAGCATTTTGTACAGTATTAAAATCATATATATAGATTGTTAGATTAATTTTATGCATTTTTGAAATACTGAAGAGCGTAGCTGTATAAATAACTACAAATATGTCTATTTTTAATCCTTTTTTTATGAAAATGCTAATATACAATGTTTTTGATATAATTATGTACGGTCATGCCATCATTCTTCTTTAAACTTTGTCCCCCAATAAAATTATATTACTCTTTATCGTTTTACCTCATAATAATACAATTTATTCCAATGCTGGAATTTCTTTTACCACTTCATCAAAACCTTCACGATATTCTTCAGATTTACCATCAGATTTATTTTTTTTACCACCACCTGGAACAATCATAACAACAGAAGTTGGTCTCTTAGTAGCACCAGCTGAACCTAAATCTTCTTTTGATGGAATGAAAACAAATGGAACTGAACTATCTTCACACAAGATTGGGATATGAGAAATAACATCTGGTGGAGAAATATCACCAGCAATGACAACAAGACCTTTTTCACCTTTTCTTAAAGATTTAACAACTTCTTTAACACCTCTTTTAACATGTTTAGCTTTTGATGCCTTTTTAACGGTTTTTAAAACTTTTTTATTCAATTTCTTTGGAGCTAATGGTTTAGCAAAAGGTAAGACTGCAGACATTCTTTTTTCATAGTTGTCTTCACCAGCTTCCTCCTTGACACTCTTTTCCTTCTTAGCCATTGTGTATATATAATGATTGATATAATCTTACTATTCTGTTAATATTTCATAGTTAAGCTCTGCTCATCTTAAAATTTTTTTTCCTTCATCAAATTTCCGGTAAGTGCACATAACACAATTTACCCGGAGTTTGATATTTTCCAATTACGTAATCAAAGATTTGATGAAAAATTCAATTTTTGATTTTAATTGAACAGGACATAAATATTGAAAATGTACTGGAGAAAGAATTGATCCTATTGATTAGTTATTGGAAGAATGTTCAGTCAGAAGCTTGTGAGCCAGGGGAACATCCGTTTGTTCTCCACATCCAGTGCTGCTGCTGGTAGAGTCGGTTGTTCTCTTGTGAAACCAGTTCATCATTTGATCAAGATTGACAAGAACAAATTATCACCAAGATTCCCAGAATTGAATCTAGAGAAAAATGATATTAGAAACCCTGGTTTTAGACCAGTTGCTACTCATCAAGATCGTGTTGCTGAACATTATACAAACACTTTACAATCCGATTTATTATTAATGAATTTCCAACATAATCAAAGACGTAAAGAAGGTTTAAAAAGAAGACAATGGGATGGTTCTTCACCAAATCATCCTTCTCGTACTTTAAGAAAACCAAAAGGTTCAGAAGTGGAAACTCCAGATATTAAAATCTATACTGATAAAAACATTCCAATAATTGAATCAATAACGTTAAATTGTTATACAAAATTAGCAAAAGATAATGCAAATCATGCAATTTCTGCTGCTTTACAATTACAACAAATTACAAATTGTAAACCAAAACCTTTACATTCAAGAAAAGATGTTATCGCTTGGGGTGTTCGTAGAGGTTGGTTAATGGGTGCAAAAGTTGAATTAAAAGGTAGACCATTATCACAATTTTTATCAACTTTAACAGAAATTGTATTCCCAAGAATTCGTGAATTTAAAGGTCTTTCATCAAGAGCTGGTGATAAAACTGGTAATCTTTCAATGGGGTTAACTCATGAAGAAATTAGTTTCTTCCCAGAAATTGAATCAAATCAAGATCAATGGTCAAAAACTTATGGTATGCATATTAATATTAAAACAACCGCTCAAACTGATACTGAAGCTAGAAGATTATTAAGTGCTTATGGGTTCCCAATTCATGGTACTGAAAGAAAAAATGCATTTTAAATATAGTTGTATAAATAATTTGTTAGAAATAAAACATTGTAAATAGGAAAATATTCATATATCGTAGTTAGAACTTAGGCTCATAAATTTACAACCTAATCAACAAAAAAAACATATTAAATTTCTCTTTTTTTAATCTTTAAACAAATTACTTCTATACATAAACATAAAATTTCCTTTTTTATTTCAAACTCAAACACTTGTTAATTTAGCTTTATTTGTTTTACGTGCAATAGATGCAACTCTATCACCTAATGATAATGCTAAACCTTGACCTTTAGAACGAATACGAACATGACCAACAATTGGACCATCAGTTTTCTTTTCAATACATAAATTAGCTAAAGCATCTTCACCAAATGATGATTTGGAATATAAATTTGCACTTAAAAATTGACATTCTTCACCAATAACTGCACCTGGGGTTAAACATGACATATTTGTACCTTTTAATAATTCATCTAAATAATCTTTTAATGATGGTAAATTAGATTTAATAACAATTTTATTTTCCCATTCAAATTCATTCCACATTGTACGGAATTTATTTTCTGAACATTTAGCAGGTTTAATATAATCCATAATATCAACATGAACATCATTTAAAATAACAACTTTATTTTCTGCACCATGACCACCATCATAAACAATATTACCAAAGACAACACCAGTATCAGCTGAGGTAACTTTAATTGTTGTTTGAATTTTGAAAAATCCATGTGCTGGAATGTTTTGTGTAGTTGGTTTATCAATAACTTTTAAATCACCTAATGTTGCAAATTCAACATGTAAATTACGTAAAGTTTCTGTTGTTTGATTAACTAATAAAACATCTAAAACAACATCAAATTGATGAACTTTAACATAAGCTTCTGCATAAACTGGATCTGAAAACCCAGTTAATTGAACAATTTTATTTAATCTTGATGATAAATCTTCTTCAACTTTAACACCTGTAGCTAAAGTTAAATCTTCATCAACATCTGAAGTTGTTTCTTGTTTACCAAATTGTCTAAATTGAATAACTTCATCAACTTGTTGTGAATTTTTTTGAATTTCTGCTTGATCAAGTTTAGCTTTTCTTTTATCTTCAGCTTCAACTTGTTCTTTATAAGCATCTTTAGTTGCTTCTAAGAATGCAACTTCTAATAATTTACTTTCTTTACCTTCAGCAATATATGTAATTGCAGTTAAAATTCTTTCTCCAGAATCTTCATCAATTTTTTTAGAAACATATGAAGTTTGACCAACTCTTAATATACTAACCAAAATTAATAAACCTTCAGCTTTCAAAGCATTTAAAATTGTAGCATTTTGTGATATTTCTTGAAATCTTAAAATTAATTTAACAAAAGTTGATGATAAAATTGCAGTTGTATAAAATTCACCATCAAGAATAAATTGACGTAATGGTGGTCTTGTTTCTTCTTTAGTAACTTTCTTTTCTGAAGTTAATGCAGATTCAGTAGCATAAGTACCATCTGGTAAAACAATTGGTTTTGATTGTCCGTTTAATTTTTTACCTTCATCTTCATGTTCTTCTTCTGGTTCACCAATACGTCTTCTTTCTGATTGAATAATTGGAATTTCACCAACACTTGAACGAATATGTTTCCAAGCATCTTGAATATCTTTTTCAGTCAAAGCATATTCACCAATGATCCATAAAGCACCACGGAAAACTTTTCCACTTCTAATGTTATCTAATGAATTTAATAAACGTTGAACAATTGAACTTCTTAAATCTGGATATTTTTCAACAACTTCTTTAATGAAGGCTAAAACATCTGTAGCTGATGTAGTTGATAAATCAGCAATGAAATCTAATAATAAATCAACAACACTTGCTGCAATTTGTGAAAATTTGATAGCTGTTTGATGGATAGCTGAGATTAATATTTGACGATATTCAACAGCTTTATCAGCATCTGATGTGACAGTTTTTTGTAATTCCTTCTTGAATAATTTTAATACTTCATCAACATTACGACTTGAAATTGATTCAAGAGCGATTTCAATAGCTCTTTTTCTAATATCAATATCTGGTGTGGATAAAATTCTTAAGATATCTAAAGTTAAATCTTCTAGTATACCTGGGTTTTTCTTATGGATATCATGTATTCTTTCCAAAACAATCAATTTGATATTATTGTCTGATTCTTTAATTGCTAATTCAATGAATTTATTACCAGCTAAGGCAACAAATGATGGGTTACTTGTTAATGCAGTAATTGTATTAGAAGCTTCATAGATAACAGTGTTTGAATTTGATTCTAACAATTCTGATAATAAATTAATATATCTTGTTCTTAATTCTGGTGCTTTATCTTTTCTAATAAATTCAATGAAAGCTAATTGTAATAATGGATCTATTGTTTCTAAAGCAGCAACATTTTCTTGAATGAAACGTAAAGCACCTTCTCTGTCCAAATTACCTAATGCAATGAAAGCATTACGTTTACATGTTGGATCAGTTTCAGTGACTAAGAAATCATTGATAATTTCTGGAGCGTCTGGAATTAAATGATCTGAAACCAAATAAATTGCATAAATGGCAAAAATTGCATATTTACGAACATAAGCATGACGATGTTCTAAACATGCACGAGCTGATGGAACCAGTTGTTCTAATAAATCAGGTTCTTTTAATTTGGTTAAGAATCTCAATGTATTACCACGGATGTATTCATTTGGGTGTTGAAGATCTCTTTGAATGGCATTACAAACTAAAATCATTTCTTGTTTTAATTTACCATCTGAATCTAATTTTGGAACAATTTCCCAATAGAAATATAATAATTTCTTCAATTCTTTGCTTCTTGAAGGCATAACATAACGGATGACATGCATCAATAATTCAGGCATTGGATTACCATCAAGCATGGTGATCAAAATTTGTTTCATGGCATCAATTTTAGATTCATCTTTACCTTTCTCCAATAAAGTTTTGAATTCATTGATGGAAACCTTACTAGCAGGGTTCGGGTCAAAGACCAAAGTGTAAGCAACGTCAGACATCTTTCAAAGCCTATGAATGAGCTAATATATCAACTAGTTAGTTGGTCAAGATCTGGGTTGGAAACGATTGAACAATGTTATTGAATTGTAACACGTACAAATTCAGAATCAAAATGACAATTTTCCTTTTTAGCGCGTGATTTTTCTTTGGGAAATTAATGAATCAGCCCTATAACCACCGTTCAATCTTCTTGATAAAATTGTCCACTTACTATTCAGCCTTTTAGGAGAATTAGATCAATGCCTTTTGGGTTGGTTATCAAAGCGTTCTTCCGTTGATCTGGCTTAGTGAAATTGTTGTTGTTGTTCTTTTTTCGAGTTTCCACCAGGGGAGCTAAATTCGCGGAAATCGTTGACTTCCCGATTTGGAAATAACTTTCAATGAAAATTCAATACAATGAAAATATACTACAAAAAACAAAAATTAGATTGAATATATCTTCATTATAAATATTACGAAATTAAGTATTAATCATCTTCATCGATGTCTGGATTAGCAATGTATAATGTCATATTGTTAACTGGTTTCACTGTACTCATGACACTACCAGATCTTCCTAATTGAGGACCAATCCTATCATTTAGCAAGGTACCAGATCTTGTTAATGCAGCCTGAGCAGCAGCTGAGTTACCAGATCCTGGAAGTGAATTTGTGAAGCCACTAACACTTGATGGAGTTCTATTTGGAGAAAAATTTGAAAGTGATTGTGAAGGTGAATGAAGTGAAGGTGTTCTTGATTTTTCTAATTCATTGATGGAAGATTGACCATCCATCGTTGACACAACTTCAGTTGAAATATCATCATCATCAACTTCAGATGCTAATAATCTTGGTTTTATCTTACCATGTTTCAAATCACTTTTATTTGTACGTTGAGCTCTTTTATAAGCTGTTCTTGAAGAATGTGTACTCATCTTGGAATGATCAATATCAGCAATACCGATTGGAACACCCCAAGTTCTAGCTGAAACATCACTATTTGCTGTTCCAGAACTCATTCTCAACATTTCAACATAACTTGATTTTTCAGGTTCATGAGCTTCTGGTGGTGGTACTGTTAAATCATTTGCTTGATTTTCTTGTAATGTATTATAATTAAATGCAGGTGGTGGTTGACTTGTGGATAATGATCTGGCAGCTCTTGTTGTCTTTGGAGCAGCACTTAATGGAGGTGGTCTTCGTGAAGCAGCACTTGCAACTTTGGCATATTGGACTGGTGCAACTGTATCATCTCTTCTATCATATGCATTGATTGGGCTGGTAGTAGAGACTGGACTTTCGTATGGAGGATTTGGATTCTTAGATAAATCAATATCACTCATATTATTTGGATTATTTGCAAATCTTGGTGAAGTTGATTTTGGTTCAAATGAAAAATCAGTCTGTACAGGAGATTTAGCTATAAAACTCAACATTTCTTCATCATCTGAATCTCTATTTCTACCAGGGCTATTTGTTACTTGTTGATGAATAACGCTATAATCATTGTTTAATGCATCTGGTCGACTATCATCGAACGATTGATCATATGAAAATTGTCTTGAACTTTGATCGTCATCTTCATCTGAATAATTACCAGTATTGACCACATGAAATCTTCTTGTTTGAGCAGCTTGTCCATAATAAGATGATGAAGCCTGGTCACTTTCATTATTTCTTGAAGATCTATCATAATTATATCCTTCATCACCAGATGTAGTACTTGATTTGACTTGAGATGATGGTACATTTGAACTATAGGAATGACTTTCAATTGGTGATCCAATATCTGAAATATTATGATATGAATGTGATCTTGGTATTGAAAGCTGTTGATCATAATTATTTCCACCATTGAAGTTGAACTCTTCTGTATAATCACCAAATTCGTTTCTTGGTTGAAACTCTTCCCCAGTATATTGATCAAACTCATTTCTTGGTTCAAGACCTCTTTCGAAAGTGCCACCGTTAGCTCTAAAGTCATTGATATCATCGTCTTCGTCATCATCATCATCAGTAAGACCCATTCTTCCAGGTGTTGGAGCTGGTATGTTTAGTTCATCTCTACTCTTGTGTGGTGTATCATTGATATTACCTCCATAATATCCAACCTCTGGCTGTACTGAACTAGCTCTTGAATCAAAATTATCCAATCCTCCAACGTGACCATAATCGAATTCACTTGGATTGAATGCTTCTTCTTGTCCCGATAACGATGGTTGTATTATAGCTTCTTCTCTTCTTTGATTTTTCTTGAAATCTTCATCAGATGAATCTTGGAATAATGACCCTTGATCAGCATCATTATCTTCGGCATCTGGATTATGAACTCTTAACTGTTGTTTCTCAGATTCTTGTTGTAATTCTGGTTCTGAATCATAATCATAATCATCTCCATCATAACTAACTTCTTCATATAATGCAGATCTTCTAGGTTCTTGTTGACCTGATGGTAGTAATTCATTACCAAGTTGTAAAGCTAAAGGTGATACTGGAGAAATTTCATCAGGGTCTTCATTAACATGTGAAGGAATTGCACTCTGAAATTCTTCAATATCTCTCAGGATATCATCAGATAATGATAATTGTTTACCATGACCTTTACCTGGTTCATTTTGTTTAGATGGTGATGCTAAATATGGAGCACTTGATGTGGTTATATCAGAGACACCACTTCTTGTCTTTTTATGGAAAAACAGAGGTTGAACTTCGAAACTTGTATCAGGATCATCACCAAGTTCAACTTGAACTTGTTCTGGGAATTTTGGTAATTCAACGTCTTTATTCTGGGTGTCTAATTGTAAAGGTGGAGTTTGAGCTTGATCGAGTTTGGGTGGATTATTAATATCTTCATTAATAGGTTCTTGTTCAACTATATTAGCTTGACTTGTATCATTCGGAGTTTCATAAATCATACTACTTTGTGAATTATCTCTAAACTCTGATGCTGAGGCAAAACTATCAGCTTGTGAATAATTATTTGATGAGTCAATGAATGGTGATCTTGCATTGAGAGGTTCAGTCATGCTAACCTGGAAACTATCAGTACTTTGGAAAGGTATATCATTATAAGGTTGAGTTTCTTGAATAAGTGGTTCTTGAGCAGGTGGGTTTATAGGTTGTACTGGAGTCCTGTCATCAATATTCAAATCTGCTGTTCTTCTTTCTATTTCTTTAGTATCATTTGATTGTTGTTGAGATTCTATCTGAGGTTCTGTTTTTGGTACACTTTCATCAGATTTATTTGGTGTAATGACAATACTTGGAGGTAAAGGTGGTTGTAAAGTTTGACTCTGTGGTTCAGTGAAGGGTATATCATTACCTGATACAGTTCTCAAATTTGATGGTTTTTGAGGTGAAGGTCCATTTAAAAGATCTTTTGGTTTGACTTCTTCTTCTTCTTCTTGAACAGATGTTGAATCTAATTTTGAACTTTGGAATGATAAGGCAGAACCTGTTATTGAATTTGTTGAGTAATTATTAAGACCACCTAAGGATGATGAACTATCATTTGCTGCTGCTTCAGTTGGTGGTTTCCTTCTTGGTGGTGCATCTTTCTTGGTTAAAGAAACTGATCTTCCCTTGATTGTAACTGGTGGAGCATTTAAAGTATTATTATAATCAGGTACAGGAGGGACACTAAAGTTCACATCTAAATTAGAACGAGGTAAATCATTTGGTGTGACCTTTTCCTGGGTACTTTGAGAAGATGATCTGTGCTTTATTGGATTTGGAATGTGTAACGGATGTGATTTTGATGAAGTTGATTGTACTGGTAAAGGTGCTGGTTTTGTAGAAGATGGGCCAGAACTAATTGAACTTGCTGGTTTGGGTTGTGGCTTCGGTAAAGTTCTTGAGCTGGATGGAGGATCAAAAGGTGAAGGTTGAGATGATCTTGTAGAGCTCTGTTGTGAAGTTGATTGAGCATTGGCTGCTAAGTTTTGAGCAGGGTTCTTCTTTCTGTTCACCACTTCAAACTTGGTCTCTTTGGGCGTACTTTTCGCAAAGGGGAACAAGATGGAGCGTCTTTTCTCTGATGTACCCATTCTTGTTCTTCTAAGCTCTTCAAATGACTTTTCCTTCTGGTTTATTTCAAAGAGTTGTTGCTTAAATCCAAGCTTGTTGTTTTGTTTTGAAAGTGACAGTTTCTAAATTTGTTTTTCGTCAAAAGCTTTTCTAAAATTTCCCCTTGCATATCAAAAGTTATAATTAACCAAAAACGATGGAAACTGGACAGAACAGGAAAACAAAGAGATAAAGGCAGCTATCCTATGATTCATATCTAAATTCATTCATTTTGGGCATCTATTGTTTGGAGAACATGGAGCACTGATACTATCATCGTACTAGAGGTATATAAACTTTAAAAATGAAAATTTTCTACGTTAATGGAGTAATTAATCATATCAACTATAGTTCAATTCAGTATTTATCTAGCCATTCTACTACGCGCGTATATTATCTGGCTAGTATAGAGTCACATTTGGCTATATAAATATACTACATCTCTTTCAAACCAAAAGAAAATTCCTGAATTCATATGCATTTTTTCTTTTAAACTATAAGCGATTTCAAATATTGTAAAGCAGTCAAATTATTCTCTGAAAGCCCACTAATTGTAACAATCTTATACTGTGTATCCTTTGGATGATCATCAATAATGACATTACTATTGGATTTGGATCTAATTTCTGTGATTTTCAACCCATTATGACCAATAACATTACTAATAGAATCCACTGGTACATCAATAACATGTTTAAATGTATCTAATGATTTGATATTTTTTTGACATTCTTTTATAAATTCTTCAATTTGATTATGACTATGAATTTTTGGATCAGTTTTTGTTATTTTATCATGTTCTTTGAAATCCTGGTGAAGATATTTAATAAAAGATTCTTTACTTTTATCTAATAATTTTTGATTAGTTTCTGATCTAACATATTTATCACCTCTAACAGCTAATAATGGGAATGGTTCTGGTGGGAAATCTTTTATTATTTGATTTTGTATTGGTATATTAGCAATTTCTTTAACCAATGTAGAAATGGAAAGCATCAATTGTGGAATTCTTCCTTTAATATATACTGTTTGATAATTTGAAAAAGGAACGAAAACAGATGATATATCAATAGAAGTGATTAATTTAGTTAATTTGGCACGAGTTATACTTTCAATAATACTACCTGGTATTAGCAATGTTGTGGATAATTTAGTTTCTGTAGTTGGATCTTCTAATATGGAAGCTAATGATGTACTTATATGAGCTACTGCAATTGCAATCTCTTGAATACCACCAGTAACAAGCACTTCTCTATCTATACTTCCCTCCACTATGTCTGTTACCAATAACACAGCATTTGATAATTTCTGTATCTTATCAATTATGTTTTTACCTTCAACTGAAGTGAAATAATTACCAGGTCCTGTTAGATATCTCCCTTCAGTAATGGATATTGATATTCTCAATTGGAATTGACCCGGTGTATCTGTATTCAATCTATATGTAGTGGAATCTATCAATTTAAGCACTGCTTCTTCTTTCTCTTCCTTAGATTTTTCCTGACCTGGTTTGTACGTGTCACCCTTTGAGGATGGTAATGGTGGTAGCTCAGCAGCTGGTGTTTTCGGACGCTTATTTTGTTCTTCAGGAACTTCTGAATCTCTTTTTGACGATGGTCTTCCTCTTTTCTTAGGTGGCATTGTGAATCTATAGCTTTGTCTCTTTTTGTTTGTCTATTTCCTGTTCTTTTCTGGTTCTGTTGAAGTTGTTGATGTTGATGTTTTTGATGTACTTTCTTTCCTTTACTAAAAAATCAATTTTTTTAAATGTTCAAAAAAAGTTCAAGTAAGAAAACCATCAACAAACAATTGATTTTGAAACTTTCAAAGGAAACAACAATTGTGCTACAAGCTACACCTTCTATAAAGATATGAGATTCAGTCCACATCGAACAATCTCAAACACATCCAGAGAACAGATCGATCCTGGTTATGATTCGCTTTCTGATGACGAATATACAGATGAAGGACCTTTGGGACTTATTGATTCATCACCATTGAAATCAGTTCTAACGCCCTCAAAATCAATTTCATCGAGTCATTTAGGTAAAAAAGGATTGAGAAAGACATACCAAGTATTCAATTCATCACCTTTGGCTTCTAAAGCAGATAATGATTATATTGAGAAATCTAAATCAAAACAACATTTACAAGTACATGATTTAGATTCAGAATTTGAAGAAGAAGAAGAAATTGAAAGTGAAAGTGAAAGTGATGATAATAATGGAAATGCAGACATATCAGAATCATTTGATGAATTATCAGAACTGCTGAAAGACCTTAAATTCAAAGAACGTTATGAATTAGTTCAACAATCAAAACAATATTCATCAAGAATCAATTCAAGATCAACAAGTAGAATATCAAGCAGGCCAAGTTCTGCAAGACATACAAGAAGACCATCATTACATGAACTTGGAACGGATCCTTCATCTCCATCTAATGATCAAAGTGGGAATTCTTCTAGACCAAGTACCAGAGAGTCATATATACAAAAAATTCAAGAATCAATTATTAATGATGTTGAAACAAGAGCATCAACCCGTTCAAGAGAAGTTACATCACAATTAGAAGCCATTGAACTTGAACGTAAACGTTTAGAGGAAGAAAGAAAGAGAAGAGAAGAAGAAGAAAGAAGAAGAGCAGAAGAAGAACGTAAACGTAAAGAAGAAGAAGAACGTCAAAGAAAAGCAGAAGAAGAACGTCAAAGAATAGAAGCTGAAAAGAAAGCTAAAGAAGAAGCTGAAAGATTAGCAAGAGAAAGGAAGGAAAAAGAAGAACGTGAAGCTAAAGAAGCTAAAAAGAAAGCTGAAGATGAAGCTAAAAGACAAAAAGAACAAGAAGAACAAGATGCTAAAAAGGGTAAAGGTATAACGAATTATAAAGAAGTTGAAAAACAATTTTTCCATTATAAAAAATTAATTGAAACAATTAAATCAGATATAGTTTTAAAAGTTAAAAATGATTTAGGTACCAAGAATGCAGTTTTAAAACATAAAAGAAAAATTAATCCAAAATTTGGTCAATTAACTAATAGTATGACACAATTATCACGTATAAGTAATGAAGTGATAACATTAATCAATGAAACAAAATCAAATGAATTAGCATATAAATGGATTTTAAATTTTGTTGCAAAAGCTATTGTGGCACAAGCAGAAACAGAAGTTAGAGTTCAACCAACATCATCATTACCATTAGCAAAATTAACATTAAACTTACTTGTTGAATTCCCTGAATTAAAAGAATTATTAATGGCAAGATTTGTTAAGAAATGTCCATTAGTTATTGGTTATACATGTAATGTTGATACTGAAGAAGGTAGATTACGTATGGGATGGAAAAGACATGATGGAAGTAAATGGGAAGATGAAATTAGTTATGATGAAAGATTAGGAGGTATAATGACATTATATGCAGTATTAACTAAAATTCCATTAGATTCTAAATATTTTAACAATTTGGAACATCCATTTGATATATCAAATAGTTGGATTTTATTAGCAAGAATTATAAATTTACCTTCACATTTATTATTAAATGTTCATTTTATTGTTATATCATCATGGTGGGAAGCATGTGCAAATGAATTAATTCAAATTTATGGTAAACAAGGTGAAAAATTATTAAATTTGATTTGGACTTTATGGGCACAAAGTGTTAATGATAAAAATTATAGTGGTGCTAAAACTTTACAAACAATTGGTGAAGATTGGCAAACAAGTGGGAAATTGAAGACTTTTGAACCAATGGAGGCATAAAATCTATACATATAAATCATTAAGCATTAAAATGTAGATAAACGGTATTATAACGATTTCGATTCTCTCTAGCTCTTTCATTAACTTTTCGCACAGGGTGTGAACATGTTCCACTAAGTTTCGGGCGAAATAAACGTATTTAAGAGAGCTTTATCTCGACACTCTAACACAAAACAGGTATATCATTAGCTAATTTTAGTCAATAAATTATTCTACATAGAACTTACTAATTCATAAACACCCATCTATATTTTAAAAATTCAAGCCTGTGTACTTGTCATATCTTTGGCGAATCTGCCCCAGCTAGTTGTGAAGTCAGCCAAAATCGAAATCGGTAACGCGCAACATGTCCGAAAACCACAATTCGTATCACAATCACGGGAAAGTAATGAAAAGTTATATCTTAATCATTTATACTTATATGTTCAAGACTTTCTTTTCAATACCAACTTTCATTAGATCCCATAATAGACTATATACAACAACCCCAATGGTCAGACCAGACATTCCTATTCCTCAAACTCCACAACCACCATATCCAATAACGGAACATGATGTTAAAATTGTGGCAGGTTTTGGTAGAGGTTCATCAGAATTAGGTATACCAACTGCAAATATTTTAACAACTGAACTTTTAAATGTTCAAAAATTAGACCCGGGGGTATATTTTGGTTATGTTAGAGTTAAAAAGGATGAATCACATACCACAAATGAAATTAAACAAAGAGAAAATGGTAGTGATGTTGATTATAAATATGGTAATGATTTAATTGAAGGTAAAGATCTTAATGTTATTTTACCTCATGTTATGTCAATTGGATGGAATCCATTTTATGGTAATAAAGAAAAAGCTGTGGAATTACATATCATTCATGAATTTAATTCAACTTTTTATGGAGCAAAAGTTGATTTTAATGTATTAGGTTATATAAGACCTGAATTAAATTATACTACAAAAGGTGAGTGTTTTGATCTATATTTATATATTATATGATACTAACAAATAAATTATAATAAGAGGCATTGATTGAAGATATCCAAACAGATATCAATATTGGATTGAAAACACTTGAAACTCCTGAATATCAAAAATTTAAAGATTTCTAGAGAAAAAAAAAATTGTAAAAATGACATGAGTTGAAATTGATAATAATAATAGGAAAGAATGATTGTTGTTGCAAAAGATAAACTAATAGTTTGATAGAGATATAAATGACATTTAATTGGGAAAAAATCCCCCTCCTCCTGTAGACCACTCATATATCTTTTTTATCATCATCATGTTCATTACCACCAGTAATCATATCATAAATAATTGCATAAGCAACTTTAGCCATTCTATAAAACCAATATAAATTTAAAATATTTAAAATTGAATTACCACCCATAATAACTAAAGCACCAAATAATGAAAATCTTTCATCTGATGAAGCATTTATGAAATCTGAACCTAAATGATAAGCTTGATACCAACCATAACAAATTCTAATAAAGAAAAAAATTAATATTAAAATTGCATTATTAATTAAATTAAATAAATCTGAAAATAAATTTGGAAATTTAATACCAAACCATCTTAAATTTAAAAATGGAGTTGAAATTTCAAATAATATAAAAATTGGTGCATAAAACATAATATAAGGTTTTAATCCAATTAAAAAAACTGAACTTGAAACTAATCCATGAATTAAAAATCCAATACCAAAAAATTTAACATAAATTATTGAAATTATTGTATCCCAAATAAAATAACCCAAAGCCATTGTTGCAATAAATCCACCATATGGAGTATATCCAAACACGCGATCTTGTGATAAAATAGGATCATTAAATAATGGAATAATTGCTAATAAGATTAAAACAGATTGAACCATTGAAACAACATGAATATGGAAATCAACTTTATTTTTAGTAGATAATGTTTTAAAAGCATTGGGAAATAATAAAGGACTGAGGATTGAAGATAATGTGAAAACTGAATGATATGCAATGATAACAAGTATTAATTCATTAATATGATTATCTAAAACTGGATTGTTATATAAAGGTTTAATGAATTTATCAACATATGGTAATTCAACATGTGAAAATGGATCATTATATCTTGATGCTGTAAAGAATTGAATTAAAGAACTCATTTTTGTGGGGTATGGCTTATGGAGAATGTGGAAAATGCAAATAGATAGCCAAATAAATAGCCAATTCCCTTTCTTTCAAAACAATTGAAATTCAACGGAGTTGGTAAAGATCTAAAGATTTCAATACAAACTTGATTTTTTTGTTTTTGTTTTAAATTAATCAACAAAAAATCGCCAATTTTATGGAATTTACGCGATTTAACCACAAAAACGAAAAATTATTTCATTTTGGCGTAAATTGGCGTAAATGGCGTAGATTTAGAAGTCAATTACTTTAATAGGAAATAATTGTATTTCTTACATAATCTCCGGGGCTGAGTATGACTAAGCAATATAAGATTATAAGATTTAAATTGATGTCACCTTAGAAACGAATTTTTAGCGTTTAAAAAGAGATAATCTTATTTAGTTAATCTTGGTGGATATTCTTCTTTGAAATTTACAGATCTTTTCTTTAATCCTTGATTATAGGATGTCTAGAAATAGGACTCTAGAGTTCATTAAGAAGAAACAGAATTGGTTATACTTGATTTATTTATTCCCATCAATTTACATTTATATTGACTCACAATATGATATAGCAATAAATCAATATGATGATTACAATACAACTGATATATCAAAAAGCTTAACATGTGATGTTTCCAACTTTACAAGAAATGATCTTATATGTGATTATATCTCTGAGAATTGTGATTTAGCAATATTCAATCATTCAAAGCAATTTTATTGTTCTAATTCAAATCTCAGCAAGGCAACATTAATAATTACAATATCAATCATTATAATATTAATTTTCATAACATTTGGTTTAATAACTTCAAATTTTCTTTATCCAAACTTAGATTTAATTTCCCAATTTTTAAATATATCAAATCGTATAAGTGGATTAACTTTATTATCTTTAGGTAATGCAACACCAGATTTTTTCAGTATTTTTAATGCATTTAATTCAAATTCAAATTCTTTAGCAATGGGGGAATTAATTGGTTCTGTTAATTTTGTTATAGTTTTCATTATTGGTTCAATGGGGGTTATGAAACCATTTAAAGTTAATCATGGAGTTTTTTTAAAAGATTTAATTTTTTTCAGTTTACTAATTGGTTTAGCAATTTTTTTTATCCAGGATTCAAAATTATATTCAATTGAATGTGGGTTGATGATTTTATTATATATTGGATATGTTAATTATTCCATTTTTTTCACAAATGAAGGTAAAGATACATTACTATTGGAAGTGGTTACTAATGATGAAGAAATGAATTTACCTCAAGCTGATCATCATGATCCAGAAATATCATCAATATTATCCACAATTGATGATAATAAAACCAAAGGATTAACAAAATTTAATTTCATTGATGCTATAAACATTTGGAAATCCATATCTCGTAATTCTAATAAATCATCAAATAGTTTAGAAAGACCAAATTCTGAACCTATTCAACCTCAGGTATCAATAACTCAAAGATCAAGATCAGAAAGTGAACCATTATTACCTAAAATTCATCATCCCAAACCAATTCATATACCTCCAATAATATTAGAAACACCATCACCATCGCCATCACCTCCACCATCATCACCAAAACTTCTTGATTTATTATTATCGAAAGACCCTATGGACCCACCATCATCAATATTAATCAAATCAACATATCCAATCTTAATAATCCTAAACCTCATAATCCCAGTATTATCAAATAAATCCAATCCACCAAATTTCCTAAAATTCAAACAAAAGTTATTAATCCTCCAATCAATAATAATCCCTTGGATAATCATATATCAAACATCGTTACCATGGACCATATCACCCTTGATTACAATCATCCTCTTCATATCCCAATTTTTAATCAATTCAAGATATATAATCCCTCCCTTGGGGTTCATTACATCAATATTAATAATAATAATCTTATCAACCCATCTAATAAACCTTTTAAAAAACATTGGAACTATGTTTAAAATTTCAGAAACTTTATTAGGTCTTACAATCCTTGCCCTAGGGAATTCAATGGGTGATTTAATATCAAATTTAACATTAGCAGAATTAGATCTATCTATTGTTGGTATAAATGCATGTTTTGGTTCACCATTAATTTATATTTTGCTGGGGGTTGGTATAAATGGATTAATCATTAATTTCCAACATGGTGAAAAAGTTATGGATTTAGATATTGATTTACAATTCAAGATTAGTTGTTTAGGATTATTTGGTGGATTAATCGTATTAGGTTTGGGGGTTCCAATTAATGGATGGTGGATTGATAGAAAGATTGGGATTGTTTGTATATTATGGTGGTGTTTAATAACAGGATTAAATATTTATTATAAATAAAGTGCTGGGTGTTTGGTGCTTAGAATGAAAATTCTTCAGTTATTAAATTAATATTATAATTTGAAGATTCTTTCCAAACTATAGTTTTTAAATCATTAATTAATGTTGTTGGACCACAACTTATTATACTAATCTTGGAATAATCTTCATTTAGTGAATCATAAATCAATTGTGATATTTGAGGTCTTCCTTGAGTAGAAGTATACCAAATTATAACTTGATCATTATTATGAAATTTTATCTTGGTTAATAGTGATGGATTTCTAATTATCCAAATGAATGATATATCAAATTCTGAAGAATTATGGAAATGATGGAATGATGATAAAATAAATGAAATTCCTGCACCACCTGCAATAAATATGATTTTTTGTTTTGGAGGGGTTATTGATGATGCAGTTGTTGTTATTGAAGAAAATGAATTTTTTGATATTAATTGAGTTGTTTCTGTGGTTGTTGTATTTGGTTTAATTATTTCAAAAGGTGATGATGTTGGTTCATGATGATGAATTGGAAATTTTTCAAAAGTATTACCATAAGGACCATGAATAAAACATGTATATACCTGGTTATTTGTTTTAAGGGCATGATGGAATAATTTTTTGGTAAAACCTTTATGTATTTTGATTATTAATATTGGGTTGGAATCTATTGGATGATTAGCTATAGTGAATGGATGTGATTGAGTCAATGAGATCCATGGTATATTTATAAATAAATGATTTGAAATATCCCATTGGAACGTTTTACCATATTTAAATAAACAAATATTTATAAATTTTTGATATTTATTCAGTCTTTGATAATTCAAATCAATTTCTAATATCATAAACTCATCTAATGGAGTTATATTTATAATTTCAACTTGACCAATCCAAAATTTCCAAATTAATCTAACAATTCTATCAAATCCTAAAAATCCAATAATGAATAACACAAATGGTTTACAAACATAATGATGTTTATATAACAAAGGTAAGAATCCAACAAAACTTAATAAATGTAAATAATAAAAAACTTCATACCACTTGGTCCTTATATAACTCCATGAACTTATTGAAATTAAACCAAAAAGAAAGATTGATGATATACCAGTTTGACCTTTTATTCCATTAAATAAATAATCCCAAGTTAAACACCATGAAAAAGCTAGACCATGAATCAATGCCATCACTATGACCAACACACCAATAAATTTATGATAAACAATTAAATTTTCATAACTTTGATTAATTAACATTAATAAAGGACCTGATTTTAATGGGATTAGATATAGTAATGGGATATTTATACCCGAGACTAAACCTGATCTTAGAGCAAAATTGAATGAATCATCCATTGGTAAATTAAATAAGAATATAAATAAATTGATTGAATAATATATTGATATTATTATGAATTGAGTATATTTGTTGAATATTAGGTTTATTGGATATGGTGGATGTGAATTTAATATTGAATTGATTCTATTGGTCCTTTGTGGTTGTTTACCTTTATAATATGTCCATACTTTTTGTAATTGTACTATCAAGATATAAATCAATGATATAGTTATTATAAAATTTTGATATTGATGTGTAATGTTTTTTGTAAACCTAATATGTTTATAAATTAAATCATGATCTTTCTTGAAAGGATCATAGAATCTGAATGGAGATTTATGTGACATTATAGCATTGTGTGTGGTCTATGAGTATATGGTTCTATGATTGTCTATGATCTATTATGTGACATATTTATGTATTGAAATATAAATATTTGATCTCGCTTACTCGGTGGTATTATAAATGGGTGTAATTGGCTTATCGGTGGCTTTACGTGCATGGCTTTGTGAATGCCACAATAGGAGAACGGGTCCGTCTTTAAAGCACCGTGTGTTGATTGTCTTATTATCAAAACTATACTTATACTACTATACTGTACTATACTACAGATCACTAGTTTATCAGATCTAATAGATGTAATAGATAATAATTGTGTTCTGTATGTGTATTACATAATCACTGTACCACACATTACATAATACAAACAATACTATAAATTAACCGCTGTGTGTTTTTTTGTTCACTTCTTAAATTCTTTCTTTCTTTTAAGAACGTTATTGTTTTCTTCTTCTCTCAAACATTGATCTGACTTTAAATTGAAGTTTCTCATACCTAATTTGAATGAGTTTGATATATTCTTTTTTCCTTCAGATGATCAATTGGCCATGATGAATTCTTTCGATCATGTCTTGAATGGGTAAATTGGTAGATTTAAAATATATTGAATATATTCTTCTTGAATGATTGATATTAGTATGTGGTATATCATGATTATCCAAATAAGCAATCTATATACATTCATATAATACAATGGGTATAATCAGAGTCATCTTTATTGAATCATATGGTTATCTATGTTTTTTAATTGATTTAATTGTAGTTGATCTATTGTACATGGCGGCTAATACTAATATAAATAGAACCAAAAATTCATGTCTTGTGTCTTTTTCAATATATTAACAATCAACTAAAACTTTTGTAACCTTTGAAGAAGAATTTTCGGCAGATAATGTATCTTCCTTTGGGTGTTTTGTACCAACTTGCATTTTTGTGTTTGATCATTATCAATTAAACACTTGCGATCTTTATTATGTGGTATATACTATGATTATTTAAATGATTATAATCTTATATATATTCAAATTAATACAAAACAAGAGATAATCAGATTCATTCACGTTGATGATGATTATTATTTATATTCTTATCTAGTTTGATTGTAGTTGATCTCTAATGTACATGGCGGTTAATTAGATATATCAATTGATTACAAGATCACGTTCATCACAGACCATATATAATGTGTTTCATAACCAAGCATTCTACTTTAAAACAAATCAAACATCGTATTAATTCACCTAAATTATCATGGACTTATCAATTGAGCTCTCATTAGAAGCTCATCAAGTGGGATTATATGCTCTTTAGGAATCATTCATTTGGATTATAATCAATGATATTGGAAATTGGGATCAAACATAATTTTATATAAGAGCAAGAACTAGTTATTGTTTTGATAAATTTTATCAAGCATTCATGGTTACAACTTACTTTATAATAAATTGAAATGAAAGTACGCGTTAATTAAGTACTTATATTCACTGCACTATATATTACATAATACAAAACGCTACATATAAATAAATTCAACAATCCTTAATTTTTTTGCCTTCGAATTAAAACTATCAAATTTTAATTTATTCACATCAGCTGCATTGATTAAGAAGAAAATCTCATTTGGTTTGTTTCGATTTATTTCAAATCTGGAAGAATCAACAAACTTTTGTTAATGAATACAATTTTCATGATGATAGGAATATTGATCCTTGATCTAGATTAAAAGATAATTAAAAGTAATTATATTGTACTTGACATGTTTATTGTTTATATGATGATTACTTGAATTATTAATCTATATAACACATATCAATACAATAGTTTATCATAATCAAATTCATTTATTTATTGATGATGATTATATCTGTTTTCAATTGATTAAATTGTAGCTGATCTATTGTACATTGTACATGGCGGTTAATACAATAATTGAGAAGGATCAATGGCAATATAATCATGGAATTATATTTAAGCATAGATTTAATATGGATAAATAATACTAGTATAATATCAACAATGTTGTAATGTGTGACGTATAATGTGTCATATTATATTATCCTGATTCATAATATCATTGTACTATGGATAATTATATAGATGTGTAATTTAAATTGAACTACGTGAGTACACAAAGCTTTATTTTCAATGTAAATTACACAAAAAAAAATTAACCGCTGTGATTTTGAATTCTTTCTTTTAAATAAACAACAAGAACAACTTCATGATCGTGAAGTATAGTACTATTTGATCTTCTGATTTGACTAATATAGTTGAACTAGCTCTGTTTCTTACTGTTTCAAATATTCTGTTAGAGAAAATATACCTCTTTACCCCTTATGAGCTGTGAAATTTGGATCTTTTATTTCCATATTTTGTTGGATGATCTTACTTTTATTATGTTTATACATTGATTATTTGATTGAGTAATCTATATAAAACATAGTACAATACATGTGAGTAATCAGATTCATTAAACATTGATGATGATGTTTATTATTTATTTTTCATATTCTTATCTATAGTTTTGTTGTAGTTGATTTGTATTTATTACATGGCGGTTAATTTAATGATCATTTGACGGAGATTACAAAAGGTTAATATAAGATAAAACAAATTAAGAAATAATAATTGAAGCTCAACATATAATGAATATAGAAAAAAACAGTTATATTGCTTCAATACAAATTTGATCAAGCATTAAGTATTTTCGATAAAAAAATATCAAGATAATGAATACCATGAGGATTATGACTTGAGAAGAATCAAACCACGAAATAATTGATACTAGATCCGAAATATATGATATATATTATATATTACTAAATATTAAATTGTATCATTCAATTAGTTATTGTACATTGACTTTTTGTAATTATATCTACAAATTCACAATGATGATCACTCATTTGATTTACATTACATAATGCACAGTTTATAGTATATAAATTAAAAAAATTCAAATTAAAAATTTCATCCTTTTTATATTTTACCTTTATACTCATCGGATCACTATACGATTCAATTTTTGTTGGGTAAGCATTGAATTGCTGTGCCATATTATTATAAATGGCGTGACTATTCTGTGGATATTGTAAGAAGACGGTTCAAGACTATTTTGGAAGTTCAATTCATAATAAATTATGGGTTTATATTAATGATTATTTAAATGATTATAATCTATATATAAACACACATTAATACAAGGTCGATATGATCTGATTCATCCAAAAATTGATGATGATTATTATTATGTTTTTGACTAATACAAAATTATGTAGTTTGATTGTAGTTGAACACTAATATAGACATGGCGGTTAATCATTCGCCACTAATCAAATAATTGAATCAATCAGTATAATAGAATTTCAATAGTATTTAAATACAGCACTATGATAAGATTGATTAAAAACATTAAATAACTACATATTTGGTATTAATAATTAAATCTCGTTGATCATTTATAACCCATGATTTTATTATTGTTAAATTGTTCTGATCTATCATGTGCATTAAATAATTGTAAATATTTACACAAAATAAATATTAACCGCTGTGATGTTTTTTGATTTCTTTCTTTTAAATAAACAACAAGAACAAGAATCAGAATTAACCAAGAAGATCAGTAAAACTAGGAAGAACAAATTTTAATAATTAAATTAATTAGTTTTGAATCATTGTCTTTAAATACAAGTCATTTTTTTTATGTTTGCCTAATTCTTAATTTTGGACAAGGTGGTCATATTTGATTAATGTCAAGTTGAAAGATATTAAGTGATATATAATGATTATTTAAATGATTATAATCTTATATATATTCAAATTAATACAATATAAGAGATGATCAGATTCATTTATTTTACATTGATGATGATTATTATTTATATTTATATCTAATTTAATTGTAGTTGATCTATTGTACATGGCGGTTAATACATTAATTAATAGACAATAGACGATAATCATGAATCAATAACTAAAATTAACATGGAATAACTATAGGAATAGTAGAGTGACTTCAATGTTGAATGTGTTATTTCATATCATTGTATATCATCATAAGATCATTAGTACTATGTTACTATAAAAAGATCATATAATACACAAAGTTGATCTTATTTTTCATGTATAAATTAAAAAAAAAATAACCGCTGTGATTACAACTTGTTTATATTTATTTAATTCAACCAACAACCCCAACTTTAAACTTGTTATATTTTGTTATCATATTTGTTATGGTTCATCGAGTACACGACTTATAATGGCGTCAACTGTGTGTGCTTTTCCTATAATTATGGAAGATTTATGATGTATCTTGTTCACATCGAAATATGATGTTTTTTATGTGGTATATAATGATTATTTAAAAGGTTAATCTATATATTCATAAATACAATGATATATAATCAGAGTCATTATTACATTGATGATGATGATTATAATTGTTTTTGATAATTATTAGTTCACTAATTGTAGTTGAACAATATTATTGGCGGTTAAAATCATCTTAAATTGTCACTACTTCCACTAATCAATTAACAGATTTCTGAATATGTAATATTTAATATATTAGATCCTATGTAATTGTATTTTTATAAATTAAATTACATAAATCATTTCGATATTTTGATATTGATACTTTGATACTGATTTTGATCATATTCTTGTTGTTGTATAGTATATTACGTAATCATCATACTATGTATTATATAATACAATATACTATTCTATGATCTAAGTTGATAACTATTAATATTTATATGATAGTATAGTTATATTAGTATATAGATATGGTGTATGGAGCATTCTCTCTCTAATAATACTAGTTTCAAGTAGATTGGATCACTTTGAAATTTCATGTTTTTACAATATGTTTAATTTTGAAACAGATTTAAATTTTATGAGGTTGATAAAATAAAAATTATAATTTTAAAATTCAAATAATTTTTAATTTTTGCATGTTTTAAATATAATTTTAAGATTATGTATATATAAGATATATCATTAATAAAACTTGAGATCATATTGATCATAAATATCCAAGTTCCTTAAGTATTAAATATACCATACTAATTCTACCACTTATAATATTACATAATCTAATAGATAACGATTACCTAACCAGAAGAAGTCTGTCCCCTACCAATTTCTCAAATGAATGATCATTATTTTTCTTCAGATTTTAATCAATAAATTGTACTGGGATTTAAACGAAATATAAACAACTGCTAAACAAATTATTAATAGACTAAGAAATTCTTTTGGTATTGGTAAAGATATAAAGGTATTATTATTACTACTGCTGTTATCACCACCACTGTTATTACCCCAGATTATCACTATTACTACTCCAGTTGCAAATCTTGGTTTAAGTACTAGTTAATCTATACTAAGATCATCATAACATTATTACAAATAATTAGACAAAGAAACAAACAGGTATTCATATATCATATTATATTATATCACAAATCACATAAACAACACTTGCTTATTTCAATTTTATGGTTATTACAATATAATATTGGCCTTATAAGGCCTATCAATAGTATAAGAATATAGTCATAAATACCATCATGTTGGGTAGATTATTTAATAATAGATCTAATGAACAATTAAATTCTCATCAAAATTCATCAATAAATATTTGTCATACCATGAATAATATGAATAGTTTAAACACTGGGAATAATATTATTGAAGATTTAAATTCAAGAACTATTCTTTATGGTACTTCAAATCCAATATTACCAATAAATATAAATTTATCAAAGTTTAGATTATTTATTATCCAGGATAAAGGTGAATTAATGGTTAAAAATAATTTTAAAATTTATTATGATTCAAATATAACAACAACAAATAATGGTACTACTACTAATAAGAATAAAATTGATTATAATATTTTCCAATTTTTAGAAATTATGTTTGGAAATTCAATTCATCATGATTTCCAATCAAATGAAACCATTAAAATACATAACTTGGAATCATTACAATTTACTTTAATTTCAAAACATTTTAATATAAAATTATCAAATCAAAAGAAAAATTTAAAATTTGCCATTGGTTTAATTATACCATGTTCAATAGATTTAATATCAACAACTATAACACCCAATTGGCAAACAATAATTCATTATTTATCAATATTCCAATCAATATTTATTAAAAATCATTTATTAAATTATAATAATTATTTAGATATTTCAATATTTTACAAGAATTTCATTAAAAATTTAAAAAATTTAATTATAACTCCAAGATTATTACCAGGATTAAATTTCATTAATAATAACTTCTTCCTCAAGAAATGGTGTTTTGAAATTAATAATTGGATTGAAATTAAAGATGGTTCAAAACCTTGCTTAGTTAATGGTTCAAAATTTTTATTAACTTTATTAACAATTATTCAAACTGTTAAATATCAATTGATTAATAATAATAGTGATGAATTTATAAGAATTATTATAATGGCTTCAAATTCAATGGTTGCAACAAAATTAATTTTTATATTGAATGGGATACTACCATTTAATTTAAAAATTAATCAATTAAATGATGGGAATATTGAATTAAAGAGAGATACAACAACAACAACAACAACAAACCCAATAAGTACAGGTACTCATAATGATAATCAATATCACCCACCTTCACCTCCAACACCACATCCAATGAAAAAAGGTTGGGAAATCCCCAAAACTCCATCAAAATCAATAACAACACCATCATTAATGACACCATGTAAATCATTAATTATTCAACCAAATTCTTCAACAAATTCCTCAATCCCCACATCAAATTCAATGAGTTATTTATCTTCTTCATTATCTTCATCTTCAACAAATTCATCTTCAACAATTTTTTCAAATTCTTTAACTAGAGGATTCCAATATTTACAAAATTGGAAAAATTCAACAAATAATGGGAATACAGGGGATGTTATTTCTTCAGGTTCAAGTTTTAAAACTCCTTCACCTGGGTTAGAATATGATGATTATCCATGGAATTCAAATCATAATGGTTCAATAAATAATAATATTTCAAATGGATATAGTACTGGTAGTAATATGAATACCATGAATAATAATTCAATTAAATTTAAAAAAATTGAATTAAATTCTTTAAATATTAAAAGATCAACAACAACATTATTCAAGATTAATAATAATATTTCCAAAAATGGAATTGAAGGTAAGGATAAATTTTCCCAGGAATTTAATGATCTTATGAATTCAGATATTGATTATAATTATAATTATGATTCATCAAAATCTGTATCAATCTTAGAAATCCCATTTGATGATGAAGACCAAGAAGACTCCGAGGATAAAGATTATGATTATAAAAAATTACCAAAATTATGTGGTTATGTTCAAGATTATTTACCAGATTTCCATATTCAAGCATGTCCAAATTCTCAAGATTTAGAATCAAAGATAATATCGTCAATGAAGAATTCATTAACTCAATTTAACAAATCCAAGACTTTTTTAATTTCATTAAGAATTAGAGAAATTAAAGAAATTCAATTAACAAAAAATGATGAAAAAAGGTATACTTCTTCAATAAGGAAAATTTATTATAATTCAAAACCAAATTTGAATTATTTAAATCAAGATAATTATACCAAAATTGAAATTTTATTTGAAAAAATTAGAAATTTATTTAAACAAGATGAAAATGATGAAGAAATTAATAAAATTCGGGATTATTTAAAGAATTTATGAAGATGAACCAACAAACAAAACAATATACAACATACAACATATAATATAAATATATATACATTTATAAATCATATAGACTATAATAATAATTTAAAAATATTGGTTAAATTGTATGAGTATAAAATACTCCGAATTGAAAAAATATTCGCGAATTTATTTTCAATATTTTGATTTTTTTAGCGCGCGTTGGAAAATTATTGAACAAATATCAACAAAATATCAGTCAAATTGGTAATTAATAAGCCATATAGTTGAGCTAGAGATCTTTGCTTAAGGTTATACACTAATTGCTTGGTATTGACTTGAGGTATTCAAGGTGTTTCAAAGATGTCGGAAAAACAGGACGTTTTCTCAAGTGATGAAGAAGATTATGAACCAGAATTCAAGAGTGAAGGTAATCAAGATGAATCAAAATTTGAATATGAAGAAGAACAAGAAGATTATGAAGAAGAAGAAGTACCTAAATTTAGTGAATCTGATAAATTAGAATCTCAAAAAAAATTAAATGAAAAAATTAAAATTAAACAAATTATACCCAATGATATTAAATTATTTTTAGATTTAAAAGATAAAACTGATGAAGCATTAAGTACTTTTATTAATTTAGAAAATTCAACTTATGCAAATAAACAATTAGGTTCCTCGGGACAGGGGGAATTTATGTCATGTGAATGTCATCCAGATTGGGATGAATCAAATGAATTAAATTATGCATGTATTGATGATGATTGTATTAATAGAGGTACTAAAATTGAATGTATAAATGGTGTATCATCATGTGGTGAAGATTGTTCAAATCAAAGATTCCAGAAAAAGCAATATGTTGATATAAATGTAATACAAACTGAAAAAAAAGGTTATGGAGTACGTTCACAAATTGATATTGAACCTGATACTTTTATTTATGAATATATTGGTGAAGTTATTGATGAAAAATCATTCAAGAAAAGAATGTTGGAATATGATGAATTAAATTTTAAACATTTTTATTTTATGATGTTACAAAAAGGTGAATTTTTGGATGCAACAAGGAAAGGTTCCCTTGCTAGATTTTGTAATCATAGTTGTAATCCAAATTGTTATGTTGAAAAATGGGTCGTTGGGGAGAAATTGAAAATGGGTATTTTTGCTAAAAGAAAAATTTTAAAAGGTGAAGAAATTACATTTGATTATAATGTTGATAGATATGGTGCAAATGCTCAACCTTGTTATTGTGGTGAACCAAATTGTATTGGATTTATTGGTGGTAAAACTCAAACTGAAGCTGCTTCTTTATTACCACAATTTATATCAGAAGCTCTTGGTTCAACAATTGAAGATGAACAAAATTTCCTCAAAGAAAAACAAGAAGCTAATGAAAAAATTATTAAAAATGATAATAATATGAATATTGAATTTATTAATTCATTAATTATGAAACCAATTGATATATTTGAAGTTAATAAAGTTATGGGTGTATTGTTACAATGTGAAGAAGTATTAATTGCTGAAAAATTAATCGAAAGAATTGAATTATCAACTTTAAATGCCCTTCAATATAAATTAAGTTATGCACATGGTTATACCTCATTAGGTAGAATCTTGAAAAACTTTTATGGACAAGATGGTAATCAACAATTTAAAATTGATAATGAATTAGTTCTAAGAATTTTAAAAATTTTATCAAATTGGCCAAAAGTTTCCAAAAATTATATTAATAAAGTTGAAATAATTCCAATTGTTAAAGAATTAATTTCAAATACTAAGGATAAAGAAATCATATCATTATCAAATGATTTATTAAATAGATGGGATTCATTTGAAGAATTTCAAAGAATTAGAAAAAAATCAACAAATGAAAAAATTGCAAATAAATTTGTTTTTGATTCAAGAAGACAACATTTAAAAGAATTATCACCACAAAGATCAACAAGTAACACTACTACTACAAGTCAACAATTCAAACCACATGATTATAATACTCAAAATACTTCTTTTAATAATAGACCACAATTCCCACAAGCATATAATGAATTACCACAAGGTTGGAAATCAACAAAAGATCCAAATAGTGGTAAAATTTATTATTATGAAGAAGAAACTGGGAAAGTTCAATGGGAAAGACCTGGTAGAGAAAAATTTGAACAAGAACGTAAAGAAAGAGATGAATATATTAGAAAGAAGGAAAAACAAGAACGTGATTATCAAAAACGTAATTTAGAAAAATTAAAAGAACAAGAAAAAATTGCACAATCAAATTCTTTAGCCAAAATCATTGCAAATGCAAAAAAAATTGAAGAAGAAAAATTAGCTCGTGAAGCTGAATTAATTAAACAAGAAGAATTGAAAAAATTGAAAAAAGAAGAATATAAACGTAAATTAGCTGCTAAAAAGCATCATCATCATAATCATGGATCAACACATTCATCAAGTACAAGTACACCAATATCATCATCACAAGGTTCAGATTCATTTGAAAAAAAATGGTCAAAATTTTTTGCAAATCATATACCAAATATGTTGAAAAAATATAGAGATGAAATTGGTCATGATAATATTAAATTATGTGCCAAAGATATAGTTAAAATATTAATTGAAAAAGAATTTAAAAAACATGGTGATAAACCAATATCACCACCATTAGATTTATCAATTGAAAAACGTAAAAAAATTAAAATATTTATTGAATCTTATATGGAAAAATTCTTAATTAAATATAGATCAAAACATCAAAAAAGAAAATTAGAAAATGATGAAACTAATCAAAATGGCGGGGCCAAAAAGATTCATCCTTAATTAAAACTTCTTATATATAGATTTTGAAGAACAAGAACAAAAATCATTTAAAACAGAAACAATAACGAAACAAAAAAGTTTATAAAAAATCCAATGTCCATAGGGGGATTTAATTTATAGTTGTAATATATATGTATCATTTTCCACACCAGTATTGAACATTAAAAGCTCATTTAATTAATATATATCCATACTTGATCAAGACAATGAGAATACTTTAATCTTTATTAATATATAATTTGAAGTTTATTATGAGTATATGATTAATTTCCATTGTATTGACCCAATTAGGAAATTCTGGATTTTAGTTTCAAACAGTATAAAGAAATTGAAAAATTGTGTCAATTGAAAAGTACAAAAAGAAGATTGAATCCTTTGGAAAGCTAGAATAGTGATGGTGATGATGATGTTACTTATATAGTTGTATTCCAGGAGGTTCTATTTATCACGTTGATTTGATTTTTGATTTTTTTGGGGGCTTAAAGTTTTTATATAAAATGCATGGAATATCTAGTGAAGAAATTGGAAGAACTTATAGATTAGAGAATGATTTAGAAGAGCAGGTATTGGATTTAGGATGTTATTGTGAGGGGTGTTTATATAAGAAAAGGTTTAGAGATAGAGTTGTTAGAGTGAGTTTGAAATAAATCATTCCATATATAAGACCGACATAATACTAACTGATTCTATAGAATTTCAACTATGGGATTATAATATTTCCCTTATGGATATTGAACATCTTGTTCTTTTTCAAAAGTTTAACATTAAATAATTCTTATGAATTTAGTGAAGAAGTTCAAAAAAATCATAGTAATGAAATATCTCTGTTACAACCAAATTCTCTTGATGATGATTCAAGTTTAATTGGAAGATTAATTATTAATCATGAGTTGACACAGAAAAGTTTCGATCAATGGATATCTTGGAGTGTTATTGGATTATCATTATACTTTATCCTTGGTTGGTTCCTGGTGATGATTATGACTTCATCTCATGGTTGAATATATAATGGATTGTACTACCCAAATGAATTCAAGTGTACATGAAGCTGAAATTAATATAAAAACTAGACGTTGTACCTGGTCATTCTCCATTGTAGTGTAATCACAGCCATTGTTAAGCCCCTTGTGATAAGCCCTTAAATTGTTCAATTTAGTCCTTGTAAATCCAAATTTCAAAGGGATCTGTCATGGAAATCGGTTATATGTTCTCTGCGCCTACCAAGGAATTTTTATTTTTAATTTAGCAGTTTCCGTTTTTTTATTAGAGGCTATGAGAAGAATTTTTATTTATTTAAAATAGTTTTTTAGCTTATAATTATCCATTTATTTCCTTTAAATTAGATTACAAGGTTCAATTTCTCTCTGAAGTATAGTCAGTCGTTCAATTAAGATATCAATCCCCCAAAGATTCCCTTCAATCGTTCAAGACTTTTAAATTTTCAATCTTTTATACCCAGAGATTTCGTTTAAAAATAGCCTAGAAAAGCGAAGAAAAGGTTATAAATTAGATACATATATACAAAGCTAGGAAATGAAGATTACTCAAGTATTACAAGTATTGGCTGCTGCCAGTGTTGTTGCCAGTCAAGACAATAACAACAATAACAACAACAATAATAACAATGGTGGTGATTCTACTGCTACTGGTAATACCGGTGGTAGTTCATCTCAAAGTTCATCAAGTTCATCATCATCTGGTAAACAATATTCAAGTGAATTTGGTGTTTTAGAATTTGATAATTTTGGATTTGAAGGTTATTATAAACATGTTAAAAAATTAGATGATTCAGATAGTTGTCAATGTGAATTAGCTTCAAATGATCAACGTACTATATTTAGTGGAGCTAATGCTCCAATTAATGAAGAAGTTTCTGTTCATTTTAGAGGTCCGCTAGTTTTATCACAATTTGGGTTTTATACTTCAGATGATTTCCAAACTGGTTCAAGTAGTGGTTCTGGTTGGACAAGACAAGGTTATTATGATGGTGAATCTCAAACTTCTGAAAATATTACATTTTTAACTGCTGCAGGTGATAATTCAACTTGTTTAGGCAAAGCTTTAACTTATGCTGATACTGATGGTATTTCAAAAGCTGATTCAAGTCAAATTTTAGCAAAAGATACTAAGATTATATCAGATGAAGAATTTATCATTTTTTCAAGTGAAGAATGTGGTAAATCTGGATTTGGTAAAGATTGTGGTGTTTATCGTGATGATATTCCAGCTTATCATGGATTTAATGGTACAACTAAATTATTTTTATTTGCATTTGAAATGCCAGAAGAAGAATCATCTGATGAAGATTCATTTGATTATTATAATATGCCAGCTATTTGGTTATTAAATGCTCATATTCCAAGAACTTCTCAATATCCAACAAATGGTAATTGTTCATGTTGGGGTAGTGGATGTGGTGAATTTGATATTTTTGAAGTTATGAATACCACTGAAGCTAATCATTTATTCTCAACAATTCATGATTATCAAGGTTCTGATAATATTCAAACTGGTATTCAAGCTCAAGGTTATATTTCAAGAGATACTTCAAGTACTATGAAAGGTGGTGTTGTTTTTGATTCTCAAGGTAAAGTTTCTGTTTTCTTATCAAATAGTACAAGTCTTGATGAAACTATTAGTGCTTCAGATATTAATGATTGGATTAGTAGTGAATCTTCATCAGATAAATCATATACAAGTACTTTATCAACTGTTACTAATACCGGTTCAGGTAAGACTAGTGCAGCATCAGGTTCAATCCCATTCATGTTGGATGTCAGATATATTTTGGCTGGATTTGTTGCAGTTGGTGCTTCAGTCTTCTTTTGAATAATAGCTACTCAACATTAAAAGACATATATTTTTTTCAGTTCAATTTTTTGTTTTCTTATACACTTTATATAAACTTTTTTGAATATTTATATCCAAATTTTGCTAGCTAAATGAATAGATTTAAAAATAAACGATGCTTTGCTACTAAATCGTAGAGATAATATAAGTTTCTATATATTTTATTATAGTTAACTATGTGCTGACATAATCACCGAGCTTATATCTCAAAAATCTTTAATACCCAATATTCAACTTCACCAAAATTAAACCACAAATCATTCACTTTTTGAGGAATAAAGCTGTAACAAAATGCAACAAGATGGTCTTAACTATGAAACGGTGGTTCAAAGTGAGTGCTGCTAAGTTACTTATTTGTTTCAAACAAAGCCTGTGTTTCTTTTCAAATGAGGATACGTTTAATTACTTGCATCTATGTTATTACTTGATTAGGATCCCAATGGGTAGGAATAAGAAACATTGATTTGAAAAATTGATAAAGTATATATAAATACTGAAATGGGTTAATTCAAAGTTGTATCAAAATATTGAGATGGATTGAACCAATTCAATCAAGTTCATTCATTCATTCGTTCATTATATACTAGGTCACATTATGGGTTATCAAGCTGTGTTAATAGCACTTTCTACAATAGCTATACTTTTATTAATCCCTCCATTCATTTGGCATGCAAAAGCTATAAATATTCCAGCTATAACGTTAATCATATGGTTATTAATCATGGATATTAAGATCTTTATAGATGCTATAATATGGGGTCGTGATAATTTTAGTGAAGTTTGGAATGGTCATGGTTATTGTGATGTTATGGTTAAAATTAGTGTTGGTGCAAATGTTGGTATAAGTTCATCTGTTGCAGGTATTATGTTTAATTTATATCGTATTTTAAAAGCTGATAAAGTTATACCAGAATTGAAAAGTACTAAGAAAATCGTTACAGATTTATTAATTAGTTTATTAACTCCAATTTTCGTTATGGGTTTGAATTATTTAATTCAAGTTAGAAGATATTCAATTTTCCAATATTCAGGTTGTCAAAATGTTTTGTCACCAACTTGGTTAACAGTTATCTTATATACGGTATGGATGGTTGTTTGGTCATTAACTGGAGTTATATATGCAATATTAATCCTTTTCACTTTTTTCAAAAAGAGAAAAGATGTTAAAGATATCTTAAGATGTACAAATTCAGGTTTAAATTTAGTTAAATTTTCAAAATTATTAATTTTTTGTATTATTGTTATATTGGTTATGTTCCCATTTTCAATGTACATGTTTACAAATGATTTAAATAAATTACAATCAACTTATGATTTTGCACAAACTCATTCAAAGATTTTTTGGCAAGGTATTTTATATTTACCATTTAAACAACCATATTTAGTTACATGGGTTTATTTATCAATTTCTTATGTTGTTTTCATATTTTTCGGATTAGGTTCAGATGCTATAAATATGTATATTGATTTATTAAGTAAAATTGGATTTAAACCAATTATTGAATATATTAGACACAAGAGAGATTTATATAGACAACAAAAAGCTGATGAATCAGTTTCAAGAGTTTTTCATAATAGAGAACAATTTAATGGTCCAATGACTGGTACATCTGGTGGTACACAATTTGATATTGAAATGCAAAAAATTATTGATGAAGAATATGATGATAAATCACCAACTTCAACAGCAGTTTCAAATATATTTACAGATCAAAATGAAATTAATCGTCATAAAAAATTCCAACATTTAAGTGGATTTGATGAAAGTTTATTTGATGGATTAGATGAAGAAGATTTAAATTATATAAATAATTTATATGAAGAAGATATAAATGATTCAAATCAAAAATCTTCGAATCAAAGAATTACAAGTAAAAATCATGGTAAATCTGATGATTTAGAATATGGTAAAGATTCAACTCAAGTTGAAGTCACCACTCCTATATCACAAGAAAGTTCAGCTACAACAGCTAAAGAATCTGATTTTGATTTTGTTTATAAAGTTCAACATAAAGGTATTTAATTTCATGTTATATATATAAGGTCAGGGTTTAGGGACAATAATTAGTTTAATTTTAATGTTATGTTTTATGTTATGTATTCAACAAAATTGTAGTACTACGTATTTTAATTTAATCATTTCAATAAACATTGATTGAAATTATAGAATACAGAAAGTCCTTTTTATAGGGTATAAATTATAAAAAAATATGGTTTAAAAAAGAAATAAACTTTTCCAAAAGATCAAAACATAATTAGACAAATTGATAAAAAATAATTAGATATAATAAGCAAATTTAATTACTTATTCATCTCTGTTTTGATGTAAGATGTTAACTCTATCTATTGAAAAAAATATTGTTAGTATAATGAAAAAAAAATATAACGTGTCATGAATACATACTTTGAATGAAACTAGTTCTGTATTGTTTTTGACCATCTTCAGTTTCATAAACTTGAATATCTGGAGTAGCTTCAACATGAAGTAAAGCACTAAAAAAAGTTAGTAATTGTTGTTGAAAATAAAAACGTGTAACGCGTCAGTTGATTAACATACCCTTTCTTAGCATAAGTAGTTAAGAAATCAATTTGTTGTTCGTTGAAAACAACAATTGGGAACCAATTTGGTGGAGCATCTTTGTTGTATTTGTTAACAGCAATACTGTATGGTAAATATTTTTTACCATTAGCACCTTCTCTAACTTCAAAATCTTGACCAAGACGACCAATAATTGTGGAACTGGCAAAACTAGAAGCATTTCTAGTAGCGAATGGAGCAGCAGCTTTAGTGGTTCTTAAACCTGAGGTGGCGATTGAGCGGAACATTTTCAAGTGTTTTGTAGTAATAACTTGTTGTTGTTGTTGTTATTGTGAAAAGTTTGGTTAAAATCCTTTTTGTTTTGAATTTATTCGCCTTTCAATTGTTTAAAATCACAAAATGTTATTTAAAAAAAAGATATAAAACATTCCCAAAAAGGCAATTGTCTGTTTTGGGAACTAGACCAGCACATCAGACCACTAGTCCCATGTCACGTGAAATGTAGGACTATTAGACCATACTAGTCTCACTGATAAGATGACAGGGACTAGACCTTTTTTTAATCACCACTTTAAATTTAATTGAAATTGAAATCCACTAAAACGTCAACAAATGAATGAAAGAAACAACTTTTGCTCTATTTATTGGGGGAAAGGTTTAGAAAAGAGGATATTTAAACACTGGGAAACCACTTTATAAGTTCAGTTTTTCAAATAGTTAGTTTGTTGGTGATTTCAAGGGTAAAGTTTGCTTGGTTTGTTGATTATTGGAGTTTAGTGATCCTAGTTGCTGGTGGCCAATTCAAATTCAAAAGTAATTAAGTGACCTTTCGTGATATCAGTTGATAGATTTCCTTTATAAAGGATAAGATTTCAAATATATTATCAAGAGTTTTGTGATAAAGTTCATCAACCGTTTTAATCAAAATAAGCTGTTTTGCTTTTGGGGTTTTAATCAAAAGATCTGATAAGAAATATGGCATATAATCAAAGTTTCCATCAACCTGTACAATCTGGGTTGATTAGTACAAATTCATCAAGTTCAAATGTTTTAGCTCTGGGTAATAATCAATCTCAAAGATCTTCAAGATATGGTGAATTAAGTTCAAGTGGTGCTGGTAGTTGGGTGGTTTTTGCACCTTCTGTTGAAGAAGATGAAGATGAAGTATTATCCACCACAAATGAATATGATGATGATGAAAAAGTTAATTCAAGTTTGGATATTGTAAGTGAACACAGAAATAAAGAAGATCAAGATGATGACGATGATGATGATTCAGATTCCTTGATAGATTCATTAGATACCGATGAGGATCTTAAATTATCATTACCAACTCATGATGGATCTGGGAATTTTATGAATACATCATTAAATAATCAAGATGAAGATCATTTAGATATTTTTAATAAAGATTTATCAAAAGAAGATTTCATAACAAATAGAATTGATAATTGGAGACGTGAACAAGCAAAAATTTTAATTGAAGAATTACATCAATCAAATTCTTCTTCAAATTCTTTATTAAATGAACGTTCTCATGTTGATGAATTATTAGCTTCATGGGGTGTTGATGATCGTGATCCAATTGATTCAAATTTAGATATTGATCATAAAGAGAAAAGAACAACTGAACTACGTACACAACGTAATACTACTATAAAAGATTCTTCAAAACCATATAAACATGGTACAAAAAGATTCTATGGTGATGATATATTTGAAAATTATACAGAATGGGAAGTTAATATGATTAAAAAAGTTGCTAAACAATTATCATCATCATTAATTCGTGATAAAAGATCACAAGAATCAAATTTTGAAATTTCAACAGGACTGAAATCAAGAAGATCTTCATTATTATCAAATTTATCAAAAAATTCAATTAATAATTATTTTATGAATACTCAATCTTATTTTTGGCAAAAAGATTTAAGTTCTGCACATTCTTCAATTTCAACAACTTCAATTGTGCTTGGTAATAATTGGGGTGATGTTATGTGATTTGGTTGTTTTTGATATGAATATAGGGGGGTTTATAAGGTTTAGGGCATTTATTAGGTTTCATTTCGCATTATAAGTTATAACAATTTCAATTCAATTCAATTATTTGATGGACATATAATGAACAAGTCTTTATCAAAAAAATCAATATGTATTAATACATACAATTATACTATATAACTTGGTTTTTAAATTTATACAATACATTAATGGTTTTTATTATCGCATAGCAAGACAAATAATTTGTAATGATTAGCGCTATAATGATAGATTGACTAAGATATTAATATAACTGCAAAGCTACGCCATTCATATCATTTTAATCATATTTATTTTTAGTATTTAATATCACAGAATGTATACAATAGGTTTTTAGAAATTTTTATATAAAGTACAAAACATAGAAAACAAAACATTACTCTTTGTAAAAAGAGTAAATAAAAAGGAGAAGAAGCAAAAAAAGGTAAATCACAACAACTAAAGTCTATTTTCTAACAAAATTCAAGCTAAAGCTGAATAAGATCCCGCAACTAATGTTTTAGCACTTGGAACTGGTTTCCAAGTTTCTTGAGCAAATGGATCATCTTCTGTAAAATTTTGACTTTCTAATTCAACATTACTTGTAATAAATTTACCACCATTTTCATTATTTATAGAAAATTTTAATACAACACCTTGAGAAGATTCTTTTGCTTGTGTAGTTGTTAAAAATCTTGCAACTAATTTTTCTTCACTTGTTGAAGTTAATTTTAATGATTGATTATATTTCCAACTAATTCTACTTTTATCTTTATTAAAAGTACCTTGTGGTTTAGATAATGCACCTGTAGTTAATGCATCTGTAACTGCAACTGAAACATTTAATTCATTAATTTCAACAACTTCATCTGCATCTAATTGTTCTGCAATAAATGGAGCTAATTTAATTGTTAACATAACACTAGCTTGATGTGGTTCAAATCTCCAAACTGGATGAACAATAATTGGTGCATTAGAATTTTTAATTAAATATTTTAATCCACCTAAAGTACGTGATAAAATTGAATGAGGAATAATTTCAAATTCATCATGATCAATTTGTTTTAAAAATTGATTATTTGGAATAATTTTATCAAATTGTTGTGATCCATGAATTTTTAAATTTGATCTTGTTGGAATATCATAACCATCACTTAAATAATTAAATGCAATTTCACCAACAATTTGTGAATTAATTTGAACACCATCTTTAAATTTAGCATTAATAACTTCTGCAACACTAGCATTTAAACCTGGTTGAGTTAATGCAGAATGTTGGAATAATCCTGGATGATTTAAAGTTAATGATGAACCAGTTAATTGAGGATTTAAATTATTAATTGAATCACCACCAAAACTATTAAAACTTGAAATTCTTTTATTTTGATGATTTTCAATATCAGTTTGATTTAAATTAGTAAATAAACCTGATTGAATATCACGTCTTTGACCTTGAGTTGATGATGATGCAGCAACAGCGGGAGGTGGCGGAACAGAACCATGATGAGCTGGACCACTTTGAGTTGAACCAAATGAAGTATCACCATCTTCACGAATATTTGTCAAGTTTTGAGATCCAAATTGTTGAGTCTTTCTTGATGGTGGAGGTGGAGGAGCACGATGATCTTGAGTTAATGAATCAGATGATTGAAGTTGAATTTGTGATGGTGGTGGTTGATGTTGTAAGGCTTCATGTGAATGTTGATCATGATTCAAAGAACTATTAGTATCAGAATATGAACGTTCAGATGGTCTTCTATCATTAAAAGTTTGTTGAGTTGTTTCAACTGGTTTAGATATTGTTGGTGAAGCACCATTAACATTTGCAGATGAATTAGCTCTTGAAGTTGGTTTTAAAGGTGGTTGATTTAATGATAATGGGACATCACTAGAAGAAGTTGATTGTGAAGCTAAAGGTTGTTGTTGACCTAATGGTCTTTGTTGTTGAGGATATGAAGATGATTGTTGATTTTGAGGTTGACCATATGAACCAGCACCAGAATTTTTGGAAATTGGTTTTGGTTGTTGTTGTGATTGTTGTTGTTGTTGAGGATGTTGCTCATTTGATAAATGTGAAGCGACATAAGCACCACCAGCTGCAACAGCAGCACCAGCACCGGCTCCAACAGCTGTGACACCACTTGAACCACCTTTTGGTTGTTGACCACCAGAAATATCATCTTGTTGATGTTGTGGAGCTAAATTATTACCACTTGGTTGAGTTTTGAGACGTGATGCTAACGAAGAAGCTCTACTTAATCTATTTGTATTAGTTCTTGGTGCACTTGCTAATGAAGAAGTTTCAGATTCTGGAACAGTATCACTAATATCCAAATTTTTATTTTTATTCTTCTTTCTACCAAAAATTGAACCAACTTTTGATTTTAATTTACCTTTTGATTTAGATTCTTTACTCGATGATGATGAAGTTTCAGGTCTTGTTGCCTTTTTATTGTTGTTTTGAGTTTGGGTTGTAGCAGTTGTAGAGACTGAAGCTTGACGATTACCAGCAGATGAGCCAAAAGCAGAACCAGTACCTAATGGAGGACCAGCTTGAGAACCATGACCTTGAACATGACCATGTGAGTGAGAACCAGCAACTGTACCAGATTCATTTTGATTAATCTTTGGAGATTCAGCAGCTTTTCTAGCTTCTTTTGGAATATAAGAAGCTTCACTTGAAACTTTAGCAAATCTTGAGATTTCAGTTTCAGGATTGAAGTTTAAAATTGTTTCTAGAGCTTTTTCATTACTTTGTGAAGTTTTATTTAAAGCATCAGAGTAAGCAGTTTGGAATCTTAATAAACTATCTCTTAAGAATGATAATCTATCAAAATCAGTACATTCAAAAGATTCAAAAACAAATGGGGCTTCAGAATCCCAAGTTTGATTAGCACTTTGTAAAGCAGATTCATATTTAGCAATCTTTTCAGGATTTTTAGAATGTTGATATTTTTCAACTTTATCTTGATTGAATTCAATAGTTTGAGCAACTTCACTCAACTTAGCATGAAGACCTCTAATTTCACCCCATCTTTTATCCTTGGAAGTATATTGACTTAAAGGTGAAATAACATCACGATCTATAACTTGACCCAATCTATAATTTGTGGCAACTTCATCTTTAATTTCAGATATGACTTGACCCCATATTTGACCCAAATGGCCAATCGCATCAACATTGTAGTATTTTAACTCTTCACGACTTAGGACTTGATTTTCAATGATTCCACGTTCGATATTTTTGTTTAAATCTTGAGAATCTTTGATTAATCTATTCAATTGGTTCAAATAATTTGACTTTATACTTTGATAGTTCTTGAAAAATCTAGCAAATTCATCATTAAGCAACTTAGCTTGACTCAATCTAACCCTAACAATCTCTGTAGCATCAATTGGTGATTGACTCACCAAGATGGAGCTTGAGTACTGGGTTCTTTCTTGAGATGCCATTATATCTGTATCTAATGAATAACAGTGAACGAAGCAACGGCAAGCAGTAAATGGTTCGAATAGCGAAAAAAAGCAGCAGTATCACTTCAATGAGTCTAAAAGCAGAGTACCAATGAGAAGACACACAGATAGCTGATTGTTTTGCTGTTGTAGCCCTTTTAGAACCTTGGTTGACACTCAAAAGGGGTTCGCCCTAGTACTACAAATTCGTACTTCAGAAATGAATCTTGAAAAGTGCGCCCGAACCACCAAGTGAACATAACCATTTTATACCCATTACGTTACAAGACATTATTCGATGATATGACCTTAATTAATGCGTTTTAGGCCTACAGGCTACAACTACTAATTATTATTATGCTCTATATATATATTTGAAATCTATGCTATAGATTACATAACACTTGACCCATAACTTGGTGGAAGTTCATCATTAGTACCGTTGATATTGTAATTCAAATAACCAGGAATCAATGCAATTACCTTTTTATTTTGAGTTTCAGATAATACATCATTTGTAATGATATGATTTAATTCTTCCAACATAAGCTCCTTATTTCTCCATGTTAATTTTTCACCCCATATTACCATTAATTTGAGTTGATCTTGATAATTAAATTCATATGCTTTAACTAAATGATCATATGAGCCACGCTTCTCATATTCTTTTGACAAAAGGTATGTAATTAAACTTTCTAACATAATTCTTAAGGGTAATGTCTCATTTTGATGTTCTTGGAAAATATTTATTAATAGCTTATTTTCTTCAATCATATCTAATCCATTACCAAATAATTCAGTGTTTAAGAAAGCAGGTATATCACTTTGAAAATTCTTTATCAGATTTAATAGTATTTCAATTAAAAGGTCTTTCAATTCATATCCAGGTATTAAGTAACACTCAACTCTGCATGTTTTAATTGAATGTGTATGAACTTTTGCCCATCTTATAACTAAATATTGGTGGCTTAATGTAAGTTCTTTTAATGCTTTGGGAAATGTTTTCAAAACACTAACTAATTTATTATTTATAACTTAATCTTTATGGAAATTATTCAAAGCTAATTCACGATCTATTTTAAAATGTTTTGGTGATTTGGCAACTAATAAATTATCAACTTTGATACTAGATTTCTTATGCTTAGGTGAATTTTCATATAATTGCGAATGAATTTCAATTATATATTCTGATTTCTCAATTATCATGATGATGATCTAGCAAATATCTGTTATATATCAAATGCTCAAGTTTATAAATTGATTATAATCTTATATTATTTATGACTTCAATGAGTTAATTTTGAATCTTTATATATTAATATATTCTGAGCATGATCGAATTATAATATATAAAAGAAATCTTGCAAATATATATATATATATATATATATAATTTTAATTTAAAATTAATATTCTCAAATATATGCAATAATTTTTATAAGTATATTAAATTTATAAATATTAATTAGTTATTAACTTCTCATATATCAGCACCGCTCAGTATCAGCTTTAAAAGCTCAGAAATTAAATGTTCTCATGGTATATTGATGCAGTGCATCATGAGTATAATATATAAGTACGTATGATCCTATATGGGCAATATGATAGGCATGCATTGATGATCGATCGAAATATCTACTATAATCATATTTAACGTAAATCAATTTTAATTTTGAAATGATACTACTAGTCATGCTTCAATATTATAATTCAACAACCGGATCTAGCTACAATAATATTATGAATTCATAATAATTATTAATTAATCAGGACGTAAATATATAAAGTACATAAACTTTTACAAGCGTATAAACATATACCCCTGGTCTAAAAATCTATTGATTAATCCCATTCGTCATCATGCAATTATACCTTAAATTTAATTTTGATTTTTGATCTAATAACTATATATAGTTTTTGGTTAATGTTTTGGACACTGGTTGGATCTTGAGAAACTTCAGCAGCTATTAAGTCATTATTTCATGTAACATGCATATATAAATCAGTTTTAGCAATATCATTCAAAATTTGTATTTAAATTTTTTTGTTTAATATCTTTAATAAAAGTTTGGGACTAATTTTGAGATCACTTTTAAATAATCCATAATTAAAACCCCTTTTAGCAAAAAGTTTGATGGTCATCTAAAGTAGCTGTTTCGTTATTAATTTTAATCAATCTATTTTTAAAAGCTATTGAGCTTATAATGATGGAGTATACGGTGATTTGTTTATAATTTATACCATTTTTTTAGGATTTCTATCCCAATAGAACATCCAATAATACATATGGTTAAACAAGTTCTAATGCAATAATTGCCAATTCATCTGCAATTTTTTCATTATAATTAACATTTGACACTTTCATAAATAATCTTTTGAAGAAATAAAGCCCAGATCCAAAATTTTGTTTTATTCTTCCATTGGTCATTAAAACTGGCTGAATTAAAAAAGTATCAATGATTGAAATCACGTACAGGATATTTCTGATGTGAGTTTGTGCTTTACCTTCCTCATATGTAAATAAAATGATAATCAATAAAACAAAAACAGCGATAATAGCAACAATGGTTAAAAATTCTGACGCATAGATATAATGTCTGAAAGAGTCATGTTCCTTTAAGAATTCTTTACTAAATATATTGAAATTTCTTGAATCCTTATCATTATTATCATCAATATTTGACGTAGTAACACTTGCACCATCTTTACCATAATTAACCGCTGAATCTCCTTCTTTACCATGAAAATAACTGTCAATAACAAAATCAGGATAAGGAGCATCTGATCTATCAATAGCACAAGTACTTGTCATTTTCAATTCTGTAGTTTAAGGGTATGGACTCAATTAACTATTGTATTATATTTTGTAATTTACTGGACGCGTGCATGAACTAAAAGCTTTAGTATATTAAAAGTAGTTTAAATTAATTGAAGTTCACAAAAACAAACTGAGACTGAATCACTCCAGCAACCGATGAACATCGATCTTCGAGCTCCATAATTCCAGATAGATAAGTAATTAATTCCTTAAACGGTTGACTGTATAGATCACGTTCTCATAAATTCGATTTATACCAAATCATGATTGATCTCTGGATAGTTAAGGCTTTCATTTGATCAACACATTAAAATTATTCAATTATATGGATAAAGCCACGGTACTAAAAAGTTTTGTACCACATGTACTCTTTGACTAAAATGAATTTAAATTTATCGATCAGTGGCTACTAGTTTATAAAACATTTATATAAGTTGGAAGCAGCAGCTTATATATATATATAATTATATTACCAATTAATAATTATTTAATAATATAGTACATGGGATCGAATATATGCGCATGACATGGAAGCATGAATCGCGCGCTAGACAATTTTAATAATATATAATCTAAATTAAATATATATATATTAATTATATATCGACATGCAGATCGATAGGCACGTAATGATACATGAGTACGTTAATATAATTAATAATATATAAATTAATATATATAATTATATTAATATATAATATTTCTGATCAAAAATTAAATTCATTGTATTATAAATTATATTATAGCACGTCAGCTTACGTACTAGTGCATCATATATACGTACGGATTGGCTCAAAATGTAAGTCTCATAATTGGTCATAAAACATTTATAATAAATATATAATTTTTTTTGTAAAAACAGTTACGCTTCGTAAGATAAACATAAAGAATGGAAATAGTAAAAAACAGTCGATAATCTTTTTTGATATCAACAGAAAAAATTTATCAAAAAAAAAAAAAAACATAATTGTATCAAATTTTTTTTTTAGGGGTATTAATTTTTAGAAGTCTATTGACTTTATCATTTCTATAATAACAATATAGCACATAACTTCATGTGAAGTTTATTTATTTCTTTTTTAAAATTGAACTTGTTTCGTATTCTATTCATATAATTGTAATTCTTTTAGAGGGTATTCTTTTGGATAATATCTTCAATCATTATTTTTATTGTCCATTATTGATAATTCACCAACCTTCATTAGTTGATTCACCATTACCAGTTATTGTTAATAAAGAATTGGTATTGAAATTCAAATTCTTTAAATCATTATTCATAAATGCTTCTTCTTCATGATCTGGAGGAGGTCCATATTCACCTTCGAAAATAACAGCACCTGCTTTTCTTCTAACTTCAACAAATTGAGCTTCTAACGAATCTAAGATATTAACAGCAGTTGGTCTTTTTTCAGGTGAAGGATCAATCATCCATTTAACTAATTTATCCAGGGCTCCTTTACCATCAATTAAAAATTTTGGAGTCCAAGATGGAATTTTTTTCATATTTGAATCTTCAACTGATGAATAAGATGAACCACTTTCATTTGAATTATTTAATAAAGATGAATAGGTTGAATTTTTGGAAATTGAATCATGTGTTAAATTATAACTCAACTCGGTTGAACTTAATCTACCAGCATCTGATAAATCACCAGATCTAAGTTTTTGCCATGGAAGACCATTATCAGGTAAAATGATATTAGCAGCAATTTCAACCATAATTAAACCAAATGAGAAAATATCAGCAGGTTTATCATAAAGTTGTTTGGATATAATTTCTGGTGCAATATAATTTCTATCACCTTCTCTTTCAAAAGTTGAAGGGGTTGGGAATTTACATGCCATACCAAAATCACCAATTTTTAATGAACCTTCAAAAGTAATAAATATATTTGCTGGTTTTAAATCAAGATGTAATATATCACAAGCATGAATATATTTCAAACCCATACTTATTTCAACTAAAATTTTCCAAATTCTCCATTCATCAAGTTTTGAATTTGTACCATTTTCAATTAAATATTTTTCCAATGATCCATTTTCACAAAATTCAGTCATAATATATAAATGATCATTGAATTCCCATTCATTAATGAAATTAATAACATATTCTTTACCTTCATCATCTTCTGGTTTGTTTTCTTGTAAAATTTTCAAAATTTCAACTTCTTCAAAAATTTGTTTTCTTCTCTTAGAACCTAAAAATGGTGTTTTGATTCTTTTAACAGCATATTTGGAACTTTGAAATGTGATTTCATAAACATTAGAAAATTCACCAGTACCAATGGTTTGAACATTCTCAAATTTTGAAACTAAATGTTCATCAAATGAAGAACTATATGATTGATTATTTGTTTGGAAGGCTGAAACATTAGAACCGCCAAAACTTGTCATATTTGATAGATCTCCACTTGTATCCATAGTTGGATCCACTGGTGTTCTTGGTGTATATTTACCATTTGAAGGGGTTGGAGGTTGATGTGAAAGACTTTGTAAATCTAATTTCAGACTTTTAGAAAAAGCACCATTTTTAGCAGTTGTTGAAGAGCGTGTTGGAGTTGAAGGATCATGTAAACTTATATCACCATCATTATCAAATATTGAATCATTACTATCATCAAAATCATTAGCAAATTTAAGAATACAATCTCTTAGTTCATGGGTATTTAAAGCTCTAGCTGATCTAGGTAAAGATGATGAGCAACTCAGCACAGATGGGGATTCGTTATTATTATTGTATTGGTCTCTATCATCACTTTTTGGTATTGGAGTTGATTTGTCATTAATCATCGGTGAACTTGTAGCATCAGCATTTATCACATTTGATAGGTTTGAGCTTGGAAATGAAGGTTTATTGTTTGTTTGTGTCACGTTCAACTGCATTGGTTTTTTACATGGTGTCTCTGGTGGATGTATTGATGAATCACTTAATTTTCTATTCTTTTTGGATAATAACCCTGATGACATAAATGCAGTCTGTAGAGGTTTAACAAATTTGTATGAATTTGGTGTTATGAAATCAGGTTCTTGTTGAGATTCATTTAATTTCAAATTCAATAATGTTTTATTTGGCATCTGATTTGTTTGAATATCTAGCTTTGGTCTCTGTCTAGCAGGTCTTGATGGTGATTCACCTGGGGATTCTATATCATGAGTTTGTTTATTGTTTTGATAATGTATTGAAGGATTAGGCAGTGGATGTAATTCATTATCAAATGGAGATTCAGCTTCATAAGTCATTTTATCTAAAGAAACCATTTTTCTTAATTTGTTGAACTTCATATTTATAGAATTTCTTTTTGATGCACCAGTTTTAGATGAACTAAATATTAATGGTTTTTGATTATCATTGATGAAAGGCGAAAGACTTCCACTATTACTTGCTTGTCTTTTTAATGATGCTGGTTTTTGCTTTGAGACTGTTGGAGTAGAAGGTTCTTTAAATGGGGACCAATTCTCAACATCATCAATGTACTTCAAATCATCTTCATCAATACCATGTTCATTATCATAGTCCTCAATTTTTAATGATTTATTTTTCTTTAAGGTAAGCTTTGGAGAACTAGAGTCTTCAAATTTTGGTGAACGGTCAATAGATAGGTTCAGTAGACCAACAGATCTTCTTAAACCTTGTGAGCCTTGTGAATTTTGAGATGAAGTTATTGAATTATGTTTTGGAGTTTTCATTAAATTACCATCAGTAGATTTTGCACCTTCAAATTGTTGTATATCCTTGAGCTGTGGTGACATCATGCTTTCATTCATAACTCTTTTCTTGGATATTATGCTTTCATCATCTGTGGAAGTTTTAGTTATAGTTGAAGCAGAGCTATTCATACCCGATTGAAGTGTTGGACGCGATATCATATTTGAGTTTGTTGTAATTATAAATCTTGTAAAATAAAGATTGGACGTGGATGAATTGAATTGAAGGTAATTATAAAAGTTGAAGTATGAATGGTTTTGACTAAACGAATGACTGAAATATATTTGTTGTGTTGTAATAAAAGTAGTTGATGTTGGATCAATGTATAGATCTGATCTCAAAACGCCTCCTTTGAAAACTTGTTAGCTTTGTTGACGGCTTTCCAAGTTTTTAGTTTCTTTAAATTGCAAGATTGATCACAAGGCCGATCCAATTCTAGATAGTAGCCTGTGTAGGTTTGTTTGAAGTGTGTGGGTTGAGAACAACTCTTATTGTCTCTGATGTTTTGACTGCAAAACTTGGGAAACGATTTAATTTATTTGTTTTGATTTTGAAGCTTGATGTTTTTTTTTTCGCACTCGAATTTAAAAAAAAACTAGTTTTGGGCTTTGGCGAAAATATCAAAATTTGTTACCGCGACAACCAATTTGTTCACAAAGGTGCACCAAATTTAAAAAGTTTAAAATCGAGATGTTGTCCCAGAAAGAGTAGATGCAATTACCTGAAGCGGTAATATGCATACATCCAGGTACTTCATGCAGTTACAATTAAAGTTACAATTGTCGCTCAATTCGGATATGCATTGATTTGTTTCCAGAGAGATTTTATAACATTTCTGGATGATTGTTCAAAGCTCACCTATTTTACAATATTTTACAAAAGGGGTATAAATCTTATACGTTTTTGGCATAACGCATAGTCGCTATAGTTTCAGGTACGCGAGATTCGAGATCTATAGTACGTAGTTTGTACTGACGGTTTATGGTGTATTTTAGTGTTGATGTATCTAATAAAGGCGGGCTCTAAATGGGAAGTTCGTTTAAACGCTGTGATTCTAAGGATCTCTCGAAACTAATCGAACTTATAGAAGTTACCAAGCGTACAGTGAAGCGAGTGTATGATGTCGAAATGTCAAATTGTTCAAGTCATGGATACTAGAAGCCATTTACAGGAAGCTGAATAAACGATGTTGTTGTTGTCGTGGATCTTGGGCAGGAATCAAAGAAACCAAAATTCATCTCTTTCAAAAGCACAGATCCGCAACGTAACTGCGCTTTTTGATATTTCTGATCTCTAATTGATTTTCAGATGTAAAAATTTCAACATTCCGATCAGATAGATTCTCCAGCTGTCAACGGTTTGTTGTAAAAAATCAGATCCAAAATCACGCTAGTAACCAGTGCTAGATTGTCAATGCTTTTGACTAGTAACTAGTTTAGTAATGGTCAAGCTTGTTTTAACTTTTGACTATTGAGCATTGATGTACGTCGCTAGATACTATGTATGTACAAGGTATATCCACTTTTGAAGTATAGATAAAGTGAGCTTATATGAGTACATAATTAGCACTTCACGAAAAACTGAGTATATGCTTATGGGCCAATTTAACTTCATCAAAAGTATATTGTTCCTTAAGGTTGGAGATGAATCATGACCAGACCGTATGAAAGCATGTTGTGTTATTTTGCAGACTACATCTAACGATTGTACGATTTATGATTGAGATACAGTAGTAAGTACTACAAATTCTAGCTAATTACACCTTTCTCTTGCAAATGATAATACGATTTAGACACCTAGACTATTACATTTCACATCATGAATTATTGATATATATGGATCATTAATGATGAAATTAGAGAAGCGAAAACAGTTCACCTTGTTTACCCTTTGATATCATCGTAACGAACTTGGCTTAAGGCATCTGCGAATTTAATTGATGTTACCACCTGGTAATTATCATTGCAGTTCCGGTAAATCGAAGCATTGAAGAGTCAATTAAAGCGTAAACCATAGTTATTTGATCATAACATCTTCCAGATAAAGTACACCATGCTATATCTAATACGACGTAAACCTTGTAAGTTGTCAGAGTCATAGTCTTGTAAGTACGTTGAATAACTAATTTTGTGTTCCGATATCATTTTTCACAACATTCCAGAAGACATTTCCAGAAAACGTATATATTTTGGGAATGTTGATCGTTAAAATTATCATAGACTCACGTTTTAACAGCCCCATCGATTGAATCAATTAAGTGATGGTGGGAAAAAGATACCATAAACACAATCAAAAGATCGTCTCAAGGTCAAGGTATTTCGGTGAAAGTGCCTAATCCTAGCTCTGTGTTCACCATATCTGAGAATTGATGAGTTCGTTAGTTCGTTATAGGAAATGATCATTTACCGAATTAGTGAACTAATTAGTGAAGTACGTCTTACATTTCAGACATACGCTAAGGTAAGTTATTTGGGATTAATTTATTGATTTACTCTACACATACAACGTTAGACAATTAACAGTAAGTTCCGTCGTTAGGTCAATTAATTTGTTGCTTTAAGTGATCTCCGTTGATCTTAATTGAAAATTGGGTTTAAACTTTGAAGTAACGGTTTTAAAAGATCTTCAGATAATTCTATAGTAGGTGCATTTAAATGCTTTTCCCACATAAACATTTGTTTACATTTTGACAGAGTGCCAGAGTATATGTGCAGTTCTTGATCAATCATAGGCACTGGTCAATGGTTAAACATGTTCAATTTGTAAAATTGATAACAAATTAACAATTACCAGAAGAAGCCCAGTCAAGTAAATTCAAGCCAGATGTAGTTTGATCAGTGGTATTTTACACCTTTCAGTACTTCAACAGCCAAGTACCTGAATGATCAGTGCTCTTATTGTGATACTGTATAGAGGTAATCAACCCGACTGGCCATACTTCAACAATTGGATCTTCCTCATATACACACCGATTATTTTAACCGAACAGAAGATACTTTAATCAAATATGTAAAGATTGAAACCGAGTTTGGAGAAATTGCACTACATGATCTAAGACATAAACAAACAACATAAACATGGTTATTGAACTGATAGATATATACAAAATCCCAATTGAGATGAATCTTGAAACAAAATTGTTAGTACTAATGATAATTGATGTGATTATAGAATCTCAACCTTTGTGATTAACAATTTCTTTTTCCATATTAAAGGTCTCATTGAATATCACCGTCAAAGATCCGTAACTTCAGAGAGTTTAAATGTTAAGCAGGAGTTATCAAAACCGTTGAACTTTTGAATCAAACTCCAAACTTTCCCACAATTCAAAGTCCTTAGTTAACAAATCCCCATCAGGAAAATATCAATGATTCCAGTAGTATGCTTGAGTATATTGGATCAGATCTTAAAAATGCACGAATTGAAGTCATTAAAACATTCATATACTATCTAGCTATATTGAATTCAATGCTTAATCATCATAATAACTTGAGAATATCGTAAAATTGCTGTGGATTTGAGATTGTTGACAGTTGTTAAAACTTACATATTTCCTTCCCATAAAAATAACTCCATTGCTTTGTATAAGCCCACTCAAACCACCTCAATGGTCTTCACAATCTTCGCCATGCGAATGATCCAGCTTGTGAAACCATATCAGTGCACTGTAAAGTGGTAGCTATGGCGTTTTGCTTGAGTTATTTTGTCGATGATGTGAATTGTTAAACCAAAATAAAATTTTTAGGTAGTCAAAGAAAAAATTAAAAATCAAAAATGTTGTTGCGCATAACGAGATATCTTAGGAAAATAAATTAGGTCAATCAAATCTACTAGTTACCAGATAAACATGAATGTGGAATATCTCATCAAATGTATTCAAATGTGGTGGTATGGGTAAATACTAGTGTCACATTTGTTATGAATATCAAGAGCCACATTATATGTGCAATAATACGACCGAGATAATGTATTTTCGAGCTTGGTTTTGTGCATGATAACAAGAATGATAAAGATCTAAACAATGATGAATAATTAAGAGGTATTCAGAGCTGTCGAGCCTAAACATGTGTGGTATATAGAAGCGCACTAGCATGTGGCTTTTCAGTATATATTTTGGAAACATTTGGCTAGTTCACAAAGGGCAATTGAAACCAAATATCAGCATTTCTATGCTTTAGTGCTTTAGTTGAATAATCACAAACTACTGTAATGTGTAGGCTCATCTAATGATTCTAGGTTTAATTTTTTCAATCATCATGTATCATATGAAAATTTAATAAAGCTATCAAAAGGGGTATGATTTAGATAGACTCAACTTTGACTGTAACAAGGAAGAACATCATATGTTTGAGGCTTTGTGATTTGATAGTTGGCACTTGGTTGCTGAAGGGAACATGATGTATAATAAATAGCGTTACGAACTGAGTTCATGTTCAAGAAAAAGAAAGAGACGATAAGAATCACCAAGGTGTTAATGACTGGGCCCAATTGAGTAATCTTAGTGATTTCTATACCAATCACTACTATTGTACATGTTTGAAGTTATCTCTTCTCAATAGATCAGGTACAATAACTTAGCTAGAACCTGACAACCAAAATCATCATTTACAAATTTTCAACTACATGTTTAATCCAAAAATGCAACAATATACAAATTTAATTATTTATTTTATTAACTTGTAAACCAAAAAACCCTAACCAGCAAATTAACCTTTAATTCTAATTAATGAAATAATACCAGCAAAATGTCTTGATTCAACAAATTAAAAATTTTGGGGAATAAAAGAAACAATCATTAAACATCAACTTTTTAATATATATAATAGAATACAATAATGAAGCTTCTTAGATGTTTAATTTAGTTCTTCTCCAGTGACGTCTTTTAGCGTTGTATCTGATGGTGTTACCAGTTCTTAATCTGATCCATTGAGGTAATGGACGATTTTGTTTTTGGGCTTTAGCCAATTTTTGTTTGGTTCTGAATGATTTTTGAGACTATTAAACATGTTAGTATTTGAAACTTATATGATTTCTGTTGTTTTCAGTATTAAGGGAAACATTTGAATCTTATCCTAAATTTTCTTTGACATGGGTAATTACTTTGATACTTCAACTTTCAATATGTGAATCTAATTATAATCTTCTCAACTTAGTGGAACTACGATGTCTTTGTTGATTCTTTTACTTGATTTCTCTTTTCCATCTTGTACTTGACTTGTTATTGAAAATTTGTAATGATAGTTTTTCACATCAACATTTGACCTAATTTTAATAATGAATGTAATATTCTTAGACTATTGAACATGTGCTCGCTTCTTAATGATATTGATTGTTTCCCTTGTATACCTTTATATCCTCCTTGTTACATACAGGCATCGTTACTTCTTTATAATCTGTTAGACCTTTAATCAACTTTAGTTCAATTTTGTAAATATGGTTATAGAATATGAATTTTTCCCACCAGAAGCTCAGAGACTGGTGAAAATTCTTTGAAGTGTTGTGTGAACCAGAAAAATAATGGTGGTGTATGGATGCTCAACCTATGAAAAACTCATCCCAGATCAGGTGATACCATATAGGGCTCAGTTTAGCTTTTGAATTTGTTTTTGTTTTTCAGTTTGGTGCAACATTCGTCAAACCTTTGGTGAGTTTTTCAAAATTTTCAGTATAGCTTAGTTGATGAACTACGTACTATTTGTTAAAGAAGAGTAACCCATCACATCAAAATGACTAGAACTTCTGCTTTAGCCGATGCTTTAAACGCCATCAACAATGCTGAAAAAACTGGTAAACGTCAAGTTTTAATCAGACCATCTTCAAAAGTTATCATCAAATTTTTACAAGTTATTCAAAGACATGGTTACATTGGTGAATTTGAATACATTGATGACCACAGATCAGGTAAAATTGTTGTTCAATTAAACGGTAGATTAAACAAAGTCGGTGTTATCTCCCCAAGATTCAACGTTAGAATTGCTGATATCGAAAAATGGACTGATAACTTATTACCAGCTAGACAATTCGGTTACGTTATCTTAACTACCTCTGCTGGTATTATGGATCACGAAGAAGCTAGAAGAAAACACGTTTCTGGTAAAATCTTAGGTTTCGTTTATTAGATGTATTAATATATGAAAATTTAATGTGTTATATTTGAATTCAATTGGTGTAGAATAGATAGTTGTTTTAAATCATCTGGTATATATAGGTTGATTAATTAATATTGATTTACTGGTTAGAATGGTGCCAAAACATCGGTACAAACTCAATAATTACTCAACACTGACAATATACCAGAAGGTACTATGTGGTTCTGTACTACTACATAATAATCTAACGATGTAATCACTTTCTATTACGTATCTAACTGCTAAATTAATACATGTTTCAATACAATTACAATAAACAATAGATACCATTTATTAGTTCAGATATTTGAGTATGATCACATGACTTTATCTAGGGCCTATAATTATCAGAACACCCAAACATCCCTGTATATTCCCCACAGTCACACTACACAATTCTCCCATTTTTCAAATCTCGAAATCCACTGAAAAATCAAAATTCGCGCTCGCCAACTTCACGTAATCGCGAATTCCCAGCTTAACTATAAGTGATTACATCAGCCACTTTTCTAAAGTATGGTGCTGCCCGCTACACAATCTTTCTCCCACGAAAAACTAACAACGCAAAACTTTTTCAAAAGTGATTATACTAGTCCTTGATCACTTGTAGAGGTAATATCATCACACAAAAATCGTAACAATGTCAAAAGGTATGTCCTATAGTAAATGGATTAGATGAATTAGAATGGATTATATGAATAGTGATTGAAGAAAGAACAAGATTTATATCGTTATTTTGGGATATTTGATGAAATTTTATACATTGGGAAATTGAAATTTATTCAAGATATCAAATGAGAAACATAGAGAATAAAGTGTATGAAAGAGAAGTATAAACAGGAACTACATGATTATATGAGTCGAATAGTGTGAATTATTATCAAGATTTTATTAGTTTTATTCAAGATTCAAAAGTTTAGTGTAATTTATCCAGTATTGAAAAATTGACACACCATAAACAAACATTGACGAAATACATCAATAAACCCATTCTTTTAAAGTTCAATCCAAATAAAACTATCATTAGAATCATATACTAACAATTTACTTATTAGAAAACGTTACTTTAGGTCCACAAGTCCGTGATGGCTCCCAAGTTTTTGGTGTTGCCAGAATCTTCGCTTCATTCAACGATACTTTCGTTCATGTTACTGATTTATCAGGTAAAGAAACCATTGCTCGTGTCACTGGTGGTATGAAAGTTAAAGCTGATCGTGATGAATCATCTCCATACGCTGCTATGTTGGCTGCTCAAGATGTTGCTGCTAGATGTAAAGAAGTTGGTATCACTGCTGTTCATGTTAAATTAAGAGCTACTGGTGGTACTAAAACTAAAACCCCAGGTCCAGGTGGTCAATCAGCTTTAAGAGCTTTAGCTAGATCTGGTTTAAGAATTGGTAGAATTGAAGATGTTACTCCAGTTCCATCTGATTCTACTAGAAAGAAGGGTGGTCGTCGTGGTAGAAGATTATGATTTATTCAATTTTTTAAAAATCATAATCAACTTTCATGTCATTCTTATAAATCAAAAATCATCATTACACTTACTACATACCTACTTTCAACAAATCCCCTTTCAGAATAATATAATCAACCTTGGTATATTGGAGTTATTGATATATATTTTCTAATTGTACGTTAAATAAAGCAATTTTGGAGTTTAAAACTTGATGTAGAATTTATATTGTTATCTAATAATCTTCATACTCTAACAATTTGAAGTTTCCATATTAATTTAGCCTATATTTGGTCCTAATATTCTGTCAATCGACTCAGTGAATCTAAAATCGACACCGATCACGAAAGATCAAAATCAAAATAAAAACACAGTAAAACAACCAACTTCCCAACATACACCAAGTACCATGGAATAACAGAGCGATTCCCTTGAAATACTGCTATGAAATGGCCTGATCGTGGCTTACCAACCAGTCAAACAGTTTCTATTAGAAAGCTCAAATGATCTCGAAATTGAATATGTGACACAGAAATCTGATTGTTCGCTAACTGTTTAGCTTTTCCGAAATGGGTTATCAAGTCCTGATAAGATATACTCCAGGCTTATTTTCTACCAGAATGTCAAGAACAACCATAGTGCTTGCGATTATGATAATGATGTCTATATAAACTGGAGTAAATCCAGTGAGTTTCAAGGTTTTTTAGGTATGTTTAGTGTTGATTATCCAACTCTATTAAGACTGGTATAATATGATTGCTGAAGTTGTGCTCTTTGGTTTATTGGCTATATTAACTGGTTTATTGGCCTATAAACCATTACTTCAAATCTTGAACAAATCCAAAACTAATGCTGCTGCTCCAAAGAAGAAACCTGCTGCTGCTGCTCCAAAAAAGGTTCATTATGATGCAAATGCTCCAATTCCTGAACCAACTCCTTTAGATATCACTCCAGAACAAGTTAAAACTTATGATGATAGACCATGGAGACCCTTCCGTTGGCCATATCATCAAACCATGTCTATTTATAAATTAGATATTAATCATTGGTTAGATATGGATAAATATTATTGGCATTATATTGAAGAGAAACAAAGAATTCATCATAAATATGGTGATTTAAATTTTGGTTGGTTAGAAGAATCTGATGCTGCTTGTGAAGAATTATTAGATACTGTTGTTTCTCATATGTTGAAACGTTATCCAAAATTGTTTACTTCAAATGATAATGGTGTTCATGTTAAAAATGAGTTAACTGGTGAAGTTATGGATTTATCTCGTCCTTTAATGGAACACCCAATGATGTATGTTTCAAGAATGGCTAAAGAAGATTTTTATCTTGTTCAAAAAAGAGATGATGGTTTACATTATTTAACTGCTGCTGCTGTCCCATTCCCAGGTGGTTCATTTGATATTAAACCAAAGTTAGGTAAAAATTTAGATATAATTCATACAAATGTTCCATATTATGAATCAAAATTGAAAAAATCAATGGAAAGATGGTTTTCCAAGATGACTGCAAGTGATCCAGTTGAAAGAGCTTCATGGTTTTTATCATGGGATTATGATTTATTTTGTAGTGCAGTTCATACAGTTCCAAATGATAGTAAAATTGATCCTTCAGTTGATCCAAAATCTTTTATTGTTAGAGTTGAACGTCAAGCTTTAAGAAGATTACCAAAAACTCAAGCTATTATTTTCACAAATCATCCAATTCATTATACAATTGAAGAAATGAAAGATGAACCAATGATCCCTTCATTATTGAAGAAAATTATGTATGAAGCACCAGATGATATTGTTAAATATAAACATTTTGAAAGTTTTAGAGATCATTTGGTTCCATATTTAGATTCATTAATTCAACGTCAATTAGATTTAGGTATAATTACAGAAGAAACTCCATTGAAAACTCAATCTTCATATCCATTTGCTCATTGGGTTGAACAAAGTGATGAAACAAAAGGTTGGAATAATGCAAAAGTTGAAGAAGATAATGCTGCTTATGAAAGATTAAAAGCTGATGCAACAGCTCATGAAGCAGTTTTAGGTAAAGATCAAGTCACAATTGATTCCAAACAAAAGGTTGAAAAGATTCATCAACATTAATAGATAATTACATGATTATTGGTGTTTTTAATTTATATTTCGAATTCACCTGGTGTGAAATTTTTGTTTTTAGTGTATAGATATGTATACCATCGTTTTTATTTATTATGATTTTAATACGACATAAAGATTATTTAATTACACTTTGTTGTTGATGTAGTCAATTGTCATTTATTACTATCAAATTGAAATTATAAAGATGTATGATTCCTGGTAAGGAGATGACGCCATTGAGAATATCAAATCATAGCGTTGATTTTAATACTTCACACGCCTACTCCAGCTAGGAACCTCCATTAGAACCTTCTCAAAAGGAAAGAACTAATCTTCTCTCGAACTCGTTGTAGAGAGTAGCAGCCTCGAAATGTCACTGATACCCTACAATAATACGAGTCCTTGGTACAATAGAGAGGAGGAAAAAAAGGTCTAATAAAGAAGATGGAAGTTTGAGGATTTGTTGATAAAATTTTTTTTATACTGGGAAGAAAAGCTGGTGTTCGGGTTTTATAAATGGCGATTTAGTTTTTTAGGAGGGAAATTTGAGATAATCAATCAGGGCATTTAAACAACAACAATTTAAATAACAACAATTTGATCAAAGATTATCATCAAGATATAAAGAGTTCATAATGCAATTGGGAAGAATAGGAATCATATTGACTTCATTGATACCGTTTGTTATCGGTGCTACCGTTTCAGGTTTTATAGAATTACCAGGTGATGAATTAACAAATTTAGATCTTGTTCATACATCAATTGAATTATTAGAGATCCAAGGGGCACAATCAAATAGTATAGGACTCAAAAGAAATGCACATATCAATTCTGAAGGTGTTTTCAATTTCCATGATATTCCAAAAGGTTCATATTTATTATCCGTATCTCACATTGAATATAATTTAGTTCCTTTCAAATCAAGAGTTGATGTTTTGGAAAATGATGAAGTTAAAGTTCATTTAGTACAAGCTGCACAAAAATGGGATGATAAAGGTCCAGAAATTCCACAGCCAATAAGGTTTATTCCAAATACAAAATTCCCAGAAAGACAATATATTAAAAATAGATCACCAGGTATTTTAGAAAGTGGACCAATCGCTACTGTGGTTAATAATCCATTATATTTAGCAATGGCATTCCTTGCAATAATAGCTGTTGTTGCACCATATTTATTAGAAAAATTTGATCCAGAAACTGCCAAATTATTAAAAGAACAAAAAGCTCAAAGAAATGTAAATTCAAGTGCTGCTGCTTTAAAAGCTGCTGAATCTTTGAATTTTGATCTTGGTGAGAAGATAGGTAGTTCAAGAGCATCAAAAGTGAATAGATAAACTCATACATTAATACATTAATACATTAATACACATTTTAATTGGTTTTTGAATTGTTTAATATTGAATTGGTATTTATTAGTAGTCGGAACTCCTAACATTTCACGTGATAATGGCGTGACCATTTTTAGCGCTGGTTCCCTCGGATCTCGTAAATAATATTTGGCTGTACCTTTTTTAATTTTAGGATCTTTTTATATAACAAAAACAAAAAAATTCAGTAAACAATCAGATTTCAAATTTCAATTTCCACCGTGTTTACTTTCCAGAGATCTTGCTCAAAAGAGATCAACGTATCATTCACATCCATTCGCTTGTTACATTTGGTTCCATAAGTTTAATCTGGCTTAACTTATTGGTACTGGTTATTACATTCCCTAACTATAACTTTTGTTTTTGGCGTTGCTGCATTGTTATATGCCACTAGGCTGCGGTCCACAAAAGAATTGAAAAGGGTTTAAACAAAAACTAAAAGATTTTAAAGGGTCAACTATTGTTGTTCAATAGGTGTTAGAAAGGTATTAATAGACGGTTATAGAGTCTTGGATATTACAAGTGGCTGAGTCTGAAGAGACATGATGAATTCCATTTTAAAGAATCCCAGAAGCATCATACCACCCGTGTCCATAAAGATTGTTTCCTTATGTTTCTTGTGGTATTCCATATCATCATTATCTTCACAACTAACGAAATCCATTTTAAATGATTTCCCATTCCCGTTGGCTCTTGGTGAATGTCAGTTCCTTATAGTGTTTTGTCTTTGTGTGTTAACAACTGTCATCTTATCAAAACTACCACAGTTACATGCATTATTCCCTGCAGGTTCTATCCCACCTTTAGATGGTTCACCATTATTGAAACCTGATAGACATATCATCATCACTGTTTTACCTTTAGGATGTTTCCAATTCTTGGGGAAGTTATTTTCACATAGTGCTACAGCTTTAGTCCCCGTTTCTACTGTTGCTGGTGTGAAAACATTATCACCTTTAATTCTTGTCACAACTTATAGATTGCTGTACAATGTTAGATTCCCTATTGCAACTTATCTGTCATTAATACCTTTGGTATTTGGGATCTTATTGATTGTTGTTGCTGATACTCATGATACTTTGGTCACAACAACTGCAAGTGTTCAATACACAGGGATCACTTATGCTGCTTTATCATTAGTTGTTTTCGTTGCACAAAATATCTATGGGAAAACAGTTTTCACATATAATCAAAATAAAATCAATGATCATGCTCAATTAGCCTTATCAAATGCAGATGAAGATGGTGCTATAAATGAAAAAGCTTCATCTTCAAGCCAGGATCCAATCTTACCTTTAAGTCATGAACAAACTACAGTACAAAATAAAAATTCAGAATATGCTAAACAAAGTCAAGCGTATGATTTAAAAGTTGAAAAATCACAATTATCATCATTCCCAAAGATTAGAAACAAATATGATAAATTAACTTTATTACTGTATTGTTCTGGTGTTGGATTTTTATTATCATTACCTTGGTTTTTATACATTGAAGCACCAAATTTCTTAGATATAGATTCAAGTTCAGATGTTTCAGAAGCACAATTAATTCATATTCCATGGAACTTATTAATAGTCAATGGTCTATCACATTTTGCTCAATCTTTAATAGCTTTCCATTTATTAGGCGCAATTCCAACAGTTAGTTATTCAATCGCAAGTATGATGAAAAAAATCACAATCATTGTTGTTAGTATGATTTTCACAGGTCATAAAATAACAGGAATTCAATTTGCAGGTTTATCTTTGACTGCAGCTGGGCTTTATTCTTATGATAGATGGGGTGGTCATAAAGGTCATTGATTCCATTATTTGATATCGATGTCACACATTTCTTTTCAGTTCCCCTTTTTAAAACTTTTCAATTTTGTTGTACAATACTTTTCACTACATGATTTGATGTATTTATTACAGGTTAATATCAAACACAAATCATTGTAAATACTAATACCATTTATATCCTTTCAATTATATATATCCCATGTAATTTTACGATGTTGAGTTTTTACATTATTTTCATGTAAGTCAGATTGCTACAATAGTGTTCATAGTTTTCGTATACTATCATAAGCTCATGTTATACACGATCATCCAATTTTCATCTCCATACAGCTACTCTACCATTAACATCACCTGCAACAACCTCAATCTTACCAATTGATTCACCTTCAAAATTTATATAGCTTTTCAAATATCCTTCCACTATACTTATACTTTTATTTGAAAATTTCCCATTTGTTTTACTACTTGATTCACTAAAATTTAATGAAGCTTTTTCAACTAAAGTCCAATTACCAATCGGGTCAATATCCAATACATGAATCTTTATATCACCATTTGACCAACCTGTTAATAAAATTTCCTTTTCATACCAAAATTCATGAGAATCAACATTTTGTGATTTGTTTAAAGTTAATTTTCTAAAATTAGCGAAATCAAGACATGTAATATAAACATCATCATCAATACCAAATTTATCATTAATGATCTTTTCACCATTTATAGTAAATAATGTGACTTCTGATTCATTTGATACTGCAATCATACCTGTATCATATGAAATTGCACAATGATCACCCATAATGTCAATTTTTTGAATAAATTTATATCTAACAAGATCCCATAAATAACAATTACCTAATGAATCTAAACTTAATAATAAACTATATTCTGGAGAAACTTGAAGTTCTTTTATCGGTGATAAATGACCTCTTAATGGAGCTTCAAATTCTAATTGTTCATTCAAACCTTTGATGATAACATTGTAATTCCATACATGAATTATACCATTCTTGGTACCAGTTATCAAATTATTTGAACCAGTCAAAATTTTCAAAGCTATAATTTTATCATCATGTACTCTTTCAAAAGTTCTTCTATTAATAACGAGTGAACCTTCGCTATTCCCCAGTTTAACTTCAATTTCACCATTGAGAACAAGCTTTGGGTATCCTCTCCAAAAAGCATCACCACTGTTGTCACTATGTGTCTTATATTGAAGGTAATGGATTGGCTCATGAACTTTGGTTTGATAAATTAAAGTTGGATTTGTTTTTAGTTTATCATATCTAACTGATAAAATTGAGTTATATTCTCTTGGTGGATGTGGTTTATTGAAAACTTGTTGTGGAGTTTGACCAAAATTATGTATAATACCAGTGATTGATCTTCTTTCAACAACATTATCAATTTTATCTAAATCGATGGCACCTTGATAACTTAAATAATTGAAAACATTAAGAGCCTCAACTGCTTCTGGACCAATTTGTTTAAACCCAAATATTAAATCAATCCATTCATGTAAATGATCTGAAACAAATTTACTTTCTAATGCTTCTCTATTTTTTTCAACAAATATTTTTGGATCACCTTTAGCCCATTTGGGTAATTGAACATGATTGACTTCAGTTCCATCTTGTAATCTACCAAAATCATAACCATTAATATTTGATAAGAACTCAGGTAAGAAAAAGAATTCAGGGATTAATTCACGAACATCAGTAGTATTATCTTTTGATGCAGATTTCCATGCCTTCTCAATCGAATTGAATAATCTATCAGCATGATCAATCTTACCACCTTGAAGTAACAAATATGACTGGATGAATGGTTCTAGTCTAATCAAAAATGAAGCAACAATCATTGCTGATGAATAATGTGTACCATAATGGAAAGCTGGTGCATCTTCGTTATCAAATGACAGTAAGGCTTCGTATCTTTCTTTAAATTGAGCTGCTCTTTGTGGTGTTTGAGCACCCATTGGTTTTGATAAATCTCTGAAACTTTCAGGGTTGGTCAAATCTAATTCATCACTAGTATAATCTGCAATAACCCATGGGAATACTGGATACTGTGTTAAATCATTGAAAGTTCTACCAGCCAATGTATTAACAATCATCAAATAATAAAAGTTAGACATCTCACCTCTTTGCCATTTCTTTGTAGCCTCCAAGTAATTAATATAATCAGTACCAAAAACATTGGCCAATTTCATAGAGATATTTCTACCTGTAATACCTGAAGTATTGTTCAAGTTGGTCTCTTTGAAGATTGCTGATAAATCACTGTCTATATTGGAGTTTGTTGCAACTGAAGATAAACTTGAATAAATTATATCTCTATCTCTGGTGTTGATGGATGTGATCAAAAAACTTCCACCATTACTGAAAAAAATCTCTAAAGCAACATCACGTAATAAAAATTGTCTTTTGGTTACTGATGTGAGTTTATGTAACTCCCATGTTTGAACATTATGATCTTTGAGTTCTCTCTTACCAGTTGCACTTTTAGGTCTAGGCTGCCCTGAGATAAGCTTCACATTTGGATCTCTTTCACCCTCAGGAACATCATCCATATCTATTATTTCATCATTTTCTGACTTATGGAAAAAATTTCTGATCAAATATAAGTGTGTCTCACCGAGGATTAAAATACCTTCATTTATCTCAAGACCAACCACTTGACTTACATTCCATAGTTGATGGATACGATCACCCGGGAACAAACTCTTCAAAACCTTCCTGTTTTTATCATTATATGTACCAATTGAGTCATCAGTTAAGTCATGTTCAATAAGTTCAAATGAGTTCAAGCTGAGAGACTCATTCTTAGGCTGCTCATTTGCAATGTTAGCTGCAATTGGTTTAACTGGAACTTCTATTGAGTAAGCAACTTTTTGATCCTCAGTTAAATCATCATATGGTAGTAGCCTCTTTCTCATTCTATCACTACCTTCCATATAATCTAATGTCCACCTTGAATTAATGGAGCTATTATTAAAGCAAAGATTCATGAATTTTGTTATCTCAACATTGATTTTGTTGAAAGAACTAATATAAAATTGAATATTATCCTGTTGATCTTGTTGATTTCTTGCAAGTTTATTTGCCTCACTAGTAACAACTTTGATACGAAGCATCTCATTGTCATCCTGTAACAATTTACCCAACTTTTCAATTGTCTCATATTTGAACTTGATAAACTGATCATGCTTTTCGAATAGATGATTCATCTTTTCTTCACCGGTGATAAACTGTTGTTTTGAAATTTTTTTGGATATCTTATTCTCAAAAGAATCAAGATGCCCGCAAAAAGTTGACTTGAGCCTGCTATCACTAACAAGCTTGGATACCAGATCATCATCATTCATTGATAATATTGAGTCAAGGTATTTCGCAGCAGTTGTAAAATTTTTGAACGTTATTGAAGCACATATGGCAGTAAGATCACCCTGACGGTGCATCAATAAGATTCTCAAACAGTTCAACGATAATCCAGTGAGCATTGGTTCACTTTTCATGGAAACTTCAAGTAAAAAGCAAATCAAATTTGAAATACACTCATTTGAAAGAGATCCATTTTCAAACAAATTTTCTTGATGAAACAGTAGAATCTTTAAAAAGTTTTCTAGCTGATCCATAGATGTGGAAAACCTAAGCACGTACATAATCACTGTACATACATTTGCTATGTTTTTCTTTAGTTGGAGATAGCTAGATCTTTTGGTGTTCTTTCCAGATCCTTTGTATGCTTCCACTATAGCCAAAGAAACATTGAAGAAGCTGAAATAATCTTTCTTATTCCACTCAAAATCTAAAAGTCTATCATTGAGTAAGTTCAAAAATACAGCAATGCTTTCGATTTCGAGTGCATCTGTAGAAAACAAAATCTTAAACTCTGAAGAAAAATCCTGTAAATGTTTCAATACTTTAGGAAAAACAAAAGATAAAAATAATGTTCTTGTAGAATCGGACGTTTCATCATCATTTTTTTGTAGAAATGAGTTGATATAAGCTTCAAGACCAGAAGCATCACCTTTGAAAATTTTTGACAGAATGACGCTTGATAAAAACTGAATAATTTTTTCTGCAGAATCAAAATAAATTGTTGTATTTTGAGGTTTTGTGACTAAAATTATGATGTTACATAACTTGTTGATGAACTGTTTATCATTTTGGAAAAACTTTTCAATACCTTTAGACTCTTCTGAAATTTTGGATATTAAGGCTGTATAAGAATCAATAAGACCTGAAATTTCTTGTTGTGTACTAGTTTGGAAAATATCGTGTAAAATGGTCCATTCTAGCAAATCTAATATCATATAATGTAATTCAGGAATGATAAGCTTGTCATATTGAGCAAGGTGTTCACTGAGTTCCGAGTCCAATTTTTGAAAGTTTAAATCATACTGATAATGACCAAAAGACCCCTTGACCAATATATTTAATTCTCTTTTGTCGAGTTTGACATCTCTGAGTGAACTAAATAAAATTTTGAGTCCATTGTTTTTATAAAACAGATCAAAAGACTTTCTCACCATCAGGAATATTTTCATTGACAATGAGAGTGCAATATCAACAACTTCCTTATTCTTTTTCCCAAGCTGTAACACAAGAAGTATCCACTTCAAAGAAGGTGCACCAAATAACTTTCTCCAATAGCTCACATTTGAAATAAGAGGGTCTAAAAATACAGCAGCTAGGACCCGTAGTACCAACACAGCAGCTGACTCATTGCCCTCATTCAATGCATGCACAACGAAAGAAGATAAAGATTTAACTGTATCTGGAAATAAACTTGTTTTGACCATTATCAAAAGTGTATCAAAAACATTATCTTCCATTTCTGGAGAGAAAAAACTTTGTGTCAAAAAAGTAAGCAACTTCTTTACTACTTTCATCTTTTTTAACTTTAATGAATTGAATGAACTATATTTACAATCTTTTGCAAACACCTGGAATTGGAAAATCAAATTTTTTGATAATTCTAAATCTGATTGTTTGAACTCTTCATTAAACGGTTTCCAAATATGGAAATCAAGAATCAATGCTTCATATGCTAATGGGTTTATAATGGCAGAATGATATGGTGATGCAAAATTATAACCACAGAAATCAAGTATTAAATCCAAAAATCTTAAATCAAGACTTTGTTTAAACTCATTTCTCTTCAGTTTCAGTATTGTGGCTATTAGTTGATAGCCACTTATAGTTTCAACTTCCATGGCAAATTTCCAATTAGAGTTCACCAATTTGAAAAAAATAGAAAGCGTATTATACAATACATCCATATCATTAATAGCAAATAGTAACTTGAGGAAAAGTTGTAAGCTTCCAATTGAGTAAAACACTTCTGATATGTTTGTTGCTTGATAATGATATATGCTTCCAGAAATTGTTAAGAGTGAGGACGAATTTGCAGTCAAATAATCATTTCCTCTTTCAAACAACTCTTCTGACAAAGAGTTACCTGCTGTTATATTTAAAAGTAGATTGGACCTGATAATTTTGAGGTTCAAATCCTCTAGACTTAAGTCACCATCAATGTTATTTTTTGATTCTAATAGCTTTAAATTGAACCTTGTTCTTTCATATATGCTCAAAAATTTGATTAATGTATCATCTGAGAAATCACCTTGGTATTCAATACCCAGATAGTATGACAAAAGTATCCATTCTATGGCTTGTACTTCATTGACTATCAACAGTTTAGCAATTTCAAAATCACAAGTATTAGACCCGATCGTTATAAATGAGCTAACCTCAGCTCCTGGATTATCGTGGAAGTTAAAATCTTTTGTGGAGTATATGAGTCTCTCTTGTTCGATGAATTCACCATTGATAAATAATTTCACTTTACCTTTGATAGCATTCCCATTTGATAGTTTTGCTAATTGATGTAAGAGTACAATATGATAATAACGGCCTTCTTCAAACTGGAAGCTTTCGAATTTAACTAATAATCTATTCTTATGTATCAAACATAAATTACCATCATCAAGCCGTAGTATGGTTCCACTTATATCTCTGAAAAAATCACTCTTCTCCAGATTATTGAACTTAATCCAAAACTGATTTGTGTAACCATTTGATGGTGATGATACATAGCTCACTGGGACTTTAACTGATGAGTTCTTGAAATGTAAATGATTTGTGTTTTTGGTGTTGAGTAAAGAAGTGATCTGATCAAGGTAAAATTGTTGTTCGGTTGATGATGATTCTATACTCTTGTTGATTAAGCTCAACAAGTCATAGGGTAGTAATAAAGATTTGGAAAGTTCCAAGAATAGCTCTTGTAATGGTTGTTTCAAACTTGTATCTGAGAGATTACCTATGATACTATGTGTTATTCCGGGTATTTGTGATATAATTGACCTGTTTCTTTCAGATTTAGAGCATAACCTAAAAGCTAATTCTATCAAAAATGATTTAATAACCATTTTCTTCTCCAATAGCGAGTCAGTATCAAGAAACAGTATACCAAAAGCTACCCCCAATAGCTTTTCATCTATTATATTTGCTGATCCTTGAGAGATTTCACTGAAATTGTCTAAGAACTGATCAATCAACCCCGGTACTTCCTGGACTATTGATAAATCATCATCAATGCTTTTCATTATGATTGACTCAGCTTTTTCCACAAGCACTTCACCGCTGAAACCATCAATGCTTATACTGCTGAATATGAGCTCATAGATCAATCTATTTCCATCAATTTCTTCATTCTTGTTATCAGCGGTTAAATCGTGAATGTCCTTTTGTATATTTTGATAAGTCTGTTCATAATTGGAGAAGTTCAATTCCGTCTTATACCTCGTGAGGTTTTTCAATTGATCCATTATGATATCCAAAGACGATTCTTCAGCTCTCTATATGTTGATATGATGGTTGAATAATTGTGTCTGGTGAAAAACAACCGTCTTTGGTTATTGTCTCTATGTTCTTTTTATGATTGAAGGCGATGAATATGACATTTTTCCGAATTAGTACGTTCGCACCAAATATTTTCGGTGTGTCAATATTTAGTAGGTAAATTCCAATCAAACAATCACATTTCCTGATCTGGTGAATTTGCGTATCTGTAGATATGAGATCAAGTTTCTGCTTTGATTTTATTAAAGCTATCTTGTAATTCATACTTGTGCCTGTAGTTTCTTAAGAAATTCAGAGAAACTATACATATATATATATACGTCCATCCGTAATGAACCTGGGTGAAAAACAATATGATAAAATGTGTATTTTAAATATTCGTATGTATAATAAATAAATAAATAGCTCAATCATGAATCCTCTATATAAAGGAAACATATTGTTAATAAATAAAGTTGATAATATAAATAAATATATTCCCACTTTGAAAAGTAGGAATTCAATAAATAAGGGATCGTTCATCTATATGGTGTATCATAATCCAAACAATATTGGATTTCTTGTTCCCATTTATCACCATTAGATAATAGTTTTTCCTTGTTGTATAATAATTCTTCTCTTGTTTCTGTTGAGTATTCAACATTTGGTGTCTCAACAATTGCATCAACTGGACAAGATTCTTGACATAAACCACAATAAATACATTTAGTCATATCAATGTCATATTTATAAGTACGACGAGAACCATCCATTCTTTCTTCTGCTTCAATAGTGATTGCTTGAGCTGGACAAATGGCTTCACATAATTTACATGCAATACAACGTTCTTCACCAGATGGATATCTTCTTAAAGCATGTTCACCTCTGAATCTTGGAGATACTGGACCTTTTTCAAAAGGATAATAAATAGTATATGGAGCTCTGAAATAGTTTTCTAAAACAACATACATCCCACGGAAAACTTCAGCAAATAAAAACCATTTTGTAGCTTTATCTAATGCAGATTCACCTGTATCTTCCCAAGTTTTAGGTTTTGGAAGTCTAAAATCATCTGGATATGAAGATGCAATGGAACCACCAGCGGCTAACGTAGGTTTCCCCTTTTGGATAGTTGATGATATAAATCGACGAGGAATAAAGATTCTTTGACGACTAATAATGCTTCTAAACATCTTCACTCCTTTTAAGTCTTATCCCCACAATAAAATAGAACTTGCTTCTCAGCTTTTATGACGGTACTATCAAACGAGACCTATTTTGGTGATGTAGTTTAGTTACCAAATAGTACTGTAACTCAAAGACCTTATAAGAAAACGATAAAATTCTGAAGAAATACTTTAAAAGTTGTTGCTTTGTGTTGATATTTTATGCTGAATAACAGATCTTTTCTCCCTTTCCAATTCGTGCAATAAAATTCGCGGGTGTTGCTCTTACCGGGAGTATAAACTCACGTATAAAGCAAAGCCATAATTTACTACAATTCTTCTTTAAAAAAACGGAACATTTGATTAATTTATGACCTTGTAACGTGATTCGAATAATCACACTTCCTGATGGGACGCTTGGGGATTGTTTTGTCCAATTAAAATATCAAACAACTGTGGATCTCTCTTCTCAAGACGAACTTTATAAACTGATGGTTCAATTGCAACTGAATCTGGAACTGAATTTAATTTGAAAGGATCTAACTCCATCAAATTGTTTTTTAAGTCCTTTGGTGGTTTGATATGGTACAAAATGATTAATCTTGTGAGTGCTATATACATCTCTTTATTCGCAAGGTATGAACCTGCGCACATTCTTGCCCCAGCACCAAATGTAAAAGAATTTGTTCCTTCATCATTGACTTTCATTTTGTAATCTTCAGTCAAATATCTGGATGGCTCAAACAAAAATGGATTTTCGAAATGTTTCGAATCGTGATTTGCAGCAAATGTATTCATGAAAAGTATGGTTCCTTTCGGTATGACTGCATTTTTATAAATGATATCTTGTGTAGTTGAACGAGGTAAACTTGTAGGTAAAACCGAAAAATATCTTAAACCTTCTTTCAACAACGCTTTGATATAATCAATCTCAATCTCCTCTGAACATCTATAATAAGCAGTACTTAAATCACCATAATGACCCAAGATTTCGTTGATTGCAATGGTTTGAAGTCTTTCACCATATTCAGGTTGTGATAAATGACCAACAATATGATTCAAAACTAATGGAGTGTTATCTAGACCAGCGCTAACCATTGTTAAGCAGACAGATTTCAATTCAGCTTCTGTAACAGTGGGGAAATCTGGATGCCCTCTCAATGACTTACTGACTATTGAATCTTTATAATCTTCATCTTTTTCCATTTTCAGCTTCAAATCATTTATAAATTTAGACATATATGTATCTCTTCGATCTCTAAAATCATTAGCCTGTTGACTTTTTTCACCAAACGGATTGAATCTTAAAATAGGTAAATAATCTTGCAAGTTGGAACTGTGACCTCTTAATCTAACAATGATGTTTTCAACGTGTGTAATTTCATCAAATAATTTACATTTATCAGTATGTTCCACTTTCACAAGATATCCATAGGTAATATAAAGACTGACTCTTAAGACGAAACCTTGAAGTAATTTGAAAAGGTCTATATCTTTATCTTTTGAACATTTATCAATGATGGCTTTTTCAACTTCAATTCTTTTGAACATATTCGTACACTCTTGATCCATCAATCCACTCAACTTTTCAACATTTTTCTTATTAAGAGTAGTGGCAACGATTTTTTTCTTCCTCTTGTAAGAATCACCATATGGAGTCGTACCTATAGTAAAACCTTGAGTACTTGAAACAACTGAATGGAAAGTGTATAATATGGGTCTAGAGTTGTTTGCATTTCTATTTTTTATCCATAACTCTTTAACTGAATCAAAAGAATTAGCAACGACAACGATTCTTGTTCCAAACCTCATTTGAAAAACATCACCATATTTTCTAGCCCATTTCATATAAGTTTTCGCAGGATTTGATAAAACTTGATAAAGATTACCCACTATAGGGAATCCTGGAACACTTGGAAGATTCTTAATTTTCTCGGGGGAAAGGATACCAATGAAATCCAAAAAGATCCATGCTAGGACAATCAAAAATGGTGCTATAATAATGTCTATAATTGATGAAGTTTGTTAGCATATTTCTGTAAATTGTGTAAAAAATTAAATGCTGAAATATAAAGGTATCATAAATTACTTGTCAAATTTGATAAACAAAAGGCACTAATGTCTTGGGTATTGAACATTCTTGAAATAATTTTAATGTTAATAATTTTTTGTAGTTTTATAAACAATTGCTGATTTTGATATGTTTTCGTTTATGGTATATGAAGTTTTTTGGCGAAATCTTAACGAATGATATTCTGCACAAGGGATTATTTTAAGCAAGTGGTTTAGCAATTATAGTAAAAGTAATTAGTAGATAGCAATTTCTGGAATTTGGTTCAAATGAGTGTGATAGTTTCCTGGTGGTAAATTTAGGCTAAAAAGTTGTTGATGTTCAAGATTTTGTTTATGTTAATTTTTTTTTAAATCCCGAATTTTGGTGCGTCTGATTTCAAAGACACAAAAGCAAAATCGAATGTTTCAAAGATCAAGAAAATAAAAAACTGGCTTACCAAGTACCAAGTATAGATTGTAAATAAATAAGTTCAAACGTGTATAAATAAAAATAAATAAATGGATAATAAATAGTAATAAATAGGTTAATAAATAGTAATAAATATGTTAGTATATCTGGACTTGTAACCAAATCATCATGTTCATTTCTTTGGTTCATCTTTATTCTCAGGCTCTGGTTCTGGTTCTGGGGTTGGAAATTTAAATGATTCAGGTGTATCATCTCTACCATTACCAACTTGTTCCCAAACTGAAGAACCAACTGAAAAATTTCTAAAAGCTTGAGTCAATTCTAAAGGTTTATAAACAACTCTCTTCTTTTCTTCATCCCAAAAAACTTCTTCATAACCTGTGGTTGGAAAATCTTTTCTTAATGGATGACCATTAAACCCATAATCAGTTAAAATTCTTCTTAGATCTGGATGACCTTCAAAGAAAACACCATACATATCATAAGTTTCTCTTTCGTACCAATTAGCACCTTCATATAGTCCAGTAACACTTGGAACTGGAGAAACTTCAGAAGCATAAGTCTTGATTCTAATTCTTGAATTGAAACGAACGGATAACAAATGATAAACAACATCAAATCTATTGGTTCTAGATGGATAATCTACCCCAGTTATATCAACAATTGACTTGAATTGAGAAGAAGTATGATCTTTCAAAAAGGTTAAAGTTGGAATTACAGCAGTAGGTCCAATATATAATACTAATTCATCTTTCCACACTGAAAATTTTTGAATGTATTTTGGCAATATTGTGATTAAATATTGACCAAATTTATGAAGCTCTTCACTTTGTTCCTTGTAACGATCAGCTGGATTAACTATTGGTTCTTCAATATCACCATCGGGAACTTCAATTAGGTCAAATTAGTTATTACATCCTTCTAGAATAAGTCATTATACTCACTTTTTCTAGGTAAATTTTTTAAATTCTTCAACGGTTCCTCTTCAGCTTGTAGTGATGTTAGAGAGCTAGAAAACAAACGTGCTCTCAAACTTGAACTTCTCACAATCTGAGATAGCGCATTCTTTCTCAAAGCAGTACGCAACATCTTCAATCAAACAATCAAAAGTATAACCTGGCTTTTCAATTCCTTACCTGGCTCTTTCTTAGTTGTATAATCTGAATCTTGATTGGTGATTGTTGACCAAAATTTGTCTCCTTATAAAACAAAATGTTCGCGGAATTCAAATAAAACTGGGGTTGATTATGTCAGAAATTACAAAGCACAGTATCAAAGATCAAAAAATTCATTTATTAAACAATTTTTCGTTATGATTTTCAAGGGTATGTTCATGTTTAGCCTCTACCAGCAGTTCTTGGTTTGGCACGGATGATGTTATCAACTCTTAATAACACTTCAGCAGCTTCAGCAGCAGAACTGACAACAGCTCTTTTCAATTTATATGATTCCACAATACCTTTTTCTCTAACATCTGTAATGATACCATTATCTAAATCTAAACCTGATGTTGTCATACCGTTATATATAGCAGTTCTTAACTTAGTTATTAGTTCACTTGAATCGAAACCTGCATTATCAGCTAAGATTGTTGGTAATTGTCTTAAAGCTTTTGCAAAAGCTTCAACAGCTAATGATTTTTTACCTTCAACATTTTGTGCAGCAGTATCAACAGCTTTTGACATAATCATTTCTGAACAGCCTGCACCTAAAACGGTTCTTGTTTCTCTTGTTGTTTGTGATAATACTGATAAAGCATCATGTAATGAACGATCAGCTTCATCTAAAACTTGTTCAGTAGCACCTCTTAAAACAATTGTACAAGCTTCACCAGCTGCACAACCTGAAAATTTAGTCATGACATCTTCACCAATAATTATTTCTTCAATGGCTTTACAAGTACCTAATTTAACTAATTCTGGATTATCAAAAGTTGAAACAACTTCACCACCAGTAACTAAAGCTAATCTTTCAATACCTTCAAAATCAGCATGTTCAATTGAGTTAATACCAGCATCTGTGAATAATTGTTCTGGATAATCATAAATCAATTGTCTATTTATAAATGTATTAATACCGAATTTACTAATTTTACCAATTTTACTCTTCATTTTTTCCTTTTCAGCTTTTTCTAATTCAGCTAATTTTGAAGTTGAATCAACTTTAAATTTTGCACCAAAAATTTTAACTTTATCTGTATCTAATGAAGTATTTGCAATTAAAATTTTTGCATCTTCAACTTTTTTAGGTTGACTTGTACCAAATCTTTTATTTAAAATAAAACCTTCATCAAGGAAAGAATCTGATAATTTACCACCAATTTTTTTTATTATTTGAATATGTTCTAAATTAGTTGAACCATTAAGACGTAAAATTGCATCAACAGCTAATTTAGCAAAATAATCTTTATCTTGTGATAAAATTTTAGATGATAGTGTAGTTTTAGCAATACTTAATAAATCATTATAAAATTTTTCTGAATCTTTTGAATTATCTAATGCAGATTTTTCTAAACTTTGTAAAGCAGCTTGAGTAGCAATTCTAAAACCTTCAATAATAGTTTGTGGATGAATTCTTTGATCAATTAATTTTTCAGATTCTCTTAATAATTCAGCAGCTAAAACTGTAACTGAAGTGGTACCATCACCAACTTCATCATCTTGAACTTTTGATATATTAACTAACACTTTAGCAGCTGGATTATCCAATGGGATTGATTTAAGGATAGTAGCACCATCATTTGTGACTAATGCTTGATCAGATGAAGCTGATTGTAATAATTTATCCATACCTTTTGGACCAAGAGTAGATTTAACTAAATCACCAACAGCGATGGCACCAACAAAGGCAGAAAGACGAGCATTTTCAGCTCTTTCTTCAGTGACTTGATCACCATAAATTTGAACACTCTGTTTCTCTTGTTAGTACGTTATCCTATGATACTCAAAACATATCTCATAACTCACCATTCTGTCTATAATTGTCCAATTCTTGCAATGATCTTGATCTGATCTTTATAATCAATCGTCGCCATTTTGACTTTTTCATTATTTTGAAAAGCGCGTATGTCAAAAAAAAAATATATAGATGAATTTCCGGGTAATCCCTGTGAGATTAATTATAATAATAAGTATATAAGACATAATTATCCACTAATTTCTACATTCTTGAAGGTTTAAAACAGTACTGGTCCTTTATAATATTACACTCTTGTATAAACTTTAAAAAACTATAAAAAACGTCAAAAACTTCTATGCAAATACCTCCAAAACTAGCATCAATCAACTATTATCTTTTACCTGATATACTTTTCTCTATAATTCTAAATCACTATTTCTTTCTTCATAAAGTTTTAATAAATGTTCTAATCTTTTTCTTTCAATTTTTTCTTTTTCAATTTCAGATTTATATGAATCATGAATCTCATTAACTAATTTTTTAAATTCATTTCTTAAAACAGATATACTATTATTAAACTTTGGTGATGAAGGTGAAGCATTACGATAACTTCCATTCAAACTTTGTTGTAATAATGGAGTCTTAGGATTGGATAAATACTTATTCTTATCCTTATGACCTTCATGAGACATGCTTAAGTTTTCATCTGGTGAAACTGGAGAAATTTGAGATTTTTCAGGACTTGGAATTCTTGAATTTGAATCATTATTTGTATGAATATAACCTAAATTATCAATTTTTAAAAGTGCAACTTGTTTTTGTAAATCATAAATATCTTTCATTTTATCATCTAAAGTTCTTTCCAAAACATTTTTTTCATGTTCAACTAATATAGACCTTTGATTTGCCTTTTCTAATGTTATTAAATTTTCAGCTAATTGTCTTTCTATAGCAGCTTTTTTATTTTTATGAGTATTCATTACTGTTGAATTTAAGTTTCTTTCATCTTCATATTGTCTTGTCAGGTATTGATGAGCAAATTGTAAATCTTTCAAAGCAGTTCTCAAACTTGTAAGTTCTTGTTCATCATTTGGAGAATTTGATTTAATTTCTTTATCATTAACATTAGAGTAATTTTGATCCAATAATGAATTCAAACAACTCTTAGCCCATTCAATATTTGAATCATTAGAATTTGTTGAAGCAGGTGCAGGTAATATAACATTCCTTTGTACTGCAACAGATGCAATATGTGATAATAATTCATCAGTTTGTTTATCATTTTGAGGTTGTGAAGGTGAGGGTATATCAATATTTAAGTCCTCGAAATAACAAAATGAAAAAGCTAATGAATATTGATTGTATAAAGTCTTCGTAGCATTTAAAATATCTGTTGAAATTTGATCAAATTGTTGATTTAAATCATTATTTGAATATATGATACGATTTATAGTATCTATATCTTTTTCTATATGTGATGCATTTGATGTAAATTTTTGTAAAGTTTTAAAATTTTCTTGTAATTGTTTAGAAATTTCATCTCTTAATAAAATTGTTTGTTCAATATTTTGTTGCAAAATATGAATTTCACCTAATGATAATAATTTTTCTTTTGAATCTAATTGAGCTAAGGCATGTTCAGCTAATAACTTAATTTTCAAATGACTTGAATCAATATCTTCAGATAATTCATTTTGTAATGAAGCACTAATTAAATCACTTTTTTTCAAAATTGATGAACCGATTTCATTATAATATAATTGTTTTGTTGTATCTTTTGATTGTAAATATTTCCCAGTTTCTGATAATTCAGATTCTGTTTTAGCAAATTCAATAGCTTTAGAGTAGTTTGAATCTTCTGTAAATGATTGGAACTCATTTGCTAAACTTGATTTAAAAGGTGAACCTTGAAGCAGTTGAAGCCCTTGACTCAGTATTATTTTTTCTGACATTTGTTGTGAGTATTAATTATTATTATATCCAGCCTAGTATGTATTTCAAAAGCAGCTTCAAAGCACCACTAGTTTTCCAAGTTTTCTTCCTTGTTCTTAGTCTATCACCTATTCCCTTAGCTACCCCTAGTAGTGACCTCCGATACCTTCAGATCTAATCTAAACAGCTCTGTGATGAGATCTTAAACTAATTTTAACAGACGCGTTTAGATTTTCTCGAGACTTGAAATTTAAAATTTGGTTTTAGCCCTGCAGTGCAAATTCGCTAAAACTATTGTAACTATTCAATAATTGTATCGTGTTTGAATGGGTAAGTAAATTGGTATAAATGGTTATATTCAACTTATTTGTGATAGTGGTGATGGTTTTATACGCCCTGTGTTTAGTTATTGCCCTTTTCAGTGGAGTTCTGGGGCTGCAAAGTGGATGTTCTGTGCTTATTTGTTTGTTCGCTGGTTTCACTTCGAAACAGGCAATTAAAGAACAAGATAACGAGGATTTACAGGGGATCAGACACAAGCAAGACTGGATATGAACTCTAACTTTGTAACGTATAAGCCCAAGAGATGTTCTTCTCGAGAAACTCGAAATTCTAGTCTTTTAACTGAAAGTATCATCTTTTCATTCTGTATGACAATTATGGCATATTCTTTTGTACCAGTTAGTAGACGCGAAAATAATAATGTCTTGCTTGATAAACTTACACTATAGATAGTTCAACAACAACTCAGAAAAATGGCTCTATGATGAGCAAAGAGGCTCCATTAGACAACATCCCAGAGAAGGGAAGAACTCATGTCCGTTTCATAACGTTCAACATTAATGGATATAGGACAGTTTTCCATTATCATCCATGGAATAAATTAAGAACATTCAATAACATGTTTGATTCTCTTCATGGTGATATCATTACATTACAAGAAATTAAAGTAGCTGCTAAGGATATCAATCATAGTATTGGTAAAATACCTGGCTATAATGCATTTCTTACAGTTCCTTCATTGAAAAAAGGTTATTCAGGTGTTGCTGTTTATGTTAGAATTCCCAAAATTGATGAATCTGAATCAGTGAAAGCTGCATTAAAAGTTATTAAAGCTGAAGAAGGTATAACTGGTATTTTAAAATCACATGATACACAAGTTGAATATCGTAATAGTGATTTATCAATTGGTGGATATCCAAATCTTGAAGAAGATATAAGTCATCAAATTGATAATGAAGGTAGATGTATCATATTAGAAATGGGTAATGGAATTGTGGTGATTTCAGTTTATTGTCCTGCAAACTCAATGGGTACTGAAGAAGGTGAACAATTTAGATTACAATTCTTTGAAGCATTGTTCAGTCGTATTAGAAATTTAGAAAAATTAGGGAAACATGTTGTGTTAATGGGTGATATAAACATATCTAAAGATTTAATTGATAGTGCAGATGGTATAAATGATCGAATGAAGATGGGGAAATTATTGAAAATTAGTGATCCTCATAAATTTGAAGAATTGAATAGAGAACAAGCTTTAAATTTTATACGACGTTCCTTACCAAGAATTATGCTGAATGAATTATTAATTGATAGTATTGATCAAGATATGAAGTCTGAAAAATCAAGAGTAATGATTGATACTGTTAGAAAAATACAAGGAAGGAAACATGGATTGTATACGGTATGGAATACTTTAACAAACTCAAGACCTGGTAATTATGGCTCAAGAATTGATTTAATATTAGCAACTTCAACTTTGGCAACTTATTGTAATAATGCAAACATATGGCCATTCTTAATGGGATCAGATCATTGTCCCGTGTTTTCAGATTTCAATGTTGAGCAACTTGAAGCTAAATATTCATTAGATGTTAATCTTCCCAAGCTTGAAGCTAGATTTGTTTACAAGTTATCTGGTGGTAGTATTGATTCAATGTTTGCCAATATGGCTAAAAAGAGAAGTTCATCAACCAGTCCCGATGTGGTTGTCAATAATGGAAATGATATAAAGAGGGCTAAACCATCAGAACCCCAAAAGAAGAAATCAGTAGTAAAAGCTACAAAAGGTCAAAATCAAATATCCAATTTTTTCAGAACTAAAAAATCAAATTCACCATCAGAAACTAAACCACCAGTAGATGATGAAGATTCAGATGTTCAAGAGGTTTCAAATTTTGAATTATCACAATCCCTTTCACAATCCCAAACATCAACGAACAATAAAACAAATTCAGTAACCCTAGGATCAAATGGACAATTTTCAATCTCATTTGAGAAAATACCTCATTGTAAACATGATGAACCTTGTATATTGAAAACAGCAATGACAAAAGAAAATAAAGGAAAGAAATTTTGGACTTGTTCTAAACCAAAAGGTCATAAAGAAAATGAAATAGATGATATGAAATTTACTTGTGGTTTTTTCAAATGGAAATGAAATGATGTTTTTGTTATTTATATTTTTAAAGATATAGAAAATTATGAATCATAAATTAAAGCACGAATAATATAACCAAACAAAAAATTAGTAAATATAAACCAGAACGGTCTTCATTATTGTTATTATTGTGATTATTTTGATTATATTGACCGCTTCTTTGGTTATTTTCAGGCTCTTGTTGAAGTGGATGTAGTTGAACAGATTCTGGATTTTGTATTGGTTGAGGTGATTGATGAATAACTCGTGGCTCTATTGGATTTGGTGTAACAGGTTGTATGTTTTGTGATTCAACCTCTGTGGTTCCACTATCAACAGTAGCAGCTTCATAGCTTGGTAATTGATCTTTTGGTTGGTCTTCATTGGAATTCCGTGGACTTTCAATTGAATGTTGATTTGATTGTGATTGTGATTCTTGATCTGATGTGTAAACAGGTGGTTGATCTTCCTGATCCTGTGGTTGTCCAGCGTCACCATCCATGATCAAAGTAGTTCGTGTATATCATTCAATAAAAGGAGAATTAACAATGGATTTTTTGCCACTTTATAGCTTTTTATATACTTGAATTAACCGCTGATATTCAACTTCATGAGAGCGGTAAAATATTCTCAAACTGAAAACAATGAAGATCGACATCCATCACGATTTGGACCATGACCAGTAATCCAGTAATAAGTAATCAGTGATAGTACATTTGTTTGAAAAGCTTTTGGTTGATATTAAGTTTTTCTTTATTGGTGTTGATCGTTAACGGTTGATTAGTTTCTGGGGAATTGCGTGTACTGCTAGTGATAGTGTGTCAATTTAGTTACAATATGTAGCGCTACTAATCTTTCCAAACAAGTTCGTAGTGATCCTCAATTATGTCAATACTATTGATGACCATACTAAGGTTACTGAATAAACATAAAGTACATCAAGTCATAGATAAAATAAATAGATCAATAAACACATATATTTAAATGAACCAAGGGTCTATGAAATGCGCACCAATAAAATATATATATCTCAAGCAAATAATAACCCAAAGTTTAATAATTTATTGTTTTGATGGTTTCTAATTATAAACTGATTTTTTATTGTAGAATAATAACGAAATGATCATTTCATAATTGAGAATATTGACTGGATAAGGGTAAAACCATAAGTTGAAAATGATTCTTATCTTATTGATATAATCTTTTGATGAAGTTAAAATATTTGGTGTTCATTTATTGTATATCTCCTAATAGAGTCTATCTTATCAATAATTTATATCTTTTTGTACGATATATGACCTTTAACATGTTTATAACCAAAAATTGATAAATCTGTATTAAATGAAGTGATTGCTGATGTAAAAGTTTTTGAATCCTCTTTTTGAACTTTGACTATGCTTTTCTTACCTTCATATCGTACTATATCAACATCTATAGCACTTCCAAACACTCCATGTAGTTGTTTTAAAGCTTGTAAAGTATATGTTTTCCATGTCACCAAGTCAACTTCAACGTCTTTTAGTTCTTGAGTATATTGAGGATCAACTTTCCTGAAAAATTGTTAGTACCAAGACAGATCAACATCAATCAAATTTTCAACATACAATTCTAGCTCATAAGTATCCCATACTTCTTCGTCTGACATTTTCTTTCACAAGCTTATAGATTATCAATATTCTGACTATGTAGTCGGTGAAAGTCGGTGTCTAGTCCATATAAAATTTTGTATTTGTGCAAAAAAAAAAATACGATCAGAATATCAAAAATAAGGAACCCCAGAATTTGACTTATTTTCACACTATAATCCCAGTTTTAAATGAGACACTTGATCAGGATGTTCAAGTCGTCCACAGGATACTTCTCAAATGTCAAATGCCCAAAGCTGGAGCAGTGCAAGCTCCCTATGTGTGTGTTCAGTCATGGTGCCAAAAGATCGTTATCTACCATGGCGAAAGATCAGAATGTGAAGGAGAATTTGAAAGATAAAGTGGTACAATCAGATAACAAAAGAGCCAAAATCCAGGATAGTATACTAGCAAGTGTTACTCAAAGGACAAATAATGGTTCTGAAGAAGATGGTAATGTCAAAGATCTTGATTTGTGGGCTCCGAAACAATTACCAGGAGTTGGTGCACCTGCTACTATTCAACAAAGAATCAAATACATTTCAGCATTAATTAATCAGTATACGAAGCATAATATTAGTCTTCCAAAGAGGAAAGCTGTGGAGAAAGAGTATGAGATTGCTTTGAAAAATAAAAGTACAACATATTCATTTGCAATGAAATCAGCTATAAGTAAAGCTAAAACCAATCAACATGATTATACTTTTGATCCTAAAGGCAAAAATAAAGGTAAAGTTTTAAATGAAAATGAACAATATGAAGCTGTAAAAAATTTAGTTCATACTGTGGAGAAATTGAAAAAAAACCAATATGCAACAGAGATTCCAACTGAATATTTATATGAGGTTAAAGATCGTAATTTGAAAAAATGTGATCATTGTTCAGAACATTTTTATTTTGATAAGATCCATGAAACTACCAAATGTCAATATCATGAACGCAGGAAAAGAGTTGTTACAAATGCTGGTGAAAGAACTGCACATTGGGAATGTTGTGATCAAGTTGTTGGTGAATCCCAAGGTTGTAAAACTATAAATCATCATGTTTTCAAAGCTTCTGATCCATTTGAATTAGAAAATTTAATATCATTTAGAAAAAGTCCAAAAGCTGCAGAGGGGGATAAAAAACGTCAAATTGTTGGGTTAGATTGTGAAATGGGTTATACTACAAGAGGTTTAGAAATGATTAGATTAACAATTGTTGATTTTTTTTCAGGTTCCACTATATTTGATGAAATTGTTAAACCATCAGGTGAGGTATTAGATTTGAATACAAACTGGAGTGGTGTTAGTAAAATTCCACCTGAATCATTAACACTTGATGGAGTTTATGATGTTATTCTTGGATCAATTATCAATGAAGATACCATTATTGTTGGTCATGGTCTTGAAAATGATTTGAATGTGATGAGATTGGTTCATCATAATATTGTTGATACTGCAATTTTATTTCCAAAATCTTTAGATAAGAAATTTTCGTTGAAAGATTTATCATTTCAATTCTTAGATAGAAAAATTCAAGGTGGTGAACATAGTTCTGAAGAAGATTCTTTGGCTGCTATTGATATTATCAAACATCATATTTCACATTCATAGACTAATCTGATTGAACAGAATCTTGATAGACCATTCAAAACTATTATTGTATATAGACATTTTGTTTTCCCTTGAATAGAATATTGATTTTCTTTTATGAAACTACTTTAAACGTTTTTCTAGAGCGTCTAATTTAGACATGATGATTTCTTGATTTTGCAAAACTAAGTTCAATAATCTTTGTGTAGAATTATCATTATTAATATCATCATGGTGTATAGTTTCAGCTATTTGATTTAACTCTGGATTAAAAGATACAGCTCTTTTGCGTTTTCTTGGTTGAACTAATTCAGCATTTTCATTACCACTACTCAAAAATGCTTTGACATCTTTAGCATTTGCAGCATTCTTCAGTGTATTTAAAGTGGTTCTCATATCATTATCTTCATCACTTGAGCTTTCACTTGAAGCTTTAATGTTAACACCAACATTTGCAATATTATCATTTGTTGACTTCAAACAAGACTTAACTTTCCCCTGTGCTTTGAACTTATCAAGTAAATTTGTGTTGATATCTTTAGCGCCAACATTCAATGGTTGTGCATTAAATCTAAAGACTCGATCTGAATTTGGTAATGTTCTGGTTCTCACGCCCCTTCTTGATGGAGTTCTAGCAACAGTTCTTAAATTACTTGGTGCAAGACCTTTTAAAGAATTGAAAGTTATTTCAGGTTTGGATTCTTCTTGAGGTTCAAACCCATTTCTGTCAACACTTTGAGTTGATCTTTTTATAGGAAGTATTCTTCTTGGAGTTGTTGTAAAGCTTGGTGGATCTGGGTTTAGTCCATTTTTATTTGGTGATAATCTTCTTGGACTTCCTAAACCTATGTTTTCCCTAACTCTCATTGGACTTCCTAAACCGCTAGCTGTTCTAGTTGGTGATGTTTTAACCAGTGGACTTGGTGCTTCAAACTCTAGTTTTGGCAGCTGTTGAAGCACTTGATTAGGGACTTGTGAATCCCTAAGCGGTGACTTTGTTGGTGATCTTGTTGGTGATACTGACGACATGTTTCTTGTTTTGTGTAAATGAATTGAGCTAAAATGTAGAACCCTTTCACTACAAACCTCCGAAAGTTGGTGATGTTTATTGTTCACTTTTCAAGTTTTGTTTTGATTTTGATTAATACTTTGGCAGAATTCACGGGTTTTGAGTGTGTATATCAATATAGTACGGTAACCGAGGAAACCAAATGACCATAAGTTCTAAAATAGTTTACTTTTAAACTTCACAATAATGATATATAATTTTTTGAAATGGTCACAATACTATAATTTGATGAAATTAGATAGAAGTTTTGATTATCAATTTTTAGGTGTTGTTTCTTTGTTTATCTCAGATTTCTGGCATCATCCCATAGTTAAGGAAGCTGAGAATTTCTTAAACGAGCTCCACGAAAAAATAGATATCCACTATATGGAAAGACCATTTATTCACATTCACATCATTTTGATTTAAACAGGTATATCAAACGCATAACTCTCATATAATGGCTCCTCCAAGAATCACTGCACTGATTACTGGTACTAACAGGTATGTTCACCAACTTTTATGAGCATCAAATCCAATATATATGGGTATTTACATTCTGAATAAAATCAACTAACATAACCATATATAGTAACCTTGGTCTTAATATCGCTTATAGATTAATTGAATCACAACCAACAGATGTCAGAATCACTATAATTGTCACCTCAAGAACACTTCCAAGAGCTCGTGAAGTTATTGATAGTATAGCTGATTTTGCTAAGACCACTAAAAGAGAAGGTATAGTGGACTTTGATTATTTATTAGTTGATTTTACAGATATGATTTCAATTTTAAGTGCTTCATATGAACTAAATAAGAGATATGCTCAATTAGATTACCTTTTTGCTAATTCTGCTCAAGGCGTTTATGATGGTATTGATTGGTTTGGTGCTGTTAAAGAAATTTGTGCAAATCCAATTGCTGGTGTTACAGATCCTCATTATAAAATTCAAAGAATTGGTGTTAAATCAAAAGATAATTTAGGTTTAGTTTTCCAATGTAATGTATTTGGTCCATATTACTTAATTCATAAAATCAAGCCATTATTGAAAAAAGCCAAAGCAAGAATTATTTGGGTTTCAAGTATAATGTCAGATCCAAAATATTTATCATTTGATGATTTACAATTATTGAAAACTGATTCATCATATGAAGGTTCCAAAAGATCAATTGATTTATTACATATAGCTACATATAAAAAATTAAAAGATGAAGGTATAATTCAATATGTTATTCAACCAGGTATTTTCACAAGTTTATCATTTTATAAGTTCTTAAATGTCTTTACATATTATGGTATGTTATTCTTATTTTATATGACAAGATTCTTAGGTTCACCATGGATGTGTATTTCAGGTTATTCAGCTGCGAATGCACCAATTTATGCTGCTGTTTTAGCAAATCCAAATTTTGAAAAACAAGATGTTAAATATGGTTCTGCTTGTTATAAAGATGGTGCTGAATATATTAAACAACAGGAAATCGATCCTACAGGTGCTTCAGATGTTTTAAAATATTTAGATGGTTTAACTGAAGAATGGGATGAAAAATTAAAAGATCAAATTACAATTTCAAGAAAACCATAATATTACAGTTATGTGTATCTTAGGCTAATAATGAATGTTTATCAAAATTGTTTGTGAATTTTCCCCATGTAGGTTATAAATTATTTATATATAAAGCTTTGTAGAAAAAAGAAGAATCAAGACTGTAAATTAAAAAATTGAAGTGAAATGAGTCAAACACTTATAATACATTTAATATAAAAAAAACATCATCATATAGTCTTTATGAATAAGGGAGCAGCAGCAGTAAAAGGTGAGCAATGAAGGAATATCAAATCATAAATGTTCAACAGCCATTAATGAACCAACAAAGGTATAAATAAGTCTTGAACGAACTTCATTGATATCTTCTGGAACTAACCAAATCAAAGCACCTAATTTTCTTGCAATTGAAATAGCTAATCTTGCATTAGCATATCTATCTTCTTCAGTATTACCTGGAGTAACTAAATCATAATCAACATAACCAGGTTTTAGTCCATTCAAAACATCTAACAAAAAGATACCATTAGCAATTGAAGAATCTGAAAATGATCTAATTGTTGATGATTTACCACCTTTAGCAACTTTTTCCTTTGCCCATCTTAAAATATCTGAATCTGATAATTCACGACCATTTGCAGATAATGATTTCAATGTTAAAACGATATTACGTCTCATTATTTGCCATACAAGACCTAATGTTAATAATTTATTACCATCAACAATATCTGAGCCTTCAATACCAACTAATGAGAAATGATTAGCTTTACCAGCTTCAACTGCATAATTCGTGTTTTCCAATGCTTTGAATCTAGATAATTCAGCACCTGATGCAGGTCTTTTATTAACATGTTTTGTATTGATTGAACCAGGTAAAACTTTTTCAAATGATTCTAATAAAATTGTACCATCTTTTAAATCTTCAAATAAACTAACAACTGGAGGTTGAACATCTAATGAATTTAACCATAATGTGAAAACTCTTGCTTCTCTTTCACCTTCAGCATCAAATTCTTCAATTTCTGGTTTTTCAGCTTCTTCAACTGGATCTAAACCTGGATGAGTATTAAACAAATGAGCAACGAAAGCTAAATTCAATTTTGGATTACCAGCAACTAAAGCAGATGGAGTTAAATATTTTCTTGCATCTAATTTTTCAGCATTTGATAGAACTTGTTCAGCTCTTGTTAATAAATCTGAAGTTTGTAATGGTTGTAATGAACATAATTGTGGATCTAATTGATTCAATAGAACTGTATAGTTTTCACCATCCGCAACATCTTTTGAGAAATTTGAAACTCTTCTATTCCAATTTGCAGCTTTTAAATGATAATTAAACCAACGCAATAAAATTTGTTCAGGTGGTAATCTTAAAAATTGTTCTAAAGTTTCATCTTCTTCTAATAAACGATATAATTCTGGATGTAATTTGATGTCAATTTTGTTCAACAAACCTTTTCTAATAATTTGCCAAATCAAACCCAAGATTAAATGTTCTTTACCTTCAATAAAATCTTCAGCATGAACATTAACAACAACACAACCAATAGCTTTAGCAGAATTAATAACAATATTTGCATTTTCAGAAATTGTGAAATTATTTAAAGCTTTACCCTTTTTAGGGAAGTTTAAAACTCTTGTATCAATAGTATCAGGAACTGAATCATTAATTAATTTAGACAAGATTAAACCATCTCTACATTCATCAAAGATTTGGAAAGTATCAGCAGGAATTGGAATTCTATCACCGATATCCGCATCACCAGTTAAAACACTATTGATATGTTTAGTGAATTCTGATTTTTCTTCTTCATTAATGGTATGAGTAGTACCTGATTGAGAACCACCAACGATAATTGAAGCTTTAGCACCAGTACCTTTATGTTGAACAGTATTACTTTGAGCAGCTTTTGGAGCAGTTTTATTTTCTCTAATTTTGGCAATCAATTCAACATAATCATCTAATTCAACACGACCTGAAGAATCAACACTAACTTGTTTTAAAGTTTCACGAACATCATCATATGAACCTTCACCAGATTCAGAGATTTTTTCAATAACAACTTGTTTTTCAGCATAACCTTTATCATCGATATCAATGGATCTAAATTGTTCAATAACGTTGAACAAATCCTCTTGATTCAAGATCGGAAATTTTCTCTATTGAATTGTTAGTACATCATCCAAAAGAAGTTACCAATATCCTTGATTGATATTGAATTCCATTCATATGTTGATATGAGCGCAATCATAATGGCAAAGAAATGGAACAATAACAGACATCAAAATATCAATAATCAACACCTCAATTATCACTACTCACTTGTAACTTGACGATATTCATCCTCACAATTGATTAAAAAACACTCGTAACAACCTAAAAGGTCACTTCTTGGTTAATAAAAGAGTTGAACAAAGTATAAAGACACCGGAACCTCTTTGAAACAGTGTCAAGTGGCTTTCCGTAGGCGGGCAAAATTTAAATTAAGGGAGAAATCTCAGCCCTTTCGCGGAAAAGACGGTGACGGCACTACTCGGATTTTATGTACTATACTAATAG